TTTATTTGTAGATTGAAAATTCCATCGAAATAAAACCCAACTAAAAGACACCTTGCCTTGTTTCTTTCAAAGGTTTCCTAAAATTACTGATTAAGTAAATACCTAGAGAAGGTTGTGTGACTCAATTAAAGGTAAAAAGCACGATGAGGCATGGTAAAAAAAAACCAAAAATGAGCAACTTGCTAATATTGTAGTGAATAATTTTAAGTTAACAAGAGAACTGGGCTGGTTTTGAAGGGCAAGGTGTAATGTGGAAGGTACGTAGGTGTGCGCAGAGCACACAGAGGCCAGCGAGCGCATGGGGGCCAATGGTGTCCGTCAGCAGCCACAGCCTGCCGGCCCCTCGACCGGTGCACTCTGGGGCTCCGCAGCCCGCCGCCAGCAGTTCAGAGAAGCATAGATACAGTGGGTCGTGCCCGGGAAAAGGAGAACATGCGAGGCCAGGAGGAATGGGACAGCGGGGAGGGAAACCAACCATGCTGGGATGCATCTGGCCATGTGGGACCTCGGCGAGTTAGCGGGTGGCTGGTTGAAGAGGCATGGTTGCCACCTCTGGGGCATGGCGCGCGTGCCCACAGAAAGGGCTCTGAGTGCCGCCTCTGGCACGGGTGCCATAAGTTCGCCACCACTGGCCTAGTACACTAACTCTCAGCAGCCCCTACTACGCCTCTGTGCAGTTTTTTGGGGTTTGGTTTTGAAGATTGGGGAAACCTCAGCCGTTGGGCTCTTGTTGTTGTTGTTAATTGCGAAGTTGCGTCTGACCCATCGCGACCCCATGGACAACGCTCCTCCAGGTCCTCCTGTCCTCCACCATCTTCTGGAGTCCATTTAAATTCACACCTACTGCTTCAGTGACTCCATCCAGCCATCTCATTCTCTGTCGTCCCCTTCTTCTATTGCCCTCAATCTTTCCCAGCATTAGGCCCTTTTCCAGTGAGTCCTTCCTTCTCATTAGGTGGCCAAAGTATTTGAGTTTCAACTTCAGGATCTGGCCTTCTAAAGAGCAGTCGGGGTTGATCTCTTCTAGGACTGACCAGTTTGAACGCCTTGCAGTCCAAGGGACTCGCAGGAGTCTTCTCCAGCACCATAGTTCAAAGGCCTCAATTCTTTGGCGCTCAGCCTTTCTTATGGTCCAACTTTCACCGCCATACATTGCAACTGGGAAAACCATGGCCTGGACTATACGCACTTTGTTGGCAGGGTGATGTCTCTGCTTTTTAGTATGCTGTCTAGATTTGCCATAGCTTTCCTCCCCAGGAGCAAGCGTCTTTTAATTTCTTGGCTGCAGTCCCCATCTGAGGTGATCTTGGAGCCCAGAAAAATAAAATCTGTCACTACCTCCATTTCTTCCCCATCTATTTGCCAGGAATTGAGAGGGCCGGATGCCATGATTTTGGTTTTCTTAATGTTGAGTTTCAAGCCAACTTTTGCGCTCTCCTTCTTCACCCGCATCAAGAGGCTCTTTAGTTCCTCTTCACTTTCTGCCATTAGAGTGGGCTCTTACTGTTCCCTTTAAAAAAAAAATCTTCAAAAATCAGAATGATGGTTTTTTGTTTCAAGGCAAGAGTTTCATGGAGAATGAGATTGGACTAATCAGTGCATTCTGACAAGGCCGGAAGATACAGCATTGATCTAAATGTAGATCAGTGTAGTATGAAAACGAATATTGCATAAATGGAAGTTTTCTCCAACTTTCCCTTTTTCTGGAAAATGATGGAAAAAATACTCCCTCCCCCAGCCTCGTGGTATCAATTCTTCTAGAATATTTGCACCTCCATTTTTATTCTCTGGACCTTATCCAAAATTGATTTCTTTGTCCTTGAGTGTCTGCTGTGGTTTGCAGGCTATTTTGGAACAGATTCAGATGTGCGGGTGATAGTGAGAGAAAGCCTCAGGGCTTTGCAGAAGCTAAAAATGTGCTTAGTATAGATGTAGGTTGTTTGTTGCAGCTCTGTGTTGCAAATAAAAATTGGTATTTTTTTACTGCTGCCCTTCTAATAGAGCCATTTTAAAAAACTTCCCAGGGAACCAAGCTTTCTTAAGGCACGATTAAAAAAAAAACGGTGGGCTAGGCCTGCAGGGGACCCCCTTCCCTTTCTCCATATCTAAGTAGAAAAACTGAATACATTAAATCCACAATAATGAAATGAAATCTTCAACAAAATTGAAAATCAGGCTTGTCAGTTGCTATATTTTTCCTATCCTGCTCTATGGAGTAGAGAGTCGGTCTCTGACAGAAGGCCACCTGAAGAGACTAGAAGCATTTGAAATGTGGATTGACAGGCGGCTGTTACGTAGAAGCTGGGTTGACAAGATCAGAAATGAGGAGGTGATCAGCCGCCTGGGAAAGCCAAGGGAAATCATCAAAACAATTAAAAAATGAAAATTAGAATATTTCAGACACGTGATGCGACACCCAGAAAAATACGGCATACTCCATTTAATCCTCCAGGGAAAGATGGCAGGCAAACGAGGTCCAGGCAGAAGAAGAACATCGTGGCTTCAAAATCTAAGGGACTGGTTTGGACAAAACTCAGCAGCACTTTTTCGTGCGGCTGTTGATAAAAACAGGATCGCCAACATGATCGCCAACGTCTGATAACGGATATGGCAGAAGAAGAAGAAGATTAAATACACGTTTAGTGTTGTAGACTGATGGAGCATTGGCTGTCAGACTCTTTTTTCAGGAGACCCAGTTGACCAGTTGCAGCTTGTTGTCTCCACGAAGGCTGCTCCATTTCCCGTTTTGCAGACAGGTGTGGATTACCTTTTATCTCCAGGTTCATGTCTGGTTTCCAGGAATTTAAAGCAGCTTTGTTTGATGAATCAAAGAGACTATCGAAGCTACCTCCAGCAGTTGCTTGAATGCTACAAAACTGACAGGGATGAAACTCTAAATAGAGGTGGGGAACTATGGCCTCTTTATGATTTGGCTGGCTTGGCATGGCCAGCTCAGGAATTCTGGGAGTTGAAGTCCACAAGTCATAAAAGGGCCATAGTTCCCCACCCCTGCTCTAAAATAGATCAAGAAGAATGGTGATGTTCAGACAGAAATTAACTGATTAATGCAGGACCAAACAATAAAAAGGCTCAGAATGTTTCTTTTTAAATCTTAGGATTCCTTCCTTCCTTCCTTCCTTCCTTCCTTCCTTCCTTCCTTCCTTCCTTCCTTCCTTCCTTCCTTCCTTCCTTCCTTCCTTCCTTCCTTCCTTCCACTATAAATATTTCAGTTTCTCCCATGTGTAGTCTGTTTTGATTTGCATAGTTGATGTCTTACCTAGTTGTCTAGACCCCAACCCCCGGTCCGTGGACTGGCACCGGGCCACAACATGCCAGAAACTGGGCAAACAAGCAAAGCCCCATCCATGGGATGTAGGCAGCACACAAAACCAGTCCCCATCCGGTCCGCAGAAAAACCTCTCTCCACGGAACCGGTCCCTGGTGCCCAAAAAGTTGGGGACCTCTGGTCTAGACTAGTTAAGATTAGATTGGGTATGTGTCTAGTCATGTATATCCTTTCAATCCAATTGCAGTTCTTAGTTTTAATATATCAGAAAATATCTTTCGGTCCAATGTACAAGGTGGATCATGGATTGCGTTCATCTTTCTTCCTCTTTTAATCGATGTGTTCTCCTACTGGCTTCTAAGTAATCTTGCCTTCAATGGACAAAATTTGAAAGCTGCGGATCATTGAATTAGATTCGTGCCATTACGTGTTAGATAACTGGGCTTTAGAAAATAACGTTATTTTTTTACAAATACAGGTATTCCTCGACTTACAACAGTTCATTTAGTGACCGTTTGAAGTTACAACGGCACTGGAAAAAGTGATTTATGACCATTTTTCACACTTACGACTGTTGCGGCATCCCCATAGTCATACAATTTACATTCGGATACTTGACAACTGACTCACATTTATGATGATTGCAGCGTCCTGGAGTCAGGTGATCCCCTTTTGCGACTTTCCGACACGCAAAGTCAACGGGGAAGCCAGCTTCACTTAACAACCATGTTACTAATTTAACAAATGCAGCGATTCACTTTATGAATGTGGTTTAAAAAGTCCTAAAAGGGGGCAAAAATTTCTCACTTAACAACAAGAACTTTGGGCTCGATTGTGGTCGTAAGTCGAGGATTCCTTGTGGAATAAATAAAATCTTTTTCTATTTAATGTTTACAGTAGATGTGGTGTATTTGTCAGCCATACTTGGTAGATGGAAACAGCTGATTGCACACAAATTATGCTTTATTGAACTAGATTAGATTAACCCAGTGGTGGCAAACCTATGGCACGGGTGCCAGAGGTGGCACTCAGAGCGCTCTCTGGGGACACGCGTGCCATCGCCCCAGTCCTAGGCCTTCACCTGGGTTTTATAAAACCTTTTCGCTTTAGGCCTCCGCTGCCGTGTACAAAAAAAAAAAAGGTCCAATCAGTCAATTTCAACTTCTCTCGGGAAAGAAAAAAGATCTCGCAAAGTTGGAATTGATTGATTGAACTTTTTAGTCCCACCCAGTCTGCCATTACCACCGCAGCCACGCCCACCCAATGGGCCACACCCACCCAATAGGCACACCCACCCAATGGGCCACACCCTCCTGGCACTCAACGATGCATAAATGGGTTTTGGGTTGCAGTTTGGGCACTCGGTCTCTAAAAGGTTTGCCATCACTGGATTAACCGAACCTTACAAATCTGGTTGTGTTTTTCCTCTTTTCTCCCCACTGAGTCAGGGAGAAGCCAGCCCGAGCCTCTTCTTAATACCATCTCCTTTCCTGGGACTTAAGGAATGCTTCTGCTCTTCTGGTTTCTGCAAAGGCTTCTGAATATTCCCTTCAAGGTCATCTCTCTGGCTTTCTATAGTACTTCAGAGGAAAACATGCAGTATGAACGTCTGTCCCCCCCCCCCCAGGATTGGAATTTGACCATCCTACGGGTGATTTTACCAATTTAGTCTGAACTAAAGCGGTACAGTATTCATTTTCCCTTTTCATTTTAGGAACTTGCTGCTCATCCACGCCAGCGGAAAGGAAGATCGGCTGACGCCAGCTCATTAGACCTTTGACGCCATGGCCAATCCTGCAGGAGGAGAACCGGTCTCCAAAGCTCGGGAGCTTTGCCACGAATGTGGACAAATTCACTTGTTGCCAGACAATCATCTTTATAACTTCCAAGATGAAGTAGATGACGACTTGACTTGTCACATTTGCCTTCAGCCTTTGCTCCAGCCTATGGACACGCCTTGTGGGCACACCTACTGTTTCAGATGTCTTGAAAACTTCATGCAGGAGTACAGCTTCTGCCCTATGGATCGGAAGAAACTGTCCTTCCAGAGCTGCCGGAAGTCTAGCTTGTTGGTACGGAATCTGTTGGATAAGCTCATTGTCCTTTGTCCTTTTCAAGAAGACTGTGCACAGACGATGCAACGGTGTGAGCTCGAAGCTCACCTGAAGAACAGGTGTGCCTAATTTTTCACTGTAGCCTCAGCGATGCTTGCAGGTTATTCTTTATTCTTGACACGGTTAGGAGCTTACCATTTTATGTCAGCCTTGTGCTGAATAGGGCACATAATAATGACAATTCAGAGAGAAATGTCCACGAGTGACTCATTTTCTGTCCACATTCCTGAGCTCAATGTCGTTAAGTGTCAGAATGACTCCAGGATGACATTCTGCTTAGTTACCTATTAGTTTTGGGAAGAAACTGAAACTAATTAAGAAAGGTTGGGCGGGGAGAGAAACTTGAGCGGAAGAAATTGAATTGAGAAATTTAGGTAGGGCGTTATTAAAGGATGTTTTTGAAAACAGAATAACAGAGTTGGAAGGGACTTGGGAGGTCTTCTAGTCCAGCCTAGAAGGGGGTGGGCAAGGTTGCCTGCCCCTGTCCTAGACCATTCCAGGCTTGGCTGTCAAGTCTCTTCTTAAAAGCTTCCAATAAGGGAGCACCCACAGCTTCTGGAGGCAAGCCGTTGCGTGTGTGTGTGTGTACGGTGCTTTTTTTCTAAAAAAAAAAGTGCTGGAGCTCACACAAGTCATACAACCCGCCTTGCCTACCCTACAAGGTTCCATCCAAAAAAGGTGCCAGAACTCCGTTCTCGGCGTTCTATGAGAAAAAAAGCCCTGTATATTTATCTATATTTACAGATAAATCTGCCTGTCTGTCTGTCTGTGGCTCCCAACCTTTTCTAAGCCGTTGTGTGAGTGTGTGTGTGTGTGTGTGTGTATCAGTGGCTCCCAACCTTTTCTATACCCCGCACCTCTAGAACGCTTCTGATATATTATCACACTTTTACAAAAGTTTGAAATAATGGCAACAAATTATGCATGTACACTATCATTTTGAAAACCCAAGTTTTCGCAGCCCCTGGAATATCGTCTTGCACTCCTGGTTGGGAACCCCTGCTCTAGAGGTTTTTCCACGGACCAGAGGGTGTGTGGTTTCATGTGCTGCCTGCATCCCATGGATGGGGCTTCGCTTTTTCGCACGGCCCGGATGCCGGCATGCTGCAGCCCAGTACCGGTCCACGGACCGGAGGCTGGGGACCCCTGCTCTAGAGCACCTATATCCAACCTTGGCAACTTTAATGTGTGGACTTCAGTTCCCAGAATTCCCCAGCCATCCATGCTGGCTGGGGAATTCTGGATCTTAAAGTTGCCAAGGATGCCCCCTCGTGCTCTAGAGCGGTGGTAGGCAACCTTGGCTCTTTTATGCTGGCTCAGGAATTCTGGGAGTTGAAGTCCACGAGTTATAAAAGAGCCAAGGCGGCCTGCCCCTGCTCTAGACTTTCTCCAGCAGGATGGCTGTAGAGTCCAAATGGATGGGTTCTATGACGGCCTTCCTGCCTGGCAGACTGGGTAAAAACTTCGGCCACACCCCTTCCTTTGGGCGTGACCCCAGTTTTAACTCAGTCTCGAAGCCTGGTAGACGTACGAGAAGCAGCTCTCAGAACAATAGGAATTTATCCCAAAAGAAAAGGGAAAGAAGCATCTTCCTTCCATTTGAATGAAAAGCTCTCTGGCAGCTGATAGAACTTAAAAGGCACAGCCAGGATCAGCGGAGTTGTGAGTGGGGCGTCAGGGCGGCTAGCAGGGGAGGCTTGGAACGGGCCGGATCGCTCGTCGATATCCGGCCCGCCGAGCAGCTGTTTGGCGCGGGGATCCCACCGGGTTGTTCGTCGCCCTCCGATCCGACAAACAGCTGAGTGGCCGGCTCGGCTCGGCCGACAGAACTGAGGCGCCGCTCAGCGCGAAACAGCTGAGCCGAGCGGGAAGCGGCAAACTGCGGCGCTGCTCGGCATCGATCAGCTGAGCGGCGCGAAAAGCAGCCCTGACTAGGACAGAGCCTTAACGCTATTTTCCTTCCCTCAGAGGAGAGGCGCAGCCCCTTAAAACCAAAGGAGTCTCCCTTACTACTGAATTCAAAGATCCGCCATTGTTTAAACCGCGTGGCTTCCCGGGCTATCTTTGGGAGGCGTGGCTTCCTCCCATTCGCCATTTTGAACAAGCGGATTCCCGCTGCATTTTCCCTTGGGGGTGGGGCTACCACCCGGACTCCTTTTCCCTGCAAGCCAAGAAGGGATCCCTTTAGGTAAGGATCTGAGGTTCCTCAAGAAAATAAGGCAAGAGGAAGGAAGAGGGAAAAGGAAGAGATCCGTTTTGATCGTGGTCTGCTGCTACAGCCACAGACTGGGGGAGAGAGAGATATAAACTGCTCTTGTCTGGACTAGGTGAGGAGGTGAGGAGGAATATTTTTCCCTGACTGTTCCTATAGTGACCTTTAGTCACTGCCTTGCAGGATCTTCTGTCCAAAGAATCCTGTCTGTCCGGCCATTGTCTGTATAGGCAGAAGAGGGCACAGCCCCAAGCATCTGCATCTGATCTGCGTACCTCATTCCCCCACTCCAGGCATTACCTACTCGGGGTGTCTGGCACAATGGCAGACAATGTCTCGTATTCAGTCACACAGGTCCCTCAATTGTCCCCCCCACAGCAACAACAAAAACGCAGATCTTCTGAGTCAGAGGTGGGGGGGAAGAAGAAAGCTAAAACAAAGCACCTTTCTCAGAAGGGACAGTCTAAAACGGCTGAGCGAGAGGCTTTGAGGAGACATTTGGCTTTAGAAAGACAAATTAGCAGGGCACAGAGAACCAATGCCAATGGGACAGATTTGGTTTCCCCTGTCCCAGCGGTGGCGCCCAGCACAGAGCCTACTGCCGAGGAAGTGCTCAAGACTTGGTCTCCTCCTGGGGAAACTGAGCAGTTAGATTCCTCCAATCCCTCCTCACCAGCTTCTTCACCCGACCACACTCCAGCGCCTCACTCCAGCGACAAGGCGCAGGAGAACATATGGTCGGCACAATTTCATGCATTCATGCAGGATGCATTCTCCCAGTTCATGGCTTCTAAGGGGCAAGTGGCCTTTCACACACCCCGTAAGGGTCGGGCTAGGCCACCCCCTACCAGTACCTCTGAAACTTCCTCTCAACTGGGAGAGGGTGACTCAGTGGACCTTGACATGTCAGACATGCCCCTCTCGGAGGACGAGGAGACTGCACCTGAGCAGGCGACGAGCTCTGGCCTCTTTAACCCAGCGCTCCTAAAATCACTCCTGATAAAGGCAGTTTCCACAGTCAACCTAACATCAGTACAGGATGAGAAGCCCTCAACAAGCAAGGAGGCCAATCCTCTGTTTGCCAAAAAGGTTCCACAAGATAAGTACATTCCATGTGCGGAGGTCTTTATGACCACGCTGGAGGAACAATGGTCCTCACTTGCAAGCCCACCGGCACCTAACAGCGCGGAAAGGAAGCTTTTCAACCTATCTCCCTCCTTCTCTAACATGTTAGAGGTTCCTGCTGTAGATAACCCCTTAATCTCATTATTTTCTACCTCCGCGATTCCAGGAGACATGGCGGAGGTCTTGAGACCTGAGGAGAAGAAATTTGAACACTCCCTCCGGCGTTCCCATATGGCTGCAGCCTGGGCAGCCAGAGCAGCCACCTCATCATCATTCTTCGCGAGGGCCAGTATCATGTGGCTGAGGGAACTGCAAGGCACGGTGCCTCCAGACCAGGTCAGAGTACACCAAACATTGGCCAAGCTCCTCGCGGCCTCGCAATTTGTCTCTGACGCTTCACTGTACGCAACAAAGTATGCGGCTAGATCCATTGCGGCCACAGTGGCCTCACGTAGGCTACTATGGCTCAAAAATTGGAAGACAGACCTGAGGTCCAAATGGCGTCTTTCGACGTCCAAATACAGTGGAGTAGCCCTATTTGGTTCCATTCTGGACCCACATGTCAGCGAAGGCAGAGACAAGAAAAAAATCCTAGTACATCCATCAAAGAAGTTAGACAGGAGAGGCAGTCAGGACTTCCGGAGACAGGGCTCCCGCCCAGGAAGCCCCTGGGAATGGAGACAGCCCTTTCGATCAGGGCAATCCTGGGACTGGCCCAGAGGCTCACGATCCTTCTACCCCAGACAGGATCGAACCCAGGATCGCCAGAGCCCGGGAGCCAGGGGCCAGTTCCAGTCCAGACGCCCATACAGGGGAGCGGGAGGCAGATCCTTTAAGCGTACCAAGTGACGCCAAACAGGATACTCCCATTGGGGGTCGGTTAGGAAATTTCATCGAGGTCTGGGAGCAGACCACGACCGACGCCTGGGTCCTGGAAACGATCAGGCATGGCCTGACCTTAGACTTCTGTTCTCCCCCACCAAACCGGTTCATCAGATGTCCCATCTCCAGAAGAGCACACAAGACGAGGCTGATAACTTCGGCCATAGCCCACCTCCTGTCAATCCAGGCCATAGAGAGGGTACCAAAGGAGGAGGAGGGAAGAGGATTTTATTCTATCCTCTTCGTCATCCCAAAGACATCAGGAGGGTGGAGAGCAATCTTGGACCTGAAGGGCCTGAACTATTTCATAAAGTACAGGAGGTTCAAGATGCACTCCTTGAAATCCATCCTAGCCAGCGTCAGGGAAGACGATCTATTATCCTCAATAGATCTCACAGAGGCGTACCTACACATCCCCACTCATCCCAGTTACCGGAAATTCCTCAGATTTACCTACGCGGGTCGACATTACCAATACAGGGCATTACCCTTCGGACTATCATCAGCACCAAGGGTATTCACCAAGGTCCTAGCTGTAATAGCGGCCCATCTCAGGTTGATCCCGGTTCGCGTTCAGTTTTATCTGGACGACATCTTGATTCAATCCAGATCTCGGGAGCAAGCAAGGGCAGATCTCGAGACCACGATCCGAACCCTACAGGGGCACGGATTCTCGGTCAATCTAAACAAGAGCCACCTCACTCCCTCAAGGAGACTGCAACACCTGGGCGCGGTGATAGACACGTCACAGTGCAGGGTATACCTTTCCCAGGAGCGACTGATCAGCATATCCAAGCTAATTCACCAAATTCAAAAGATCAGGAGAGTGCCCTTGCTACAACTCTCGAAGCTCCTGGGGAAGATGATATCTTGCATGGGCATCATCCCATGGGCAAGGCTCCACTCGAGGGAGTTGCAGTGGTTCCTCCTACCCTACCAGAGGAGGAACCTCAGCACCTCCAGCAAGAGGGTGCTGGTACCAGCACAGGTGATGAAATCACTAAAATGGTGGCTATCCCCCACGACACTCAAGGGGAGCATATTCAGGGAACCAAACAGGGTCACACTCACGACAGATGCGAGCCTGTTCGGATGGGGGGCCCACCTGGGAACCCAGATAGCACAGGGCCAGTGGGGACAGAAGGACCTGTCACACAGCATCAACTGGCTAGAGCTCCGGGCCATACACCTGGCCCTCCGTCATTTCTCTCACCTAGTAACGAGGAGGCACGTCCTCGTGCTAACAGACAATGTAGCAGCCAAGGCACATGTAAACAAGGAGGGAGGAACGAGATCAGTGGAACTAATGAAGGAAGCATTGGCTCTGGCTCGGTGGGCAGAAACCAATGTGAGTTCCATCAGAGCGGAACACATCTCAGGGGAGACAAACACCCAGGCAGACTCCCTGAGCAGAGCCAAGGTGGACCAGTCGGAATGGCGTCTGGACCCGGTTCTCTTCGAGGAGATCTCCTGGAGGTTCGGACAACCGCACCTAGATCTATTTGCCAACCACAAGAACACACAACTTCCCAGGTTCTTCTCCAGATTCCCGTCCCCGGGATCGGAGGGAACGGATGCTCTCAGGTGCCGGTGGCCGGCGCAACTCCTGTACGCCTTCCCACCGCTGCCATTAATACCGGCGACCATACGCAAGATGATCCTGGAGGGCGCAGAGATGGTCTGCATTGCCCCTCACTGGCCACGGCGCCCGTGGTTTGCCGACCTCGTGGACCTTTCGATATCACCTCCGTGGAGGATTCCCCCGGACAGGGTAAAGCTCAGGCAGGGCAAGCTTGTACACCCAGATCCCCAGTGGCTACATCTAGCCGCTTGGCATTTGAGCGGCAAAGCTTAACTAAACAATCTTATTCGGCAGGGGTGATATCGATCATACAGGCATCACGAAGAGCGTCCACTAATAGGATTTACGACGCTACATGGAAGGGATTTTGTAGGTGGTGCGCTTTGCTTCACCTAGACCCGACCACAGTATCTATCCCTAATATCCTAGATTACCTATTGGAGGGTCTTAATAAGGGCCTGTCAGTCAATACCATCCGCAGACAGATATCGGCCCTCTCAACTGTACTCTCCTGCGACAACTTAACTTCTCTAGCACAACATCCAGCGATTAGTGCATTCTTAAAAGGGGCATCTAACACAAAGCCCCCAGTCATACACAGGTACCCGTCCTGGAACCTGCCTAAGGTCCTTCTAGCCTTGACATCAGCACCCTTCGAGCCTCTTGAAACATGCTCACTTCATCACCTATCACTGAAGGTATCTTTCCTTGTGGCAATCACTTCAGCAAGGAGAATCTCAGAACTTGCAGCACTGTCAGTAAGGAAGGATCTGTGTACCTTCTTCAAAGACAGGGTTGTTCTTAGACCAGACCCGACCTTCATTCCGAAGGTAAATAGCATCTTTCACAGATCTCAGGAACTTACGCTTCCTGATTTCTGTCCAAGACCCAAACATAGGCTAGAACACAGATGGCACAAGCTAGACGTGCGGAGAGCGCTGTGTTTCTACGTGAAACGCACCTCGGCTTTCCGAAAGACTGAAGCATTATTTGTGTCCTTTCAACCAGCAACTATGGGAAAGAAGGTATCTCCTTCCACCATAGGCAAGTGGATCAGAGCCTGCATAGCACAGGCATACGTCTCACAGGATTTGCCAGCACCCACTCAGGTGACTGCCCACTCAACTCGGAGCGCAGCCACATCTGCGGCGTGGCTAACACAAGCTCCGGTGGAAGAGATTTGCAGGGCCGCAACCTGGTCCTCACCTTCGGTTTTCATTTGACATTACCGTTTAGATTCCCTAGCAGCAGCAGATGCGGCTTTTGGCAGAAGAGTTCTTCAACAAGTCGTATCTGCTCAGAGTTCGGTAGCCTAGACATTCCCTCCCAGGGGGACATGAGGGCTTTGGTATGTCCCATCCATTTGGACTCTACAGCCATCCTGCTGGAGAAGGGGCGTTGTCTTACCTGAACGCCTTTTCTCAGCAGGATGATGTAGAGTCCAAGCCCACCCAGAGGATAGGTCTAGGCAGGGAGAGAATAACGATATAATAAAGAGCTGCAATGTTAATTCCAACAAAGTTTCTCGCCTAAGTTAAAACTGGGGTCACGCCCAAAGGACGGGGTGTGGCCGAAGTTTTTACCCAGTCTGCCAGGCAGGAAGGCCGTCATAGAACCCATCCATTTGGACTCTACATCATCCTGCTGAGAAAAGGCGTTCAGGTAAGACAACGCCCCTTCTGCTGCACTTATTAATCTGATTGCTGTTCTTAATAGAGTTTGGATGGTGGAAACTTCGCCACAAGCCCAGGGTTTCAGATGTCTAATTTAGGGTGTGACAAGGCAGACATGGAACTTTTTGGGAATCGGTTTTGCTGTCTGATGCAGGTGCCCTGGCTTCAAGAAATACACGGCGCGCCTGGAAAGGAAGAGGAACCCTCAGTCCAGGGCGAAGGGAGAGTCTCTTTCCAGGCTGGAAGCAAAGGTCGTAAAAGATCCCGAGGTATCAAACGGAGGGTCCTCTTCAGTGACTGGAAGCTCAGAGGCTGCTGTTCTGTCGCCAGAGACCCCAAATCCTGGAATGGTTAACCCAGCCTTTGATGGGAGCGAAGAAGGTAGGCATCTAGAGAAATGAAGGCTGATGTAGGAGCACATGTGAGCAAGTGTCCAGAATAACAGAATAGAACAAGAGAGTTGGAAGGGGGACCTTGGAGGTCTTCTAGCCCAACCCCCTGCTCAAGAAGAGGCCCTGTACCATTCCCGACAAATGGCTGCCTAGTCTCTTCCTAAAAACCTCCAGAGTTGGAGCACCCTCAACTTCCAGTGGCAAGCTGTTCCACTGGTTAATTGCTCTCACTCTCAGGAAATTTCTTCTGAGTTCTAGGTACCTAAAGTACCTAATTCTCTCCTTGATTAGTTTTCACCCGTTGCTTCTTGCCTTGCCTTCTGGTACTTTAGAGAATAGGTTGACCCCCTCTTCCTCGTGGCAGCCCCTCAAATATTGGAAGACTGCTATCATGTCTCCCCTAGTCCTTCTTTTCACTAGACATACCCAATTCCTGGAAAGAAATTATATTGAGGTCTTCCCTCGTGTCTCCTGTATACGGGTAGTCCTCAACGTACGAGCGCAACTGACTCCCAAATTTCTGTTGCTAACCAAGAGAGCAATGCCCCATTTTACAACCTTTATCACGTACGGACAATGGACAATTAATACTTGTAGATGTAACAAGGAGGCAAAATGCAAAAATATATTTGGCTTCTTTTTCCATTTTATGTTCCTTTTAAGAGTTTTAAGAAATCCTGGAAAAATTCTATATCAGTTGAAAATTTTGATTTGAGTGTAACTAGCCAGAAAGCAGATTGAGATTTATATGGTAGATCGCTGTATGAATTTCTGTAGAATTCCAAAAAACTTTAATTAAAGTTTGTAATTCTGTTCTCTTATGGTTTTACTTGCGTTGATGGAATAGGACTGTGGGATTATGTTGTTCAATATGAAAATTGTGTCTTGTTATTTTCATTCGTAATAACACTTCTACTTAGGCATCTTGGCTCAGAAGTAGCGGTTCAAAGTTTTTTCAGACTTTTCTACTTTGTAAGCTTTTCCAAAGAGAGACTTGAAGTCAAGTTATTCCGGGGTTAGGTACTAGCTTCTAGAAACGAGGAAGGACGAACTCTAGATACAAAATTCCATCTTCAAAAAGTTGGAGATTGCATTTATAAATGTTTTAAATGATTAAGTTATAACTAGCAATCTACTAATTGGAATTTGGTATATAATAACTAAGGGAAACAGAGAGGAAATTTCTGATGATGTAAATTGATATACGTATGGATAAGCTTGTTATTGGACTATGTCAGTGATGGCGAACCTTTTAGAGACCGAGTGCCCAAACTGCAACCCAAAACCCACTTATGCATCGTCGAGTGCCGGGTGGGCGTGGCTGCGGTGCTAATGGCAGACTGGGTGGGACTAAAAAGTTCAATCAATCAATTCCAACTTTGCAAGATCTTTTTTTCTCCAGCAGGATGACTGTAGAGTCCAAATGGATGGGTTCTATGACGGCCTTCCTGCCTGGCAGACTGGGTAAAAACTTCGGCCACACCCCTTCCTTTGGGCGTGACCCCAGTTTTGACTCAGTCTCGAAGCCTGGTAGAAGTGCGAGAAGCAGCTCTCAGAACAAAACTAACTTAACTTAAAAAAAAAAAAAAAAAAAAAAAGGGAATCCCCTCTTCCTCCAGTTGAACGAAAATTTGTCTGGCAGCGGATAGGACTCGAGAGAGGCAGCCGGGATCGGCGGATTCGTGAGTGGGGCGTCAGGGACTAACGGGAGGCTTGGAGCCGGACCGGATCGCTCGCCCGCCGATACCCGGCCCACCGAGCAGCTGTTGGGGCGGGGGTTTCACTACCGGATTGCTCGCCGCTCTCCGGGGCCGCCAAACAGCTGAGCGGTTCGGGCGATAGAACGAGGCGCCGCTCAGCGCCAAACAGCTGAGCCGCGCGGAAAGCGTGATTGGGGCCGATAGAACGAGGCGCCGCTCAGCGCGAACCAGCTGAGCCGCGCGGAAAGCGGCTAAACCGCGGCGCCGCTCGGCATAGACCAGCGGAGCGGCGCGAGAGGCAGAACCAGCGCTAGAAGTGCCTTCTCCTTAGAGGAGAGGCGCGGTCCCTCAGAGTCAAAGATCCGCCATTGTTTGAACCTCGTGGATTCCCGGGCTAACATTAGGAGGCGTGGTTTCTTCCCCATTCGCCATTTTGAGCGAACGGACCTTCCCGCCGTTTTCCCCTTGGGGGCGGGGCCATCCGGACTCCATTCCCTTGCAGACAAAGGGGCAGCCCTTAAGCTAAAATCCGGGATTATCGCAAGAAACTGAGACAGGAGGAAGGAAGAGGGAAAAGGAAGAGAACCTTTCTGATCGTGGTCTGCTGCCACAGCCACAGACAGGGGGAGAGAGAGGTATAAACTGCACTTTCTCTGGACTAAGTGAGGAGGTGAGGAGGAGTATTTCTCTCTGACTGTTCCTATAGTGACCTTTAGTCACTGCCTTGCAGGATCTTCTGTCCAAAGACTCCTGTCTGTCCGGCCATTGTTTGTATAGGCAGAGGAGGGCTCAGCCCCAAACATCTGCATCTGATCTGCGTATCCTGTCCCCCACTCCAGGCACTACCTACTCGGGGTGTCTGGCACAATGGCAGACAATGTCTCGTATTCAGTCACACAGGTCCCTCAATTGTCCCCCCCACAGCAACAACAAAAACGCAGATCCTCTGAATCTGAGGTGGGGGGGAAGAAGAAAGCTAAAACAAAACACCTTTCTCAGAAGGGACAGTCTAAAACGGCTGAGCGAGAGGCTTTGAGGAGACATTTGGCTTTAGAAAGACACATTAGCAGGGCACAGAGAACCAATGCCAATGGGACAAATTCGGTTTCCCCTGTCCCAGCGGTGGCACCCAGCACAGACCCTACTGCCGAGGAAGTGCTTAAGACTTTGTCTCCTCCTGGGGAAACTGAACAGTTAGACTCCTCCAACCCCTCCTCACCAGCTTCTTCACCCGACCGCACCCCAGCGCCTCACTCTAACGACAAAGCGCAGGAGGGCATTTGGTCGGCACAATTCCATGCATTCATGCAGGATGCATTCTCCCAGTTCATGGCTTCTAAGGGACAAGTGGCCTTTCACACACCCCGTAAGGGTCGGGCTAGGCCACCCCCTACCAGCACCTCTGAAACTTCCTCTCCACTGGGAGAGGGTGACTCAGTGGACCTCGACATGTCAGACATGCCCCTCTCGGAGGACGAGGAGACGGCACCTGAGCAGGCAACGAGCTCTGGACTCTTTAACCCAGCGCTCCTAAAATCACTCCTGGTAAAGGCTGTTTCCACAGTCAACCTAACATCAGTACAGGATGAGAAGCCCTCAACAAGCAAGGAGGCCAACCCTCTGTTTGCCAAAAAGGTTCCACAAGATAAGTACATCCCATGTGCGGAGGTCTTCATGACCACGCTGGAGGAACAATGGTCCTCACTTGCAAGCCCACCGGCACCAAACAGCGCGGAAAGAAAGCTTTTCAACCTATCTCCCTCCTTCTCTACCATGTTAGAGGTTCCCACTGTCGATAACCCATTAATCTCATTATTTTCTACCTCCGCGATTCCAGGAGACATGGCGGAGGTCTTGAGGCCTGAGGAGAAGAAATTTGAACACTCACTCCGGCGTTCCCATATGGCTGCAGCCTGGGCGGCCAGAGCAGCCACTTGCTCATCTTTCTTCGCGAGGGCCAGCATCATGTGGCTGAGGGAACTGCAAGGCACGGTGCCTCCAGACCAGGTCAGAATACACCAAACATTGGCCAAGCTCCTCGCGGCCTCGCAATTTGTCTCAGACGCTTCACTGTACGCAACAAAGTATGCGGCTAGATCCATTGCGGCCCCAGTGGCCTCACGTAGGCTACTATGGCTCAAAAATTGGAAGACAGACCTGAGGTCCAAATGGCGTCTTTCGACGTCCAAATACAGTGGAGTAGACCTATTTGGTTCCATTCTGGACCCACATGTCAGCGAAGGCAGAGACAAGAAAAAAATCCTAGTACACCCATCAAAGAAGTTAGACAGGAGAGGCAGTCAGGACTTCCGGAGACAGGGTTCCCGCCCAGGAAGCCCCTGGGAATGGAGGCAGCCCTTTCGATCAGGGCAATCCTGGGACTGGCCCAGAGGCTCACGATCCTTCTACCCCAGACAGGATCGAACCCAGGATCGCCAGAGCCCGGGAGCCAGGGGCCAGTTCCAGTCCAGACGCCCCTATAGGGGAGCGGGAGGCAGATCCTTTAAACGCACCAAGTGACGCCAAACAGGATACTCCCATTGGGGGTCGGTTAGGAAATTTCATCAGGGTATGGGAGCAGACCACGACCGACTCCTGGGTCCTGGAAACGATCAGACATGGCCTGACCTTAGACTTCTGCTCTCCCCCACCAAACCGGTTCATCAGATGTCCCATCTCCAGAAGAGCACACAAGACGAGGCTGATAACTTCGGCTATAGTCCACCTCCTGCCAATTCAGGCCATAGAGAAGGTACCAAAGGAGGAGGAGGGAAGAGGATTTTACTCTATCCTCTTCGTCATCCCAAAGACATCAGGAGGGTGGAGAGCAATCTTGGACCTGAAGGGCCTGAACTATTTCATAAAGTACAGGAGGTTCAAGATGCACTCCTTAAAGTCCATACTAGCCAGCATCAGGGAAGACGATCTACTATCCTCAATAGATCTCACAGAGGCGTACCTACACATCCCCATCCACCCCAGCTACCGGAAATTCCTCAGATTTACCTACGCGGGGCGACATTACCAATACAGGGCATTACCCTTCGGACTGTCGTCAGCACCAAGGGTATTCACAAAGATCGTAGCTGTACTAGCGGCCCATCTCAGGTTGATTCCGGTTCGCGTCCAGTTTTATCTGGACGACATCTTGATTCAGTCCAGATCTCGGGAACAAGCAAGGACAGACCTCAAGACCACAATCCGAACCCTACAGGGGCACGGAGTCTCGGTCAATCTAAACAAGAGCCACCTCATTCCCTCAAGGAGACTGCAACACCTGGGCGCGGTGATAGACACGTCACAGTGCAGGGTATTCCTTTCCCAGGAGCGACTGATCAGCATATCCAAGCTAATCCACCAAATTCAACAGATCAGGAGAGTGCCCTTGCTACAACTCTCGAAGCTCCTGGGGAAGATGATATCTTGCATGGGCATCATCCCATGGGCAAGGCTCCACTCGAGGGAGTTGCAGTGGTTCCTCCTACCCTACCAGAGGAGGAACCTCAGCACCTCAAACAGGAGTGTGCTGGTACCCGCACAGGTGATGAAATCACTAAAATGGTGGCTATCCCCCATGACACTCAAGGGGAGCATATTCAGGGAACCGAACAGGGTCACGCTCACGACAGATGCGAGCCGGTTCGGATGGGGAGCCCATCTGGGGACCCAGATAGCACAGGGCCAGTGGGGTCAAAAGGACCTGTCACACAGCATCAACTGGCTAGAGCTCCGGGCCATACACCTGGCCCTCCGTCATTTCTCACACCTAGTAACGAGGAGACACGTCCTCGTGCTTACAGACACTGTAGCAGCCAAGGCACATGTAAACAAGGAGGGAGGAACGAGATCAGTGGAACTAATGAAAGAAGCATTGGCTCTGGCTCGGTGGGCAGAAGCCAATGTGAGTTCCATCAGAGCGGAACACATCTCAGGGGAAACAAACACCCACGCGGACTCCCTGAGCAGAGCCAAGGTGGACCAGTCGGAATGGCGTCTGGACCCGGCTCTCTTCGAGGAGATCTCCCGGAGGTTCGGACAACCGCACCTATATCTATTTGCCAACCACAAGAATACACAACTCCCCAGGTTCTTCTCCAGATTCCCGTCCCCGGGATCGGAGGGAACGGATGCTCTCAGGTGCCGGTGGCCGGCGCAACTCCTGTACGCCTTCCCACCGCTGCCACTAATACCGGCAACCATACGCAAGATGATCCTGGAGGGCGCAGAAATGGTCTGCATTGCCCCTCACTGGCCACGGCGCCCGTGGTTTGCCGACCTCGTGGACCTTTCGATATCACCTCCGTGGAGGATCCCCCCGGACAAGGTAAAACTCATTCAGGGCAAGCTTGTACACCCAGATCCCCAGTGGCTACAACTAGCCGCTTGGCATTTGAGCGGCAAAGCTTAACTAAACAATCTTATTCTGCAGGGGTGATATCGATCATACAGGCATCACGAAGGGCGTCCACCAATAGGATTTACGACGCTACATGGAAGGGATTCTGCAGGTGGTGCGCTTCGCTTCACCTAGACCCGACCGCAGTATCTATCCCCAATATCCTAGACTACCTATTGGAGGGTCTTAATAGGGACCTGTCAGTCAATACCATCCGCAGACAGATATCGGCCCTCTCAACCGTACTCTCCTGCGACAACTTAACTTCCCTAGCACAACATCCAGCGATCAATGCCTTCTTAAAAGGGGCGTCTAACACAAAGCCCCCAGTCATACACAGGTACCCGTCCTGGAACCTGCCTAGGGTCCTTCTAGCCTTGACATCTGCACCCTTCGAACCTCTTGAAACATGCTCACTCCATCACCTATCACTGAAGGTAGCTTTCCTTGTGGCAATTACTTCGGCAAGGAGAATTTCAGAACTAGCAGCTCTGTCAGTAAGGAAGGATCTGTGTACCTTTTTCAAAGACAGGGTCGTTCTTAGACCAGACCCGACCTTCATCCCGAAGGTAAATAGCACCTTTCACAGATCTCAGGAACTTACGCTTCCTGATTTCTGTCCAAGACCCAAACATAAGCTAGAACACAGATGGCACAAGCTAGACGTACGGAGAGCACTGTGTTTTTACGTGAAACGCACCTCGGCTTTCCGAAAGACTGAAGCATTATTTGTGTCCTTTCAACCATCAACCATGGGAAAGAAGGTATCTTCTTCCACCATAGGCAGGTGGATCAGAGCCTGCATAGCGCAGGCCTACGTCTCACAGGATTTGCCAGCACCCACTCAGGTGACTGCCCACTCAACTCGGAGCGCAGCCACATCTGCGGCGTGGCTAACGCAAGCTCCGGTGGAAGAGATTTGCAGGGCCGCAACCTGGTCCTCACCTTCGGTTTTCATTCGACACTACCGTTTAGACTCCCTAGCAGCAGCAGACGCGGCTTTTGGCAGAAGAGTTCTTCAACAGGTCGTATCTGCTCAGAGTTCGGTAGCCTAGACATTCCCTCCCAGGGGGACATGAGGGCTTTGGTATGTCCCATCCATTTGGACTCTACAGTCATCCTGCTGGAGAAGGGGCGTTGTCTTACCTGAACGCCTTTTCTCAGCAGGATGATGTAGAGTCCAAGCCCACCCAGAGGATAGGTCTAGGCAGGGATATAATAAAGATATAATAAAGAGCTGCAAGGTTAATTCCAACAAAGTTTCTCGCCTAAGTCAAAACTGGGGTCACGCCCAAAGGAAGGGGTGTGGCCGAAGTTTTTACCCAGTCTGCCAGGCAGGAAGGCCGTCATAGAACCCATCCATTTGGACTCTACATCATCCTGCTGAGAAAAGGCGTTCAGGTAAGACAACGCCCCTTTTCCCTGCAAGAAGTTGAAATTGACCGATTGAACCTTTTTTTTTTTTTTTTTGCACACGGCGGCGGAGGCCTAAAGCGAAAAGGTTTTATAAAACCCAGCTTATAAAAGGCCTAGGACTGGGGCGATGGCGCGCGTGCCCACAGAGAGGGCTCTGAGTGCCGCCTCTGGCACCCGTGCCATAGGTTCGCCACCACTGGACTATGTATTACCCAGCCGTCATGTTGCTTCCTTAAATACCTGAAGGTTTGTAAAAATGGAAAATCAATAAAACTTGTTTTAAAAAAAAACCAGTTGGAGATTGCAGGATTACTGGTGAGAAAAGATGGGCTGGATGCAGGTTGCCATATTTGCTGTAGATCAGTGTTTCCCAAACTTGACAATTTTAAGGCATGTGGACTTCAACTCCCAGAATTCCACAGCCAGCGTTGCTGGCTGTGGAATTCTGGGAGTTGAAGTCCTCATGCCTTAAAATTGTCAAGTTTGGGAAACACTGCTGTAGATGGTTAAAAAAAAAATCCAGCACTTTAATCCTTACTCATAGGCTTTCTGACTTTGCTCTGTCAGATTTACCTCAGAGAGCGAGTCTTCTGGCAGAGACAAGCACAATCGAACTCCACCGAGAGGACCCCGAGGAAGAGCTCGGTATGCGTATAGTCGGTGGCAAAGACACACCTCTCGGGAACATCGTTGTGCAGGAGATATTTCAGGATTCCGTGGCGGCCACAGATGGAAAACTCGCGCCCGGAGACCACATCCTAGAGGTGGGTTTGCTGTCATTAAAACACCAAGGCCACACGACGAGTTGATCATTGGCTGTGGCAGATTTTAATCAGATTTTGGGAAGGTAGTCTTTGGCTCACGACCACAACTGAGCCCAAGATTTGTAAGCAAGACAGTTGTTAAAGGATGATCACCCCATTTTACAACCTTTCTTGCCACAGTTATGAAATGAATCACTATAACTGTTCAGTTAGTAACACGATTGTTAAAAGAATTTGACTTTCCTTGTCAGGAGGTTGCAATTGTCAGAAATAGGAAGCAGTTGCCAAGCGTCTGCCTTTTGATCATGTGACCTTGGGGATGCTGCAGTGGTCATAAGTGTGAGAAACGGTCATGTCACTTTTTTTTAGTGCCGTTGTAATTTGGAAGGGTCATGGAACGAATGTCGCGGACTAATTGTAAAGCAAGGAGGAATGATAGGCGTGGGAGGCATTAAATAGACACGGAGGTCGGAGATGTGGAAGCTGGACAGTGCTTTGCTAAGCTTTTTGACTGAGCAACTGTGTGCTAAATACCTTTGCAACTTTTCTGGTTTACTTTTTCTGATTTTTATGAGAGAAGGAAAATGCTGCCGTTGGTCCATTGTCTTCCTTATTTTCATAAGGGATTTTCATGACCTTCCCTGGCCATGATCTGCAACTGTCCTCCATGAATGACCTCTGGCACAACGGGTATATTTCATATTTCAGAATAATGCCAGCCGTGGTGGCGCAGTGGTGAGAATGCAGAATTGCAGGCTAATTCACTGCTCACTGCCAGCAGTTCGATCCTGACTGGCTCAAGGTTGGCTCGGCCTTCTATCCTTCCGAGGTCGGTAAATTGAGGACTTGGATTGTTGGGAATAAGATGCTGACTCTGTAAGCCGCTTAGAAAGGGCTGTAAAGGACTATGAAGCGGTATATAAGTCTAGTGCTATTGCTACCTTCCCTGCCTTTCCCATTTCTTTCCTTCCTTCCTTCCTTCCTTCCCTCCCTCCCTCCCTCCCTCCCCCTTTTTCTTCCTACTGAGCTGTGATTGCACGGAGGTTAGAATGCAGTATTGCAAGCTAACTCACCGCCCACTGCCAGTAGTTCGATCCTGACAAGGCTCAAGATTGACTGAGCCTTCTATCCTTCCGGGGTTGATAAAATGAGGACCCGGATTGTTGGGGGCAACAGGCTGACTGTGTAAACCACTTAGAGAGGGCTGTAAAGCACTGTGAAGCAGTGTATAAGTCTAAGTGCTATTGCTCTAATCCTATTTTATTTGCTCTTATTGAAGCAAGTCAGGACAAATTCCTGGAGAAGTCACTTGCTTCTTCGTAGGATTTCCTTCCTACAGTGCTTACATTCTGTTATTTTCTTTTGCCATGATACAGAAAGGAGGGAAGGGTGTCCTGGTGGAAGGACCTTTAGGAGACCATCTTTTGACCAGCAGCTGTTTCTTTCCTTATCCCAGGTGAATGGTGTGAACATCAGCAGCGTGACCCACTGCCAAGCCATCTCGCTCTTACGCCAGCCCTGTGAGGAGCTTCACCTTCTGGTGCTTCAAGAGAAGGGCTTTACCAACCGGACAGGGCCATCCGTCGTGAACCAGGAAGTGGTCCATGTGGTCCTCGTCAAAAGAGACCGATCCGAACCCCTTGGCATTAAACTGATCAGAAAAACCGATGAACCTGGGATCTTCATTCTGGACCTGTTAGACGGAGGATTGGCAGCCAAGAACGGGAAGCTGCGTCAGAACGATAAAGTCCTTTCTATAAACGGTCAGGATCTCCGCCAAGGGACGCCGGAAGCGGCTGCACAGATAATCCAGGTAAGTTTGAAAGAGAGCACAGGTAGTCCTCTACTTATAACACTTCATTTAGTGACCGTTCAAAGGAACAATAGCATTGGAAAAAAGTGACTGAACGACTGTTTTTTCACACTTAGGACCGTTGTGTCATCCCAACAGTCACGGCATCGGAATTCAGACGCTTGGCAACTGACTCATATTTACGATGGTTTGCCGTGTCCTGGGGTGACCTCCTGACCCTTTGGTGACCTCCTGACAAGTAAAGTCAATGGGGGAAGCCAGATTCATTTAACAACCATGTTCCCAACTTAACAACTGCAGTGATTCACTTAACAACTGTGGCAGGAAAGGTTGCAAAATGAGGCAAAGTTCACCTAACGCAGGGGTTCTCAACCTTTCGAATGCCGCGACCCCATAATACAGTTCCCCATGTTGTGGTGACCCCCAACCACTTATACATCACTGGGTGCCAGAGGCGTGGCCAAAGAAAAGGGGGGAAAAGATGGCGGACAGCCTTGTTTGGCGACCCCCATGAAATGGTCGATCGACCCCAAAGGGGGTCCCGACCCACAGGTTGAGAACCACTGACCTAACAGCTGTCTCACTTAGCAACAGAAATTTTGGGCTCAGTTGTGGCTGTAAATCGAGGGCCACTTCCAGACTGGAATTATTGTTGTTGTTAGTTGCCAAGTCATGTCCAACCCTTCGCGACCCCATGGACAATGTTCCTCCAGGACTTCCTGTCCTCTCCCATCTCTGAAGTCCATTCAAATTCACACCTACTGCTTCAAGTGACTCCCTCCAGCCCCCTCCTTCTCTGTCGTCCCCTTCTTCTATTGCCCTCAATCTTTCCTAGCATTAGGCCCTTCTCCAGTGAGTCCTTCCTTCTCATTAGGTGGCCAAAGTACTGGAGTTTCAACTTCAGTATCTGGCCTTCTAAAGAGCAGTCAGGGTTGATCTCCTCTAGGACTGACCGGTTTGAACGCCTTGTAGTCCAGGGGACTCGCAGGAGTCTTCTCCAGCACCAGAGTTCAAAGGCCTCAATTCTTTGGAGCTCAGCCTTTCTTATGGTCCAACTTTCACAGCCATACATTGCAACTGGGAAAACCATGGCTGGACTATACACACTTTTGTTGGCAGGGTGATGTCTCTGCTTTTTAGTATGCTGTCTAGATTTGCCATAGCTTTCCTCCCCAGGAGCGAGCGTCTTTTAATTTCTTGGCTGCAGTCCCCATCTGAGGTGATCTTGGAGCCCAGGAAGCCCAGTCTGGAGTATGGTAGTTCAGTCTAGAGAAGCTTTGGTTGCATGAAGCACCTTCAAGTTGAGAGACCAAACCTTGGTCCCTATCCTGTAGAGTTGACAAATACTTTGGGTAGCTGCAGCTGTCAAGGAGAGACGTTTCTTCATCCTTGTAATCGGAGGTCTTCCTAGGGAGAAGACAAAGTCCTCGACTTTGGACCACAAATGGAACCAGAATTTCCATTGCTAAGCAAGACAAATTGTCGTCGCCCCTGATTTTGTGACCTTTATGCCAGAGTTAAGCGGTTGTTAAGTGAATCTGGTTCCCCTTGTTGACTTTGCTTGTCAGAAGTGGATCACATGACCCGAGGATGCTACAAGTGCCATCAATGCACGCCAGTTGCCAGGTGCCCAGATTTTGATCCCATGACCGTGGGGCACTGCGACGGTCCTAAACGTGAAGACTGGCCATAAGTCCCTTTTTCCAGTGCCGTTGCAACTTTGAACGGTCGCTAAACAAAGGGTTGTAAGCGGAGGACCGCCTGTTGTGACTAAACGTGGCTCCTCCTATAGTCAGAGCATGTTTGCCTGCGAGGAGATGGGGCCAAGACGAGCGACCCCAGGCTGTGATCAAGTCAGATAATTGCCCTGCACCGCTTCATTTTCCTGTAGGCTCAGAAACAGATACATCAAAGCAAAGTGGAGTCTGGGGTTGGGCTTTTTTTATTATTATTATTTTGGCAGGGAATTCCTGGAATCAGTTCTGCTTGTGCACCAGGGTCTCTCCCAGCTTTCCAAAATGTTTCTCCCCCCCCCCCCAAATGCTGTTAAGTGTTTTATAAATACTTCATAAATAACAGGAACCTGACACAATTTAAATTTTCAGCTGGAAAATTGGGAAGATACAAATAGGTCTTTGACTTACAAGCACAACTGAGGCCAGAATTTATGTTGCTAAGTGAGACATTTGTTCAGTGAGTTGTGTCCCATTGTATGACTTTTCTTGCCACAGTTGTTAAGGGAGTCCCTACAGTGGTTGTGTTAGGGACACGGTTGTTAAGTGGATCTGGCTTCACCCCACTGACTTTGCTGGTCAGAAGGTGGCAGAAGGGGATCACGTGATCCCAGGACACGGCAACGGTCGTAAACAGGAACCATTGTCAAGCATCGGAATGTAAATCACCTGACCCTGGGAATGCTGCAATGGTCATAAGAGTGAAAAATGATCCTAAGTTATTTTTTTCATTTCAAACCTGGGAGTCCACAAGTCATAAAAGGGCCAAGTTTGAAGACCCCGGTTCTAAACTGAGGACTACCTGCGTGTAGTAAGAAATAAGAGGGATAAATGAATCTGCAAGAAAGGTTGGGGAAAATAAACTACGTGTTGCTTTGTAAATTCATGGTGCTAATGAGGAGTTAAACAATAAAATAACATAATTACAGGTAGTCCTTGACTTACAGCAGTTCATTTAGTGACCGTTCAAAGTTACAACGGCACTGAAAAAAGGGACTTATGACCGTTTTTCACACTTATGACCGTTGCAGCATCCCCAGGGTCATATGATCAAAATTCAGTTGCTTGGCAACTGACTCACATTTACGACGGTCACAGCGTCCCGGGAGGGTCACGTGATCCCCTTTTGTGACCTTTTGACCAGCAAAGTCAATGGGGGAAGACAGATTCAGTTAACAACCTTGTGACTAATTTAACAACTGCAGTGATTCCCTTAACAAATGCGGGGAGAAAAATCGAGGATTTAACCTGTATTGGTAAACCAGGAAAGAAGTGGGCCATGCCACCTTTTAAGGCAGGGGTTCTCAACCTTGGCAACTTTAAGACTTGTGGACTTCAACTCCCAGAATTCCTCAGCAAAGCTGGCTGAGGAATTCTGGGAGTTGAAGTCCACAAGTCTTAAAGTTGCCAAGGTTGAGAACCCCTGTTTTAAGGAGTAAGGATTGCGAGCACGTGTAAAGAAACACACATTTAATAGAAAGACAAATACAAGGAGTTAGAGCAAATATTTATGTACTGAGCAATCTATTTATTTATTTACTAGATGGATACAGCCGCCCATCTCATGCTTGTGACTCTGGGCGGTGCACGCGGCTAAAAGAGAAAAAAAAAACCTAATTACAATAATTAAAAAACCATTAAAAATACAATTAAAATTAAATCAGCCGCCCAGAGTTGCTGTTGCCGTCAGATGAGTGGCACATGCATTTAATAAATAAAAAAGAGTTAAAACTCTAATAACAAAGATATGAGAGGATTCCAGGCACACCACACAACCATTTAATGGGCCCCACGCTGCCATGGGATTCCTCAAGCGCCAAGAGTTTGAAGGGTCTTCTGGATAAGCCAGTAGGATTGGGCCAATTTCACGCGATGTGTCAAAGGGAGGGTGCCACAGCAGAGAAGGTCCTGCCCAAAAAGCTCCTTGCCACAGCGTTGATCCTCCTGCCAGATCTGATGGGGTACTTAGGAACTGGGGAGAGGCTGTCCCGCAGGTAACCTGGCCCCATGCTATGTATAGCTTCATTAGTCATCACCAACACCTGGAGTTGAACCCAGAAGGAAACTGGAAACCAGTACAGCTCACAGAGCAGAGGTGTAACCTGTGCAGTTCTAGTAGCCCACCTAATAGAAAAGAAGAAAATTTGTAGCTCAGAGTTAAAATGAGGGATCCTTGGTGCTCTCTGAGCTTGGGTTATTTTCTTGCAGACGTTTCATTACCCAAACTAGGTAGCATCATTAGTGTCCCCAAACTAGGTAATATGCTCAGTGCTGATGGTGTTACCTAGTGTGGCTAATGAAACATCTGAACAAGCTAGAGAACACCCAGAATGCCTTCTTACCTAATCTGTAAGAAAACTACCAAGAGCCCTGGTGGCTAGAATGCAGTATTGCGGGCTAATTCTGCCAACTGCCAGCAGTTTGATTCTCACCGGCTCAAGGTTGACTCAGCCTTCCATCCTTCCAAGGTCAATAAAATGAGGACCCTGATAGTTGAGGACAACATGCTGACTGTGTAAACCACTTAGAGAGGACAGTAAAGAACTGTGAAGGGGTATATAAGTCTAAGGGCTATTGCTATTGCTAAGCTCAGAAAGCACCGGTTTTATTGAAACTAGGTAACATCGCCAGTGCACTGATGATGTTATCTAGTTGGGTAATGAAAAGTCTGCAAGAAAATAACCAAGCTCAGAGAGCACTTAGGACCTTTCATTTCAATCCTGAGCTATAAATATTCTCCTTTATTGAAACTAGATAACATCAACGGTGCACTGATGATCTTACTTTGTTGTGTACTGACACACGTCTGCAAGAAAGCAATCAAGCTCAGAGAGCACCAAGGACCCCATAGCATAATTGCCTGCACTACTGCCTTTTGTACCAGCTGAAGCTTTGAGATACTTTTCAAGAGCAGCCCCACGTAGAGGGCAAAACAGTAGTCCATTTGGGAGGTCACCAGGGCATGAGTGACCAAGAGTGTCAACCACATCAATATTTTAATTCTCTTTTATTTATTTGTTAAATTTCTACACCAACCATCACAGCCAAGTGACTCTGGGACATTTTATAACAACATAATAAAACAATATAAACACTTGATTAAAAGTAGTCCATTTGGGAGGTCACCAGGGCATGAGTGACCAAGAGTGTCAACCACATCAGTATTTTAATTTCTACAGCAACCATCACAGCCAAGTGACTCTGGGACATTTTATAACAACATAATAAAACAATATAAACACTTGATTAAAAGCAGAAGTTGAAAACAGAATTAAGAATAAGGAGAAAATGTATAGATTAAAAGTGAAAACCAAACTTAAAAAATTCAAAAGACTTAAAAATGTTAAACAAGATAGAGGGAGTGCCCTCAAGCCATCAGCCAACCCCAAGGCTGCATCCTATTTAAAATAAAATAAAAATATAATAAATATTCTATTAATACTTTTCTGAATTTAAGATTGACTGGAAAGTCTAACAGCGTACTTTGTAAACCACTTTAGTACTTTGTTTTTATATGTATCTATGTAATGTATGTAGGTATATGTGCAGGAATGCTGTGCAGCAAAATTCCTACCACAAGATTTCATGAGATAAGGGAATGGAATAGCTTTGCATCTGAAATTCTTGTCTGAAATGCACGGAATCCTACTGGAAAAGTTTTGTAGATTTTGTTAGAAGTTGCTCTCGTGGCTTCAGTGGCCTCTTAAATTAAACAAAGAAAAACGCCCCTTAGGTGTATCTTTTTTATTTTTAAAATTCCAAGAAACTGAAGTTTTAAGTTGAATGTGTGATTACTAGAACAGGAAGATTGTCCCCCCCCACATTTGAGGGCAAACATTTCAGTTTAGATTGAAAAGGTGTAAATGTATGTAGTGAGACTGACCCACAGAGCTCAAATGCAAGCTGCAGCGGAATGGCTGCCTTGCTTACAATGAAGCCAGTGGCTTGCAGATATTCCTTTATTAGCAACCGTTGGAAATTACAACCATTCATTTAGCAACAGTTGGAAATTACAGTGGCACCAAAAAAAAAGTGACTTTCCACTGGTCTTCATGTTTATGACTGTTAGAAGTGAATATTTGTAACTGAGGGTTGAACTGTGGGTTCCTTGGTGATCTCTGAGTTTGATGGTTTCCTTGCATACTTTTCATTACCAAACTAGGTACCTCATCAGTGCTGTTGCTTATGTTACCTTGTTTGGTAATGAAGCATCTCCAAAAAAAAGCTCAGAGTCCATCAAAGACCCCCCCCCCCAGTATGTGTCTGTAGTTTGGATGCTGATGATAAATAGCAGGTATAAATAGCACAGGGAAGAAAAGCTGCATTGTTCCTAAGGAATTCCATTTGGTGATTAAAATAATGGGTAACTAATCCTCTGTCTTTCTTTCTAACAATGCCAAGAGAAACTCTGTTGACAGCTTGCTATGCTGACTCACATTTGTATTGTGTAAACCATAATTGGTGGGATGTGCAAACCTTAAGCTTTATACTGTGGTTTACAAATCATAATTATGGGATCCCATCAAGTAAATAACAACACTGTGCTCTGGTGTGATGTATCAACAGATTTTAGAATCAGTGAATTAGTAAATGAGCAATTACTTTAGGCCACAGTTTAAATATTCGCTTAAACTGGGTTAAGAGTAAATCCAAGACTTTATAACAGAATAAACTAACACTAGCTTGCATTAACATTTCAAGGTTATGCATTGTAAGCTGCAGTTGTCCATTCTGACTGTTTTTTTCTAGATATGTATAATAATCTTGACCCTTCCTGTTACAAGATAGGGATTTTTTTGGAGGAGTGGGGCAGGGGGAATTGGGAACGCCTTCCCAGCCTTTTCCATGTTGATTTCCTGTTCTGTCCCTAAATTTTGGATTCAAGACTACGTAGCTAAAACAGAAACTGCTGCTGTTTTGTAACATGCCCGTGTCATGCTGAATAGTTATGTAAAGCCAGTTTGGTTTAACGGTGAAGGCACCAGGATAGAAATCAGGAGACTTAGGCATGAATGGCAGCTTAATCACCAAGGGATCATGAGTTCTAATCCTGCTTTAGGCATGAATGGCGGCTGGGGGACTTTGGGGCAGGCACTGGGAGTCTCTGAGTTCTAGTCCTGCCTTGAACACAAAAGCCGATTGCTTGACTTTGGGCCAGTCCCTCTCTCTTAGCCCAACCCACCTCACAGGGCTGCGGGGAAAATAGGAGGAGTATTAGGTGTGTTTGTCATCTTGAGTTATTTATACAAATAATAAGGTTGGGATATAATAAATAATGACATTGCACAGTTGCGTATTGATTGTGGAAATGGCTAATTGTTCAGTCAATTACTACTGTTATTTCACTTATTTTAGTTCCCTGTGTTTATACCTACATACATCTCTCTCTCTGTCTCTCTCTCTCTCTCTCTCTACACACACACACACACACACACACACACAATTGTGTGTTATATATAACATATTTGTTTTCAATGTATATTTTATTTTTTAAAACTGGCTTTATGACAGCCTTAGAAACAGAAAATTCAATATACATTAAATGTGAGCATCCTATATGGATGGATGGATGGATGGATGGATGGATGGATAGAAAGATAGATAAATAGTGAATGGATGGATAGATAGATAGATAGATAGTGGATAGATGGATGGATGGATAGATAGATAGATAGATAGATAGATAGATAGATAGATAGATAGATAGATAGATAGTGGATAGATAGATGGATAAATAGATGGATAGATAGATGGAGTGATAGATTGATTGATTGAGTGAGTGATTGATTGGATGCCCACAAATATACATGGAAAACAAACCCTTAATGGAAGCATCCTCTAGCTTTCCTGGAGGGTCCTTAAAAGCCTCTGATAGCAAGGAACTCATCAAAGTGCTCAAGCGTTTTCGGTTATTCCTCTTCTAAGCTTCTCCTTTTCTGTGATGTCCCCTGACAGGGCAGTGAAGCCCAGGTGAGCTTCGTGGTTCTCCGTCCGTCTGGCGTGCAACTCTCGGAAGCCGCTGAGGACAGCAGCACTTCCAACGCCAGCAGCGGCAGCAACGGGGGAAGCCCCGTGCGCAGTCGCAGGAAGCCGGAGCAGAGTCACTTCCGGCGAAGGTCCAACTATCAGAAGGTATCGGTCCTCCCGTCAGTTCTGGTTGACTTGAACTCTTCTCCACTTGAGCAAACAGTGTTACGGAAATGGCACAGAAACAGTAGGACCTACAGGCAGCCTTCGACTTAACAACCATTTGTTTAGTAACCTTTTGAAGTTACAGCGGCCCTGGAAAAAGTGACTTAGGACTGTTTTTCACACTTACGACCATTGCAGCATCCCCAAGGTCATGTGATCCAAATTCAGCCACTTGGCAACTGGCTCATATTTATGACGGTCACAGTGTCCCCCGGGGATCACGTGACCCCCTTTTGCGACCTTCTCACAATCAAAGTCAAGGGGGAAGCCAGATTCACTTAACAACTGTGTTACTAATTTAAGAACTGTGGCAAGCAAGGTCATAAAATGGAGCAGCACACACTTAACAACGGTCTCGCTTAACAACAGAAATTTGGGGCTCAGCTATGGTCATAGGTTGAGGACTACCTATAATTGGTTAAGGATCTTACCACGGGAATGTTTTTAATTGGCAGTGTTAAGATGATCTCTTTTACCAGAGGTCTAGATTGCTCCAGATTGCAGAAGCTACCTTTTGCTTTAATGTAGAATTTAGCCCCCACCCATCCTTCCAAAGCCTTAAGCCCCGCCCCCTAGAGCCCTCAAACATGGCTCTCAGATTGTAACTTTTATAATATGACCTGGGTGGGATTGTTAAATACACGGTGTGAGTGTAATTATATTAACTATGTTTATGTAAACAAGTGAAATGAGATGAAATTTAATTTTTCGCCTTGGCTGTGCTCTCTGGTTTTGGAGTGCAGCCTTTGATCATGGGCCCCTCCCAGCCTGGAAAGAGGGTGTGCCATTTTGTGTAATGGCTCTGCCGGTTGGCTTGGGGGCCTAATGGAGGCGCTCTAGGCTGGAGGCGGTCGCTGCAGCGACTTAGAAGGCGCCACCTCTGCTCTTGAGCCCTTGGCGTTCAGCCTGCATTGTAATTCTTGTAATTTTTAAATTAGTTTTAGGGTTTTCATTGTCCTTATGTTTATTGTGTTTATGTCTGTTGTGTTGTAAGCCACCCGGAGACTCTTTCAGTAGCGAGATGGGCAGCAAATAAATTTAATAAATAAATAACTGGGAACTTAGAAGTTGGACAGAATAGGAAACAGATGACAGTAAGTAAGAGAAGAGCACACGACAGGGAGCCAGTTGCAGTGATTTGATGCTCTAATTTCATTTTTAAACTGACTTCACAACATTTCTCCCCTTGCCACTTAATAAGAGCTCATGTGGAATCTTTTGGGTAAAAACGCAAGAATGTCATGAAAATGGTACAAAATGGCCAGTCATTAAAGCAGCAGAGAAAGTGAAAAGTAAGGCAAGGCAGAATAGAAGAGGGGTGGGTGTGAAACTAAATCTGTGTTGGTCTGGAGAGAGAAATTCAGCAGTGGAAGAGCTGTTTGTGAGAAAGCCTGTTCTACCGTCATCAGCATTTATTTCACTGGAGGGGATCAGGTAAAAAACCTGGTCATGGAACAGAAGGCTGGAAGGGACCTTGGAGACCTTATAGCATCCCGGACTAATGGTTGTCTAATGTCTTGTTGAAAGCTTCCAGTGGTGGAGCACCCACAACTTCTGGAGGCAACTTGCGTTCCATTGACAAATTGTTCTCATTCCTTCTTAATTCCAAGTTGGAACTCTCTTTAATGATCTACCTATTGATTCTCATCCTGACATTGGAGAATAAGTCAATTTCCTCTTCTCTGTGACAGTCCCTCAAGCATTGGATGACTGCTATCATGTCTCCCCTACTCCTTCTTTTCATTAGACTAGACATACTTAGTTCCCTCCATTGTCCCCAGACTCCTTATCATGGTTAATTAAAGCATAATTAAAGGAGCCGTGGTGGCACAGAGGTTAGAATTCTGCCAGCTGCCAGCAGTTCGATCCTGACCGGCTCAAGGTTGACTCAACCTTCCATCCTTCCGAGGTCGGTAAAATGAGGACCCAGATTGTTGGGGGCAAATATGCTGACTCTGTAAACCGCTTAGAGAGGGGCTGTAAAGCATTGTGAAGCGGTACATAAGTCTAAGTGCTGTTGCTATGAGGTTGCTACTTTTCCATGATTGGCAGGGATCTGCACATTACTCTCTGGATTTAAAAGGTCCAAAATCCATTGCAACTGACAGGCTTTCTGCCTCCTGGGAAAAAAGTTGTATGATTAATGAACTTTCCATATCCTATTATTTCCATACAGATGATCCCTGTAGGGCAGTGGTTCTCAACCTGTGGGTTGGGACCCCATTTGGGGTCGAACGACCATTTCACGGGGGTCACCAAACAACACAGTCTGCCATTTTTTTCCCCCTTTTCCTTAGCTGTGCTACTCCCTTTTATTCTATTGGCTTTTGAAAGCCAATAGAATAGACTCTCTTGAATAGAGTCTAATTCTATTGGCTCTCAAAAGCCAATAGGAATTGTCCAGGCTGTCTCTGCCCTGCTGAGCCCGCCAAAAGTCCCATTCTGCAAACAGTGCTGCACCAGTTGAGTAGTCCTCGACTTACGACCGGTTGAGTAGTCCTCAACCTACGACTGGTTGGGGGTCACGACATTAAAAAGGTTGAGAACCACTGCTGTAGGGGTATCTCCCATATTACCATTATTGGGAGTTCATCTTAATTCCTCATTGGAAGTAGTTATTTATCTATTGTTATTGAAATGTGAACAAAAAGCGCACAACTACAAACGTTCTGTATGTTACAGAAATAGTTCAGGCATCTGGTGATCCACACAAAAGCATAAATGTTCTTTTTGAAATCATTTTCAACAGCTTCCCTTAATTATATTCAGGAAGATTTTGCAAGCCAGCTTGTTTTCTGCAAAAGGTGGGCTGACGTATTTTCTAGCCAGGATGTCTGACTTGCTTCCTGTTCACCTTTAACTTCAGGAAAGAAGATGGCTTTTTAGCCCTTTCATGAAAGTTAAGCATGTCGTTAAGAATAGGCAACAATTGTAAGAGTGACAGAACGTGTTTTGAATACATCGTTCTAGCTTTCTCTTAGCCTATTACCTAGGAATTCATACGTAAAAAATAAGGTTTTCAACTCTGGAAGTTGTCCCAGACAAAATAACCTCTGGGTTTCATTTAAACATAACTCTTTTTTTTTTTCCTTTCTCCAAACCAAACTTTTTAGAATTCCTCAGGAGAAATGTCTATGGAGATTCTCAGTCATCCAGGTCATGGTTGTCCCAAAGATGTTTCACTTCTTATCCAAGAAGCTTCTTCAGTTCTGGCTGAATGGCGGAGAATGGAAGGACTTACATTCCTTGCACTATTCAGGTGACCTTGAGGGCAGATAAACCTCCATGTGGCCTCAAGGACTCTCAGAGAGAGCGCCAATGACCGGATGACTGCAAGGAATATAAACCCATCCATGCTTCACCATTCAGTCAGAACTGAAGAAGCTTCTTGGATGAGAAGGGAAACGTCTTCAAGGAAAAATAAAGTCCAGTTGCCTTTTGAAAAAGCACCTCTGGGATTCTCGTGAGAAATCTCTTCTAATGTTTTTAATCACTGTGTAGCTCCTTTGGCTATTCCCGTGGTATCCTCCATCCTTTGCAAAATCTCCCTTGGAAATGAAAATATGAAAAAAAAGCTGTTGCATTCTGATGTAATGGGGATTCTGCTGGCTTGGGATTTACATCTCATCAACTTAATTAACATTAATTATCATACATTTGATATATAGCAGTGGTGGCGAACCTAGGGCACGCGTGCCAGAGGCGGCACTCAGAGCCCTCTCTGTGGGCACGCGCGCCATGTCCTGGAGATGGCAACCGTCCCTCTTCAACGAGCCGCCCACTAACTCACCGAGGTCCCACGTGGCCGGATGCATCCCAGCACCCATGCGCTCGCTGGCCTCTGTGTGCGGGGGACGATGGTGTCAGGCAGCAACTGCCCCGGCCCCTGCCCCACCTTGCCCTGCGACAATGGCACCCCCGCCCTGCCTCGCCTCGCCTTGCCTCACCCCGCAGGACGAGCCTCCTGCCCACCGCCCCACCTCCCAGAGACCCCCTGGATCTCCCCCAACCCTGCCCGGCTCCCACTGGCGTCCCTCCCCACGAGCAACATTGAGGTGACCAAGCCCACCTTGTCCACACCCAACCAATCTGCCATGAGCACCACAACCACGCCCACCCAGTGGGCCACGCCCACCCGGCACTGGTGATAAATAAGTGGGTTTTGGGTTGCAGTTTGGGCACTCGGTCTCTAAAAGGTTCGCCATCACTGCTATATAGGTTATTTTCTTAATTCCCTGTTCTCCTCTGAACTTTTAGATACTCCCTCAAGGATACTTCAGCCAGGAAAAGGTGGTTACCATAAAAAAGGACCCCAAAGAGTCTCTGGGAATAACCATAGGAGGAGGAAGAGATACTAAAGCCAAACTGCCCATTTATGTGACCAGCGTCCAGCCAGTCGGATGTCTCTTCAGGGATAGGAGAATTAAGAAAGGTAGGATTACCTCCTTTTTTGAAACACTGCTTGATTACGCTATCGCTGACAGCGGGAATGTTGCTTTCATCAATTTGTAGAGAGTGAACCAAACTAGGAAGGTACCATTTTTTATCAAAATCTTGGTTCTAATCCAGGGGTGTCAAACTCAATTTCATTGAGGGCCGCATCAGCATTGCGGTTGCCCTCGGGGGACAGGGTGGGTGCGGCCTGGGTGGGCGTGGAGGGAGTGGGTGTGGCCTACTGGGTGGGCGTGGCCAGCTCTACATCGTTCGCGTCAAGGATGCCCGTGGGGGCCTGGGCAGGAGTGGGACAGATCTGAGGGTCTCTGGCAGAAGGGGGTGGGACTGGGGCAGAGCCCATCAAGCCGGATATGTGAAGTAGGCGAGAGCCATTTGCAGGCCACTTCCAGGCGACGGTGCATTTCTTCATTCCTCACAAAGGGTGACCCCTCCCCAGCATGCACCCAGGGGGCGGGGCCGACGCGGCAGGGGCTGGTTCCTCGCTGTTTCCAGACGGCCTTGTGGAGCTAAGACTGAATGCGTTTCAGCATAGATGGCCACCACAAAATTGTACATTGGCTCCCGGCCGGCCAGGGCCAAGGCAGAGGGGGCCGTTCCTCACTGTTCCCAGGATGGCTTCGCGGGCCACATGAAACTACTTCGCGGGCCGCATCCGGCCCCCAGGCCTTGTGTTTGACATGTCTGCTCTAATCTGTCTCCTTTGGATTTCTGTAACAGGGGATATACTTTTGAGTATCAACAATGCCGATTTGACTCATCTCAATTATAACGAGGCTGTCTCTGCTCTGAAATCAAATGCGGCCTTGCAGACGGTGGCGCTGAAAGCGCTGGAGGTTGTAATGCCAGAAAAGGCATCGGAAGGGGCCGAGAGCCTGGACCGGAGGGAAAACGGGCACCGCTGGGCAACCTGGTCTCCTCTCTGGATCACCTGGCTCGGATTGCCAAGGTAAGTTTGGGGCTGGCAGCGATAAATAGTTCTTGCTTATTTTAGCCTGATCAACAAAACTGTGTAATGTTTTTAGAGGGCGTTTTTCTTGACTTAGCCTTTCAAAAATCGTGCTTGAAAGTGTTTTTCGAATGCCACTGGAATTAAAATACAGAGTGCAGAATAATAGAGATGGAAGGGGTCCTGGAGTCTTCTAGAGCAGGGCTTTTCAACCTTTTTACCCACTGTACCACTTTTAGGATATGGCAGCATCCGAGTACCACCAGTCGCCTAGCAAGGGGTCAAAAACTTGATGACCACAAAAAAAAAAGGAAAAAAGTGATGAAGTACAGGTAGTCCTCGACTTACAACAGTTTGCTTAGTGACTGTTTGAAGTTACAATGGCACTGAAAAAAGTGCCCCCCCAAGACACAGCCGAGCAAGACACCTGCCCATCCGCCCAGCGGTGCTCTTCCTCCTGACCGAGGTTTTCATTGTTGTGAGCATTTCTGGTGGGGGGTGGGGTGGGGGGATGTTTGGTTTTTATTCCCCCCGTCTGTTGGGTGGTTGCAGCAGGTTTTGGTCACTTCACATGACCCTGGGACACTGTGACCGTCATAAATATGAATCAGTTGACGAGCATCTGAATGTAAATCACAAGACCTTGGAGATGCTGCAACATTGCAGCTGATCGGCGCTTCTTCTGGGCTCAGCAGAAGTGCCAGGATCAGTGCTGCTTTCCAGCTGATCGGTGCTTTTTCAGGGCTCAGCGGAAGCACCAGGATCAGCACTGAGCTCCAGATCCTGGCGCTTCCACTTAGCTCTGACAGCCCCAAAGAAGCTCCGATCAGCTGGAAAGCGGTACTGATCTTGGCACTTCCACTGAGCCCTGACAGCCCTGCAGCTCCAGCCGTCTCTCGCTCAGGCCTGTGTGGTACTGCCACCGGTTCAGCTCATTCCCCTCCCCTGCTACCACTTTTCTAGGATGGTCGCGAACCACCTGCCAGGTGCCAATGTACCACAGATGGTACCTGTACCACTGGTTGAAAAGCCCTGTTCTAGTCCAACCCCCTGCTTGAATGGGAGACCCTGTACCATTCTGGACAAGTGAATGTCCAGTCTCTTCTTGATGAGTGATGGAGCACCCACAACTTCTGAAGGCAACATGGCAGATCCTGCTTTGGAGGAAAGAGGTGGACCTTGGCATGATTGAGTGAAGCAAGTAAAGCATGATGGACTAGAATAACTGAAGCTGACCCTGCTGGACCTTTTTATGGTGGGATGGATGCTTGTGTGTTCCTGACTGCAGCTGATAAACTCAGGGAAACTGGAATACAAATTACAGAAGCCCACTTTGACATCCTCACGTTGGCATGTCCATTTCCCGGACACTGCAGTGAATGTTACCTGAGATACCTGCAGGACTGTCTGTTTCAGAGCTCTACCACCCGGTGCACATCCCCACCTCCGCATTGCAGGAAGTTCAAATCCACAGGTTGTAAAGTCTTTCTTTTCTAACTGATCCAGTTGGAACGGCTGACAGTTGCCATAGTTACCCATTCCTGCTGTGATGCTGCTTTCATCTTCCTACAAAAGGTAAGCGATAACTCCAAGGGGCTGTTCTACCCAGAAAAGCAAGCAGCGTTTGTTTGTTTGTTTCTTTCTTTCAGCCACCTCCACTGCTGTCAAGATATCGTCTTGCGCAAAAGCAACTCGGAGAGCTGGGGATTCAGCATAGTGGGCGGATTCGAAGAAAGCAAAGGAAACCAGCCTTTCTTCATCAAAACCATTGTGCCTGCCACTCCCGCCTTCTGGGACAGCCGGCTGAAGTGCGTGCATTCTTGCTCCTACAGTTTGGGTTTTCTGCTTGAGAGGCAGTCTGGCGTAGGGGTTAGAGGCCCCAGAGCGGAAGCAGAGAGATCGTGAGTTCTAGCCCAGCCTTAGGCACAGGGCAACCAGCCAGCTGGGTAACCCTGGACCACCCTCTCTCTCACAGCCCTAGAAAGGGAGGGCAAGACCAAACTGAAAAATGTTGTCTAGAAAACTGCAGGGCTAGTCTAGGCAGATGCCAGAAGTCAAGACTGACTTGGGGGGGGGGGGGAGGGAGGAAAAAGTCAACATTGCTTTAAGATTTCTCCAGAGCATGCAGAAAATGCATCTGCCTTTATGAATTTAGCTAGCCTTTCATGACCTCACAGCAAATAGCACTAGCTATAGTACTTAAGACTTATATACCCCTTCACGGTGCTTTACAGCCCTCTGTAAACGGTTTACAGGAGAGATTCCCAACCTTTTGAGCACCAGGGACCGTTTACATGGCGAGAGGTTTTTCCACGGAGTGGCAGGGGCGTGGTTTTGTGTGCTGCCTGCATCCCGCGGATGGGGCTTGTTTGTGTGGCCCGGTTGCTGGCATGCCACGGCCTGGTACCGGTCCACAGACGGGGGTTGGGGACCCCTGCTTTACAGAGTCAGCATATTACCCCCAGCAATTTGGGACCTCATTTTACTGACCTTGGAAGGATGGAAGGCTGAGTCAACCTTGAGCTGGTGAGAATCGGAACTGCTGGCAGATGGCAGAATTAGCCTGCAATTCTGTATTCTAACCACTGCATAACCACGACTCAGTGTTTGGGAAGGAAGCATAGTTCCCCCCCCCCCTTTTTCACCTGAAAAACTGTGCAGCATGTAAGAAGCAAGGCTGCAATTGATTGGGGGAGTCAGCAAATGTCATCTTTATAAGCTGTGTTACATATCCGTAGTACGGTGGTACCTGAGTACTCATTGTTAATTGGTTTTGGGAGGTGCAATGAATACCCAAAGCGATGAGTACCAAGCAAATTACATAAGGAATAATGTAGTGAGTCACAAGGCAGTCGACACCGGCAAGGTCTAGCTTATGTGTTGAGTACCAAGCAAATGATGGGTACCGGAACAAAATTTTTCTATCAAAATGTCTTGAGAATCAAATTCAATGAGTTTCAAAGCAGTTGAAACATATTTTACAGGAACTGCTGTAAACTCATTTGCAATGGGGAGTTAAGTGTGCGAGTTGGCTTGAAAATCTTTGGGGCTGGGTGTTTGTTTGATCACGTGGTATTTAACTACTTTATTAATTTTTTTTTTATAAAACAGGAAGACTAGACGCTAACAAAAACAAATGGCTAGAGAAAGAAAGAAATAAAAAACGAAGTGCAAAAAAGTAAAAACTGTCGGAAGAAGCAAAAATGTACAAGAAAAATGACTTGTGTGTGGTTAAAGGTGTTGTAGGGCAGGGGTCCTCAACCTTGGCAACTTTAAGACTTGTGGACTTCAACTCTTTGCTGGCTGAGGAATTCTGGGAGTTGAAGTCCACCAGTCTTAAAAGTTGCCAAGGTTGAGGACCCCTGTAATGTAGGGGAGTTTTAGTTGCTGTTGGACTCACAGTGAAGGACACCTTGAGAATGTTGTTGTAACAGTGCTGTTTCCTTTTCCCTCACTAGGTGCGGGGACGAAATTGTGGCTGTCAACGGAGTGTGTGCGGTTGGAATGAGCAACAGTGAGTTAATTCCAATGCTGAAGGAACAGCGGAATAAAGTGACTCTAACGGTGGTCTCCTGGCCTGGCAGCCTTGTCTAAGGGGCCAATTGCAATAGGATGCTTAATTGGAAATGCTTTTGGGGGGAGCTTTTCACTGGAGCGAACCAATCCAACCGATGAACGGCTGAGCTGGTCTCAGATAGGCTTCCTCCAAGGTGCAGATTTTTCTTTGATAAAGACAAATGTAGCTTGTTGTTGTTGCCGAGTGGGATTTTAGATCCATCCACTCAGTAAGTGAAAAGCTGTCCTCTGATCAGCTGTTGGAGGTGCATCGTGGTTAGGGTTATTTTTTTTGTTGAACGGGGAAACTGAGCCACCGCCTGCTTCTCCCAAATTCTCTTAAAACCTGCTGAACTGAAGGATGGCAAGCTGAAACTCAAGTGATTGATGGCCGTAATCTTGGCTCTTAGTGAACTGAAGTCGCAACCTTCAAGATAGTAATAATTGCAATGGGTGAATCATTTAGATCTGTCTCACTGTGCCTTGCAAAGTAGGAGGCATGGGAACGCTCAACCACTGTTGAGGTCTGTTTATGCCTCTTGCTCAATCTGGTTGTTCTGCCTTGAGCCAATCTCCGAGTTATGTAACGTGTCACAGCCTTGTTCTTGCTTTCAAGGAGATCTGGAAGCCCAACAGAAGGATGTCCCTACTCAACTGAGCCCCTTTCCAGGGTTTCTCTCTCCTGTCACTTTATTTCCCATGTTAGAGGGGATATGAACGCCCACCAGAAGAGCTGTTCATTCTGGAGCAACGCCACTAAAAGGCAGACTTTGGCCATTTGATATACTTTAAACCAGTGTTTCTCAACCTTGACCATTTTAAGGCATGTGGACTTCAACTCCCAGAATTCCACAGCCAGCATTGCTGGCTGTGGAATTCTGGGAGTTGAAGTCCACATGCCTTAAAATGGTCAAGGTTGAGAAACACTGCTTTAAACAGAGGCCCACCGTGATTCTGCAGACAGGAGGGGGGCTTTTCAAACGGGGCCAGCTACCCAATTTCCCCCCAGTGTCTTGAGGAAGAATTCTCTTCCGGCTCATTCCCATCCCAGCAAGCTCATTAGGACCCCAATCCTGGTTGAGTTAACTTCTGATCACAGCAGCCAAAAGCAACACTTAGGAGGAAATCAAGCCATCTACCCACGCTGTCCTTTCAAGTGCATTCTCCCTCTGCAGGGATAAAGTTGCAGACCTTCAGTGGTCTTTTCTCTTTGCGGTTTACTCTGCGGAAAAGAAGGAGATGAACAGGTGTTCGGCATATCAACCTTGCCCGCTCGGAAAAAAAAGCAATCAGAAGCCAACTCCCTGTGTTGTTTTTCCTTTGATCTGATCCCTGCAGTGTTTGTTTATTTTTTAGATCGGTCATATCCCTTAATTAATTGAGCATCCTTGTGATTGCTTAACAAGTATGCTTAACAATCTTAACAGGATTACCTAACAATCTTGTCCATGGCAGAGACTTTGTCCTGTGAGCAGTTCCACACCAAATTAAAAAAAAAAAGGAGTAAGCAGTCTGCCCTATATATAAGGTAGCAATAGCTGTGCCTAAGGAAGGCGTTTGCTATGTGTTCTCGCACGTGCTGACACTTGAACATAGAAGTTATCTTTTTGTAAAAGTAGTCTCTTTTTCCTTAAATAGTCGTCATAATTATTTTCTAAGCATAGGATACACTACATTTATTTCACCGGTTTGAGGACCTGCTTTCTGTTGTCCGTGATCTACGACGTTTCATGATTTACAAAGTGATTCCACCAGCCCATTTGCAAATATTTGGTGGTTGTGGAATAAGTTAAGAGAATTTATTAGTTTTGTCGTAATTAGGAAATTAAATAGGGCCTGCTACCTCCACTTAAAAGGGATTTCTCAGACCTTGATTTGCACAGAAAGTTGCTGAAACACAGCAACCGTCTACTACGGGGGTCTCCAACCGTGGCAACTTGAAGACTTATGGACTTCAACTTCCAGAATTCCCCAGCTAGCATGGCTAGATGAGGAATTCTGGGAGTTGAAATCCACAAGTCATAAAGTTGCCAAGGTTGGAGGCGCTTGCTGTACAATGTGCTTCTCTCATTTGCTCACAAGTTGGGTGGTGGGAGGTACACACATCTCAGGAAACAACTTGCAAGGGGATTCTGCTTCCCTCAGGAACGTGGGACCTCCACTTCCTGGAAGTTCAGGTTTGTCTTTCAGTTGGATCGTTATTTCAACTGAAGAGCAAGTCAGGCTAACGGAAATACAGGGCTTAATAATTTTCACACAGGCTTCGTGAAATAGCAAATAAAAAAGAGCTTATGGTTTATGTTTAAATCTGACTCACGCTTGGACTCTGTTGCCTCATTTGAATCTGGCAAGTAGGTACTAATGCTCCATTTAAGGAGGTTGATTCACTTAAAAATGTATTTGTCGAAGTATATTTCTGAAAGTCAGCATCTGCATTCAGATGTGCTTTCAAAGGATATTGGTTTGCCTAATTGACTGGTAAGAAGAAGATTGACTTCTTCGAGTTTGAGTCCTGTGTAACCACTGTAATGTGTGACTCTTGCAATGGCTGTAAAAAGGATGTCAAACCTTTTTTTTTTCCTCCAAATGAAGGGGATGTGCATTTTCATTTCATTGTATTGTCTGATTTCAATGTGCCTTCAACAATCAGCAGGAAATCTAGTAGCTACTGTATTATTTTGCACCAAAGAAATTGTTGAAATGTATAGAGATGTTTATCACTGCTCTGATACATTTATAAATTATTCTGAAGTTACTGAAGACGTTTAGGTTTTCTGTTTGGACCAGATCAACTTCCACAGACTTCTTTCATTTTTCCTTGTGATAAGCGGCAAGCTATCTTTCTATTATGCGGGCAATTCTGACTTCCTGCAAGCTTGAGGTATATTCTTACCTTAGTTGTGGTATCTGGAAGATCATATCCCTTCCTAGCTCTAAGCATCTGAAATACTCCATGAATGTAAAGCATTCCTCAGTGCTTGTTTAACAAGGTAGTTTAAGTTGCTATTCAGTTTGGAAGGAGAAGGCAGAGTTAGGCCAGCCCTTCTCTTTCCAAATGATGAGATGAGGAGTTTTTAATCTTGCAAAACATTCGAATGGACAAAGATAGATTGGGTCCTTAACAACATTCCTATTAAAACATTGTGGTAGCTTTTATCAGCCATAAAGGTAAAACACTTAAGAACCATTACACTTTATAAATAGTCCTCTTTGAAGGTGGCAAAGTCCTTGAGACAACCAAGTTGCTGAAGGCTTTCTCCTTTTTTAACAAAACGCTCTTTAAAAAAACAACAAACTTTGTATCGAGAGCCTATAATCTGTTTTGGCTATTCTGCAGTATTATTTCCATGATTATACAGCCTGCCTAGAACGGTGTTTCTCAATCTCAGCAACTTAAAATATATGCAGATGTCAACTCCCAGAATTCCCCAGCCAGCATGGCCATTGCAAAGGGTTCTGGGAGTTGAAGTCCACACATAGACAGTACTCTGCAGCAGTGTTTCTCAACCTCGGCAACTGGATGATGTGAGGACCAACTTCCAGAATTGGCCCCCACGTGATAACAGTATTCCAGTATTTGAGGGCCTGCCACAAAGAGGAGGGGGTCAACCTGTTCTCCAAAGCACCAGAAGGCTGGATAAGAAACGATGGATGGAAACTAATCAAGGAGAGAAGCAACCCGGAATTAAGGAGAAACTTTCTAACAGTGAGAACAATTAACCAGTGGAACAGCTTGCCTCCAGAAGTTGTGGGTGGCCCATCACTGGAGGCTTTGTCTCAAAATGTATAGGGTCTCCTGCTTGAGCAGAGGTTGGACTAGAAGACCTCCAAGGTTCCCTCCAGCTCTATTCTGATTCTGACTGATTTTCAAGTTGCCAAGGTTGAGAAACACTTCTCTAGAAAGTGAAATGTGAACTTTTTTTTGTCCTTCTGAAGACACCGTTAAATCTGTATCATCTGAGACACTTAAGAACGCACAACTTCCAGGTAACAAACAAAACAGCAAGCAAGTTTCTATGAATTAAGTTTGCAGTGTAAAATTTAGTATTAAGTGCTGCTTTCACTGAGTCCTAGATGCCATGACCACACAGAAACCAATCACATTTTCAAAAAGAAAAAAAGAAAAAATTCTTTCCTACATATTTTCTGTTACTGACCCATTCACTGCACCATCATAGCATACAAATCAAAATACAATGGGTATACTGGCTCACATGTCCAAGGTTGTTAGTTTCATATAAACACTCAAACTCGCATAACTACAATACAAAATAAGTATAAATTTGAAATGATTTTTTTTTAGGGAAGTGTTTTTAAACTTTTCCCATGGGTGGAAGATAATGCAAGGATGGATGTGCGCAAAAGAGCGATGTCCTTAAGAGTCTCTCACGTATTCTTTTCCAACGGAAACCACGAATCCTATGCCTACATTTAGTGTTTTAAGAGTTGTGAAAAGTGACTCAGAGACGTACGTTTTTAAACTTCGTCTGGGTAAAAAAAAAAAAAAAAAAAAGGATGCTCTTGAAAGCCACAGCAAGTAGCTTGGGTCAAATTACTTAAGGCCAACTTTGAAAGGGTGGCCCTATTGAAATTCACCACGAAACCCACTCAGCTTGGTCATAATAAAACTCTCCGATCTGGAAGGCTCCAGAAGCCTAGGTAGAAATGGCCTCTTCAGAAAAACTGAACGTTTCACGGGGCAGAAGTGTTCCACTGGCTGACTTGTGATTTCCCGTCAAGCTTCCCTTGAATGAAGTCCAAAGTTCAAAGCTACAATTAAGGGGCAAAGGAGAAATGGGACTAGCTTATAGGAGCCAGATTGCCTGGCAAGGATCCCTAACACTTGTTTCTTCTCGTACCAAAACAGTTCCACGTGGTTGCTGTCCTGCTTCTTTAAAAAAAAGGAAACCGTAATAATTACCAAATATTGCCCTAGTCTGCTAAATGCATTCATTCCTGCTGAAGCGGACTCCCATCAGAAGCCATAGGATCTGACACCACGGGGTTGGCCTGCATATAGAACCACTCGAGGCCAGAGGGGCTGGATTGGGTCCTCTCCTCAAAGTCCTGCAGTTTGGCTTTCCGTGTTGGCAACCCAGCCTGTGTGCACGTTTGGGCGCCTCTGTCGTCGCAGACCTTCTCCCAGGAAGGAGACGGTCACCCAAAATGGAAGCGTTGTTTGGATGACGCTTGGTTGCAGGGTCCAAATTTGCTACTCCTTGGCTTCCTGTTCGTTTCCTTCTGCAAGTCCATCTTCGCTCGCCTCCTTCTCTTTGCTGTGCTTGTTCTTTTTGTGCTTGTGTCGACGGTGGCTCTCCCCTTCTTCGCTCTCATGCTGCTTGCTGGTGGGGGAGTGGGAAAGAAAAACAGCATGAAGCTCTAACGCAGTGGTTCTCAACCTGTGGGTCGGGACCCCATTTGGGGTCGAACGACCATTTCACGGGGGTCGCCAAACCAGGCTCTCCGCCATTTTTTTCCCTTTTCCCTAGCTGTCCTACTCCCTCTTATTGGTGGCCACACCCACTTGGGGGTCACCACAACATGGGGAACTGTATTATGGGGTCACGGCATTAGAAAGGTTGAGAACCACTGCTCTAACGACAGATACGTGACAGGTTTCAATCTGGGTCAGTCACTGGAACCGGAGGTTTAGTCTTCTGAGCGTTTGGACTTGGGCTAGAGCCCATCCTCGGGGAAATTCTCTCTCTCTCTCCGGAATGTTCTTACCAAATTCTGGTGTGAGATAAGAGAGGTTCCCCCAGGATGGGCTCCAGCACAAGTCCAAAAGCTCACGCGACTAAACCTCCGGTCCTGGGGACCGACCCAGATTGGATTCCGCAACATTACGCTGGGACACGTATATCTGCCTTCCTTCGTGAAGGCTGTTGAAGCTGAGCTTTCTTAAGCCCTAACGCAGAAGAGAAACACTTCTTTAAAGAGATTCCACAGTATATTCGAATTCAGTAGCTCAGTGGGATAGGCAAGAAAAGTATTGCAGTCTATGAAAAGAACAGAAGTAAATAGACGTGTTAAATAGATGCCATTACTTAAAAACATTTTGCGCCATCAACTGGATAAGCCTAACTCGCCTTTCTTGCCTGCTCCCAGGATTCAAATAAAGTTAAAGAGAATACGTGAGTGTGGTCATCCCAAATGAGGCTGAAGTAACGGCAACCAGCAGGTTCCCAATGGAATATCTTGCCTCCTGGGGTGGTGGATGTTCCATCACTGGAGGTTTTTCAAAAATAGCCTGGATAATCACTTGACTGGGATGGTATAAGATTTCCTGACTCAAGCAGGGGGTTGGACTAGTAGACCTCTGAGGTCCCTTCCAGGCCTATGATTCTATGTTCTACCTTTTCACTGTGAGGGTCACCAATTCATTACCTGCTGTAGCAGAGAGATGTTTGCAACCGCTGCTATGGTCAGCCCTACAAGACAGACTAGCCAAAGAAACTAAAATGATAAGATAGACAGTCCTTGAGTGATGACCGTAATGGAGCCTACCTATCGTGGTTTGCAAGTTATGGTGGTCATAAAATGAGTTGTTCATGTGATTTTACCTTTTTTTTGCATAAATTTGAAGCAAATCACTCGGTCATTAAGCAAATCTTAATTGGTGGTTAGTATGCAGATCGATGGCTTGCTATGGATACAGTTTTGCCAAAAATCGGAAGTGTGTGACAGTCGTAAAACACTACCGTGTGTAAATATGTAAATGTGACCTAGTGTCCCAAGGGCAACAAGTGAGCACAGAGGAATTTTGAATCCGGGTCATAAGTAACTCTGAGGTAAGTCCAACTGGTCTCTTAAGTGACTGATCACAATCAAAGACTACCTGTAGTTCAGGACTACCTTCATTGTAAAGTTTTAGTAACTCCCTCCTCCTCCTCCCCTTCATATTCATGTAGGAACCAGACAGGGCCTGATGGAGGCATTCTCTCAAGTAGTTTCCTTGACCAGGCCTCAAGACTCTTATCCAGGGGTCTTCAAACTTGGCCCTTTTATGACTTGTGGACTTCAACTCCCAAAATTCCTCAGCCAGGCACATCTTGTGGGAAGGCGCTTGTGCCTGGCTGAGGAATTCTGGGAGTTGAAGTCCACAAGTCATAAAAGGGCCAAGTTTGAAGACCCCTGCTCTTATCTAACTGTTGTCTTGGCGATGGCTCTTCTTCCTGTCCTCCCTCTGCAGCTACACCTTATGGCAATGCTGACCAAGGGATACCCTTTGATGGAGACTCCAGACTTTTGAAGAATTTACTCCAAATCTGACTGAAAGATAGCCGCAATATGAGAGCAACCTTTATCTGACCAGAAGCTTTTAACTAGTGCAGTTTAGGTAGAGGTTTGTTTTCATTAACTCAAACTAAGTTTGGAATACAGTTCAGTGCTACTATGGTCACTAAATGGAGGGATTTGGCCTAAATCGAAAAGAGGAGCCAGCTGAGGAACAGGCAATGACCTACCGCCGTGACGATTTATGTTTGCTGCTCTCTTCTTTGTCTCTGTGCCTCCTTTCCCGGTGACGATCTTCACGCTCCCGGCTGCGATCTCTACTCCGGCGATAGTCGCGCTCAAAATCGTAACTGCGTTCCCGGCTATAATAACGGTATCTCTCATCGTCACTAGGAGAGAAAAATGACGTATAGGCATAAAAACCAAGAAGAACACGTGGACCACTTCTGAGTAACAGAATAACAGAGTTGGAAGGGACTTTGGAGGTCATCTAGTCCAACCTCCTGCTCAGGCAGGAAACCCTATATCATTTCAGACAAATGGCTGTCCAGTCTCTTCTTAAAAACTTCCAGTGATGGAGCATTCACCGCTTCTGGAGGCAGGTTGTTCCACTGATTAATTGTCCTAACTGTCAGGAAATTTCTCCTTAATTCTAGGTTGCTTCTCTCCTTGATTAGTTTCCATCCCTTGCTTCTTATCCTGCTCTCTGGTGCTTTGGAGAATAGGTTGACTCCCTCTTCTTTGTGGCAGCCCCTCAAATATTGGAAGACTGCTATCATATCACCCCTAGTTCTTCTCTTTGTTAGACTTTACTTTGTTGTTCACCTACAGACAGAATCTTGCCAGACTAAAGCAACTATCTGCATAAACATGAATATACTCCACGGATCAAGAGGCCATCTGGATCCTCTTCCTGCCTATCAGACATTCCAAGCTCCGCTGCCCCTTTGCCCCTGGAGGGGGGGCAGCCCTTCCCTCCTGGAACTCCAGACTACATCCCACCACATCAGAACAGGAATTGGGAGGTTATTTGGTGTTCAAGCTGATTTCTGATCTGGAGTAAGGCCACGTGTGGGGCCAACATCTTGATTTTCTGCAGGAGCACAAAAATCTGTGACATGCCTATACAGTGCAGGATCTAGCTGGGGGAAGACAGGAATTTCACACTCCGAATTTGAGAATCCAACAATAGGCATCCCCATTTTTAAAAGGCTAATCCCAGCAAACTATTTGGGAGGTCCAAGGAAGGGATGTGAGTAGCTTGTCTCCCAAAAGCTTCCTCTCCATCTCTACTTTTAAACCCAAATAAATTCTTTTAAAAGCTGAAAAACTGAAAGCCTATCATTATGGCCTCAGGTTGTCTCAACCTGGTTACTCATTTCTTGTCACTGTTCTTTATTCTTAGAATTTGCATTTGTGATATTTAGTGGATTTATAACATTACAGTGTCAAAATAACTTGACTCTGCTGCCAAGAAAAACTGAAGTCTGTACCTGCAATTATACTAAGCTTATCTCTTAGCAGCGATGAAATCTAACTTCCCAGCTCTTTCTACATTAGTTCACACTTTGTCTTACAACATGAAAGGGCTACATTCTTGTTTGAAATGCAAGCCAAGATCTTGGGTGCGCGGACTGTGGACCAGAAAGAAAGGACAGAAAGAAAAGAATGAATATGGATAGTCCTTGACTTACAACCATTCATTTAGTGGCCATTCAAAGTTACATTGCAGCAACTGATTCATATTTATGACCGTTGCAGTGTCCCGGGGTCACGTGATCACCTTTCACAACCCTTTGAAAAGCAAAGTTAACGGGGAAGCCAGATTCACTTAACAACTGCATTGATTCACTTAATAACTGTGGCAACTGTCTTGCTTAACAACATAAATGTTGGGCTCACTTGTGATTGCACATCGAGGACTAGTTGCATGTTGTTGTAATGAGTTAAGTTGCGACTCCAGCATCTGTTGCAAACTTGGAATTATGTAGCTGTACAATGACTAATATTGTGGAAGAACCCACACTCACTTGTTATATTCGCTCGTGGTGGGTGTCCGGTCCCGCTCTCTGTCTCTCTCTCTCCTTGAGCCCGAGTATTCCCAGTGGCTGCTGTCTGAAGCACTGGAGGCCTTGTCAACTGTGGTCACCCAGGGAGTGTGCGACGTCGAAATGGGCGGGTAGGTGATAAAACCTGAATCTAGAGAGGAAACAGGAGAGCTTTGCATCAGCTGGTTCGGACACTCCTAGAGGACATGAAATACTTCATCGCTAGCCTGATGGAGCTAGGAAAGTAGAAATAGTATCAGGTTTGTAAGGAAAGAGAATTTTTATCAGTGCGTTAAAACATGGCAAATATATTCAGCTCAAACTCTTATCAGGAAGAGGTTCTGTTCATGCAGAGCTCGGATCTCCAAACGTGGCAACTTTAAAAAGCAGGATTGGCTTGCTGGGGGATTCTGGGAGTTAAAGTCCACCAGTCTTAAAGTTGCCAAGTTTGGAGACCCCTGATACAGAGAAGGGCTAATCCTGCTCCTCTTTTTAGAAAGCGCCTTCCCACAAGATACGGGACAGGAAGATGAATATGATCAATGGTGAGCTACTGAATATGAATTATGAGCAGCGGTGATCTGATTCCTGATAAATATGTTGAATGTACCCTCCTTCCATTTTTTTTAATCTTGCACTGTAATAGGCATGTCACAGATTGTTGTGCTCCTCCAGAAAATTAAGATGTTGACCTTACCTAATGGTCTTACTCTAGATCAGAAATCAGCTTGAACACCGAATAACCTCCCAATTCCTGTTCTGTTGTGGTGGAATGTAGTCTGGAGTCCCAGGAGAGAAGGGCTGCCCCCCCTCCAGGGGGCGAAGGGGCAGCGGAGCTTGGAATGTCTGATAGGCAGGAAGAGGATCCAGATGGCCTCTCGATCCATGGAGTATATTCATGTTTATGCAGATAGTTGCTTTAGTCTGGCAAGATTCTGTCTGTAAGTGAACAACAAACTAAAGTCTAACAAAGAGAAGAACTAGGGGCGACATGATAGCAGTGTTCCAATATTTGAGGGGCCACCACAAAGAAGAGGGGGTCAACCTATTTTCCAAAGCACCTGAGGGCAGGACAAGAAGGTGATAGATCAGCAGCAACAGCCTGCACAGCTATAGTATCAGGCAGTCTCCAAGGATAATCCCAGTTGGGGAAAAAAACAAACCAACATAGATTCTCTTTTCTTGAGAAAGAAAGTGCAAAGTGTTAATACCACTTTACAATGCCTTGGTAAGGCCACACTTGGAATACTGCATCCAGTTTTGGTCACCGCGATGTAAAAAAGATGTTGAGACTCTAGAAAGAGTGCAGAGAAGAGCAACTAAGAGGATCAGGGGACTGGAGGCTAAACATACAAGGAACGGTTGCTGGAATTGGGTATGTCTAGTTTAATGAAGAGAAGGATGAGGGGGGGACATGATAGCAGTGTTCCAATATCTCAGGGGCTGCCCCAAAGAAGAGGGAGTCCAGCTATTCTCCAAAGCGCCTGAAGGCAGGACAAGAAGCAACGGATGGAAACTCATCAAGGAGAGAAGCAGCCTAGAACTAAGGAGAAATTTCTTGACAGTGAGAATAATTAACCAGTGGAACAACCTGCCTCCAGAAGCGGTGAATGCTCCAACACTGGAAGTTTTTAAGAAGAGACTGGACAGCCATTTGTCTGAAATGGTGTAGGGTTTCCTGCCTGAGCAGGGGGTTGGACTAGATGACCTCCAAGGTCCCTTCCAACTTTACTATTATTATTATTAAAGAAAGAAGCCTATCTAAGTTGAAAGAGGACCAAATTGGGATTTCCCAGTTGGAAAATATTTATAGCTACCCAATTCTGTTTTCTCAAGAGATAAGCCTATCTAAGCTTAAAGATAAACCCAGTGGGATTTCATAGGGGTTCCTTCTTTGTTTAAAGTGCCTCACCCACTCAGTCAGGTTCGGAGACAGCCATAGACACCGCTGAAAGGATCACATCTCTACACTGCTAGGAGTCACTATAAGGATTGTCCTCGACTCACGACCACTAACGAGCCCAACTTTTCTGTTGCTAAGCAAGACATTTCTCGAGTTTTGTCTCATTTTGTGACTTTTATTGCCACAGTTGCTGAGTGAATCACTGCAATTGTTAACTTAGTGACGCAGTTCTAAAATGAACTTGGCTTCTTCCCCACATTGACTTGGCTGGTCAGAAGGTCGCAAAAGGGGATCATGTGACCGCCGGGGGACACCGCAACCATCATAAATGTGAGCCAGTGGCCAAGCGTCTGAATTTGGGAATGCTGCAGCGGTCTTTTAAGTGTGAGAAACGGTCAGAAGCCTCTTTTTTCAGTGCCATTGTAACTTCGAACAGTCACTAAATGAAATTAGTCTTACTCAACACATCTGTTGGTACACAGCCTTTAGGGATTTGAATTACAGGCCAATAAAAATAAACTCCTTCAGGATGTAAAGAGGAGCCTTGGTGCTGTGTGGATGATACCTATCTGAGCCTCTTCATGTAGTCGGCTTATAGACATTTAATGATAAAGTCAGGCTCCCGTGGCTGAGCTTTTAGTGCGACAAACTCTTATTAGCCTTCAGGAGGGACGTGAAAAGCTGGTTCTGTGCAGAGGCATTGAGCTAGGATGGAAATGAATCCAGCAAATTGCCTCCAGAAGTTCTGGATGTGTCAACACTGGACGTTTTTAAGAAAAGAGTGGACAACTATTTGTCTGAAATGGTCTAGGTTTCATGCCGGAGCAGGGGGTTGGACTAGAAGACCTCCAAGGTCCCTTCCAACTGTTATTCTAAATTAAATCGATAGAGTTGATGGGAGGCTGTGGTTCTATGATGGAATATATGATGGTATTGGGGGATTTTGTGTGTTATATTTATTCCAATCTTATGGAATGTCATGAGCTGCGGAGGATTGTCATGTATGTGATAAGTGGCAATAAAAGCTTTCTGAACTAAACAATAAACCTCTTTTGGTCAACTCTTGCACACTTAAGCCCAGAAGGCTCGGAGGCTACACCAAGCGTAACAGAAGAGTAGCAGCCACCACCACGGTACAAGCATCAAGAGGGAAGAATCTTTTTGCCCACTTCAGACACAGCAATCCACTAGAACAGAGGTCCCCAGTCCAAGGACTGGTCCCGGTCCGCAGCCTGTTAGGAACCGGTCCATGCATGCACAGATCTAGGTAGCATATAAAACCATTCCCCCATCTCCACCATCACCACTGCTGCTGGTCCATGGAAAAAACTGTTTTTCTGAAAGCCGGTCCCTGCTAAAAAAAAAGTTAGGGGGCCGATGCAAGAACAAGGGTCTCCAGCCTTGGTAACTTTAAGACTTGTGGACTTCAACTCCCAGAATTCCTCAGCCAGCCAAGTTTTAAAGGTGCTACGGTTGGAGACCCCTGTACTACCAGCATGAACATGACTAAGCTCTCCTTAACATCTTCATTACTAGAACTTGCTTATCCGAAGATGCTTCTTGCTTGTATGTCATCCCTCATTAAGCAAATTAGAATTGTAAGCGGATAGCCAGAGCTTTCCTATCCAAGCAGGAGTTTAATTTCAAGCATCTATTCAAGCATGATGGGATCTTAGAATTTATTGATCAGAATTTTTTTTTCTAACATCTAACTAAAATTTGCCTTCTTGTATCTTTAGGCCAGTGATGGTGAACCTTTTAGAGACCGAGTGCCCAAACTGCAGCCCAAAACCCACTTATGCATCATTGGGTGCTGGGTGGGCGTGGCCCATTGGGTGGATGTGGCTTCAGTGGTAATGGCAGACTGGGTGGAACTAAAAAGTTCAATCAATCAATTCCAACTTTGCAAGATCTTTTTTTTCCCACAAGAAGTTGAAATTGACTGATTGATTGAACCTTTTCCTTTTTTTGCACACAGTGGTGGAGGCCTAAAGTGAAAAGGTTTTATAAAACCCAGCTGAAAACCTAGGACTGGGGCAATGTTGTGCATGCCCACAGAAAGAGCTTTGAATGCCGCCTCTGGCACCCGTGCCATAGGTTTGCCACCACTGCTTTAGGCCATTATTCCAGGTCCTCAACTATAGTGCAATGGAGAAGAATATTATATATCCCCTATTTTTTTCTTATTCACATGATCAGGTCCTTCAACCTCTTCTCTTGAGTTTTTAGTCCATTGATTCTTCAAGTCCTTCTCTGCAGCAGATCCAGTTTGACTGAATCCTTCTTAAATTTATGGCGTTGAGAAGCAGGCATAGTGACCGAGTGGGGCCAGGTGCAGTTAAAAGAAGATCTGAAAGTTGTTTTCAAGCAAACAGGCTGCCCATTAATCAAATTCCTTCAGAACTGGGCAGAAGAGAGGAATGGGAGAACAGGCATCTTCTACTTTACCTCACAGGCCTGACACTAATTTTAAATGAAGGGGAGATGTTTACAATCCCAAGCATTAAAATGTTTGACATCCTCAAAGTTGAAAAGCTGCTAGGATAAGTAGCTGCAACCCTGTCCCAGACCGTTACAACTATGATGAGTAAATCAGTTGTGCCTTCCTTATGCCAAAGAGGGAGGAAAATTACACAGCTATAGAAGCTCCACTATCTTGATGTAAAAAGTCCTCTTGTCCTACAAAACATTTTACTATTGCAGTGATGGACAAATTATTTACTCACTTCCGCCTGACCTTTAAAGAGATGGTTTGTCAGTTCCAAATGCCACTTCAGGGTAAAAAATGTCTCAGTGTCTCCATTTGCCACAAATCCTATTTCATGATAGATCCCGCTATGGCAAATGTTTCCTCCTTGGAGCCTTTGTCATTCTGTTCTTGACGAGTTCAGCTATACTATGCAGAGCTCACTGAACATTGTAATACATCTTGATGTCACAATGATCACCATATCTCTGATCCCCACTACGCCCTTCAGGATGAAGGCCACAAAGCTCTCAGTATGATTTCAAGATACCTCCTTGGGACATTAGACTTACAGGAGATGATTATCTATACATATACATCAGTTAGTATAATTAAAGAATCATAGTAGATCTTATTTGACACGGTATGGAATCCTTATGTTAACTTTTCCTTTTGAGGTAGTCCTCAGTTCAGAAAATTGATCACACAGAATTGCACAGAGCTAGGTATAACCTGCAACTGTTTTGCACAGAAGTTTCTCCTTTTTCTGCTACCTAAAAGGAATATTAGGGTTTTAGCCCGAATGAAGGGATGTGTAGATTTCCACACTTTCCTGATACAAATCGGTGATAACAGCTTGCCTAACATTAACACGCACGGACAGCGAAAAGTAAATGGCGATCCACTGGAATACAATTTGAGTATGTGTATGTGGGGTCTTTTTCAGGTTGCAAGAATAAGACATTGTGTGGAAAAGCGAAAATCCTTGCAAATAAATTCATTGACATGTTGAAGGAAGAGATTATTGCTAAGGGTCGAGCGCAGGTATAAGTAACATTACAAAACTCCAGTTTAACAACGGTATCCCAAGTGATTCCCTGAGGGAAGAAACAGGACCGAAAGGCCAGGATGCTCTACTAACTCTAGTTTGGCGGCCGATGGCTTCCCAGATCAACCAATGCAGGACAATCACAGAAGAGTCCAGAGCTGTCCCCCAAGAGCTGAACTGACCAATCCTCCTGACCCATCACGGGTTGTGCAAAACAACAATCCACTCCGCCTCTCTGCTGCAAGGCCTCGGAGGGGCTCACCTGTGGAGTTGTAGCCAAAGGGAGGTGGCTGCCGGTTGCTGTAGCTGGCTGGCTGGCTTTGAGGAGAGAGGGAGAGAACACACAAGAAGGGTTAGCAACTTCTATTCCCCATCATTAATTCAGGCTGAAAAATAAAACCACAAAGGAAAAGGATAATCCCATTCCCTCACCGGATTCCCTCTCTGTAAACGACGCTCTCCTTCCTTCATGGCTTCCTGTATTCTTTTTCTAAAGCCTGGCCAAACATATCTCAGTTAACCGATCCACTGGGACCAGCACGGTGGTGAGAAGCACTAAGCAATTCAAATACAGGTAGTCCTCGACATACGAGTACAACTGAGTCCAACGTTTCCATTGCTAAGCAAGTCAGTTGCTAAGTGAGTTTTGCTCTGGTTTACATCATCTATTCTATTCTATTCTATTCTATTCTATTCTATTCTATTCTATTCTATTCTATTCTATTCTTATTTTAATTCTATTTAATTCTTATTTTAATGCTATTCTGTTCTATTCTATTCTACTCTACTCTATCTTATTTTAATTCTGTTCTATTCTATTCTTATTTTAATTCTATTTTATTCTTATTTTAATTCTAGTCTGTTCTATTCTATTATTTTAATTCTATTCTATTCTTATTTAAATTCTATTCTGTTCTATTCTACTCTACTCTATCTTATTTTAATTCTATTCTATTCTTATTTTAATTCTATTCTATTCTATTCTTATTTTAATTCTATTCTTATTTTAATTCTATTATGTTCTGTTCTCTTCTATTCTACTCTATTCTATCTATTATACTCTACTCTACTCTATTCTATTTATTCTACTCTATTCTAGGCAATATACAGAATGACAAGAATTATTTAGGCAAAGTATGAAAAGAGAGTCATGAAAAGGATTAGGGTTAGGGCTACATTTAGGGTTAACCCTAACCCTTTATTGAAAAGACATATATGAAAATAAAAGACGAAATGCAAAATAAAGTACAGAACTTTCTTACTGAAAAAAAAAAACAACCCAAGAAAATGACCAGTATTGACCTGCTTGTTACAACAAGGAAGGCTAGAATGACATTTTAGCAGGAGTATTTAATACTTTGCCTGTTTGCCTTTTGGCGTTGCATATAATAACTAAGAAACGTGTGAAATATGAAGCGTTTCATACTTTGGTGCCCCATTTTTGGCATCCTATGGATTTCCTAAGGATTGTATAAAATGCCTAATTTCACACACTGACGGTTAACAGTGAACTGAACATGTGACCTGCTGGGTCATGGTTTCAGAGAGAAACCTTACCAGATCCCTCAATGCTTTCCATAACGGCAGAGCTTCTAAAAGAACTGGATGAGTTCTTAAAAATTCAGGGACCTATTCTGAGACGTATCTGCTGCCAAGCAAGAACATCCGATGAAAAGATGAAGCTCTTCAAAGAGCTTTGAAGATCTTCTTCTTTCGGAACCATGACATCTGCCTCGAAAGGAGCCCACGACAAACTGTACAGCACAGTCAAAACACCGGCAGCAGAACCCAGGGAATGCATTACGGCATTTTGCATTACACCACACAAAATGCTCTATGGTAATTTTGTATGTCATAAAGTGTTTTATAAAAATTGCCAAATTTCAACTCCTCAGGAGTCATGGATCTTGGATAGGGGAGCCTTCTGCAAGTTAGCCCATTCAAGGTCCTTGAGCTGAAAAGGTTTTTGTCCTGTCCAGTTAAAGGTTATCGAAGGGAGAGTTTTAATAGTATTCAGATACAAAAACTGAGCGAATGGCAAGAACCAGCAGCCACGGTGCCCATCTAATTCTCACTTACCCATCCAAAGTTGGAATCAAGAGAGCTGGTGGTGGAGCAAGTGGTGGAGGAAACAGCCCTGTTAATAAAACAATCAGTGATAATTGTTAGAAGACATGATGGCCACTGTATGTATGGCAAGCCCTTTTTCTCTGGGGACCACTGAAAAAGATCCCCATCTTTTCCTTTGTGTCTTATTCCAGTAATTGAATCACTTAACACAGGGGTCCCCAAACTTGGCAACTTTAAGACTTGGGGACTTCAATTCTGGGAGTTGAAGTCCCCAAGTCTTAAAATTGCTAAGGTTGAGGACCCCTGTTGTAGCGGATTTAGCTTTGCTGGCTGAGGAATTCTGGGGGTTGAAGTCCCCAAGTCTTAAATTTGCCAAGGTTGAGGACCCCTGTTGTAGGGGATTTAGCTTTGCTGGCTGAGCAATTCTGGGGGTTGAAGTGCCCAAGCAATTCTTGAAAATTGCCAAGGTTGAGGACCCCTGTTGTAGGGGATTTAGCTTTGCTGGCTGAGGAATTCTGGGGGTTGAAGTCCACAAGTCTTAAATTTGCCAAGGTTGAGGACCCCTGTTGTAGGGGATTTAGCTTTGCTGGCTGAGCAATTCTGGGAGTTGAAGTCCCCAAGTCTTAAAATTGCCAAGGTTGAGGACCCCTGTTGTAGGGGATTTAGCTTTGCTGGCTGAGCAATTCTGGGGGTTGAAGTCCACAAGTCTTAAAATTGCCAAGGTTGAGGATCCCTGACCTAACACACCCATGTCCAGGTGCCAGAAGTCAGCACAATGCACATTCCTCCAGTTCTGTCAACTGATAATGCTAAATGGGATAAGCCTAAGAGAAGTAGGACACCTGGATCTGGTGGCCAGGGATGGTGCCTTCATTGGGATGTCACCTGCAGCATTTGACTGATCCACATAAAATAAATCAGATCGAATCAGAGTAGGTCAGGAACATCTGAGGAACAACTTCATTTTGGTGGCTTCAGCGAAGAATTGGCCAGGACCACGGACAGGGGGTCCTAGACCAATGGACTTAATTGAGCCCAAAATTTCTGTTGCTTAGTGAGACATTTCTTAGGTGAGTTTTGCCCTATTTTACGGCCTTTCTTGCCACAGTTCTTAAGTGAATCACTGCACTTGTTAAGTTACTAACATGGTTGTTAAGTGAATCTGGATTCCCTGTTGACTTCGCTTGTCAGACGGTCGCAAAAGGGGATCACGTGACCGCCGGGACACGGCAACCGTCATAAATCTGAGTCAGTTGCCAAGTGCCTGGATTTTGATCACGTGACCGTGGGGACCCTGTAATGATCGTAAGTGTGAAAAATGGTCATAAGTCACTTTTCTGGTGCCGTTGTGACTTTAAACGGTCACTAAATGAATTGTTGCAAGTTGAGGACTGCCCGTGCAGATTCTGGAAGGGCTTGGCTGTCTCAAATGAGAAAAAAATGGCAAAAGACCACGCCTTAAAAAAGCAGGAAAGGCTTGATCTGCCAAATCTCACCAAATCTCAATATTGCTAACTCCGCAATCTCCAGATCCTGAGTAGCTCAGACTGGGACAAATTGTTCTCCCCTGCTTTTCTAGGAAAGAGCCTTTACTTCCAAGAAACTAATAATGGTTATCCTACACACTGTATATGTGCATACGTGCAGAGAACTACACACGTCCCCTTTACAACCCAGTTTAAAATTAGCTAGGATAAAGATCGCAAAGACGTGTGTGTGCGTGAATCTAAATCAAAATGGGAACCTTTTGAAAAAGTCACTCTGATGCTTACAGGGGGGATGTGCTTTACGGTGTTAAGAGAAATGTCCCTTATTTCTTTAGATAATCTCAGAAATGCTAAGGAGGACCTGACTTTAGTCCTTGGGTGGGAGACCACCAGGTAATATTAGGGATGTGAGCTAGCCAGAGAAATACAAGCAATAAGAAAGGGGAGGAGACCACATCAAACCACTTCTTGGTGGATGACAGAAATGGCCATGGAGACCCAGGAGTTGAGCTTGAGTTGAACGAGAACTTCTCTTTTAAAACCAATCTAAGCAATCCATGGACAAAGCTGCCTATTGCACAGTATCCTGTTCTCGACCGGCCTCTTTCCAATCTTCTCTGCAGAAACAGAGTTCTACTAGGGAGTAAATCATTCTTCTTATGCAGTTTAAAAGCAAAAGCGTCTCCAGTTTTAATTCCAAGGCAATTCTCCTGCCAATGTCTGCCAGAATTGATTCCTGGCTCAATTCATCGTATATTTAAAGACCAAGATGGTTTTGTGTCCTGATTCTGGTTTCAGTATCTGCACCTACCTGGAGGGTGGAGGGGTGGTGGGACGGAGGCAACCGGCGGCGGAGGAGGATGGAGAAAGTGGGGCGGAGGCCCACTTAATGCTGGAGGTGGGCCTGCTGGGGGCACAAATGGCTGCTGCTGGGGGGGCTGAGCAGGCTGAGGTTTGCTCCCATGGTCTCCAAGTACCTTTTGAAAGAGAGCCCAGAAGAATAATCAGGTTAGGTTTTAAGAAAAAAGAAAGAAAGAATCAAGAGTCAAAGCAAGTCCCAAAACAGGAAATGCATCTGGCTACCTCGTGCTGCAATACCATGGGAATGCAGAAGAATGAGATCCTGGAGGTTGAATGCAGCTGAACTTCGAAAGAAACCCAAACGAATCAAGTCAACCCTTGAAGGACACTTGAAATGCCAAGGTTGAGGACCCCTGCTCTAGACGAGACATACTTAGCTTCCTCAATCATTCATCATACAATTTAGCCTCTAGACACCTTATCCTCTTTGTTGCTCTTTTCTGCACACTTTCTATAGTCTCAACGTATGTTCTGTATTTTGGTGACCAGAACTGGACGCATTGTTCCAAGGGTGGTCCTACCTCAATCCGAAATGCCCAATTTGGATTGAAAGTTAAGACCGCGCAAGGCCTGAAATCCACTTTTCAGTTCTTACCTGAATGGGGTTTTCTTCAGAAGCGTGTTTGTCGCGTCGCCTTCCTTCCACCCTCCGGATGGTGCCAGCCTGACCACCAATCACGTCGATTGTCCCACCCAGCTTCCTGTTTCCAAAAGAAGACCCATTCAGCACCAGCAGCTGATCTTGATCACATTGTCCCTCCTGTAACACAGCTCACCATTGGACTAATGGATGCTATAACACACTCAGCTCCCATGTTGTGACAACTGCACACTGCATACCATCCACCAGTAGACCCTTGTAATTTGAGGATGACTTCAAGTTCCAGTGCACTAACCACCAAATTTCTTTTGTACAACGCTGTGGCCATTTGCTTCCCAATTGCCGGGATAAAGCTCAGTAAAGCAGAATTTACTATCAAAAGACCCGTCAAAGACTGACCTGAAAGTTGCTTTTTAGGACATTATTATACGTTATGCTAGCAGCTAGAGACAGGAGTGTTACAATACTTTATCTAGCAGTAAACTGATGGGGATATTGCTCACAAGTTCCTAATGTTCCGAGGACTTAGTGCAGAGGTGTGCAACATGGTGTCTTGGATTTGCACCCAATATCAACCGTCACACCACAAAGCTTTCTTAGTACCCACCAACCTCCTTCTCCTTCCTTAGTTTTTTAAAAATAAAAATAAATCTATTTTTTTCCAATGCTTTTGGGCCTCCTAAAGATCTGCATTTATCTTTGGGGCCATTTCTGTTCTGATTAATGGTATTTTAGAATCAGTCATACTTACTGTGGGTGGCATTTAGGGATTAGGTGTCTCCTCTGGGACCCATTTCCACCCTCCTGGACCTGCATTCAAACTTTCACATGGTCACCATCTCCAAAGCTGCCTATCCTTTCTTTCGAGCAGGGTTTGTCAGCCTTGACAAGTTTAAGTGCGTAGACTTCCACAATTCCCCAGCCAGCAATTCTTAAAGTTGCTAAGGTTGACAAACCCTGCTTTAGAACCTTAACTATCTACAAGGCTCATGTCAGCCCTGGTCCTTCTTTTCATTAAACAAGACAGACCCAATTCCAGCAACGGTTCCTTATATGTTTTAGCCTCCAGCCCCCTAATCATCTTTGTTGCTCTTCTCTGTACTCTTTCTAGTGTTTGTTCAAATACTTGTTCAAATAACAATATGACCGAGCCCTTTGCTTTGAGACATTTGTTATTTATATCTCATAAACAAAATGGTGATAAGCATTGAGGTTGGGGGGGGGGGATCTGATGGATCTGCCTCCAGGGCAGCCACCTCCCTGTCCACAGCGTTGACCAAGTTTGCTTTTGGTAACCATCTAGAACAGGGGTTCTCAACCTTTCTAATGCCGTGATCCCATAATACAGTTCCCCATGTTGTGGTGACCCCTAACCACTTATACATTACCTGGTGCCAGAGGCGTGGCCAAAGAAAAGGGGGAAAAAATGGCGGACAGCCTTGTTTGGCGACTCCCGTGAAATGGTCGTTCGACCCCAAATGGGGTCCCGACCCACAGGTTGAGAACCACTGATCTAGAAGGATCAATCCTCCCTGGATGGGTTGGATCTCGGCTTCCCTGAATCCTAGCTTGCTCGGAAGCTTAAGATCCTCCATCTGACGTTCAGTGTCCTGAGACTATCCATGGGAAACTTTAAGCTGCTGGAAATCTTGCAAAGAAGAAAGCTGGAGAATGAATGCTTTAAAGCAGGGGTAGGCAACCTTGGCAATTTTATGACTCATGGACTTCAACTCCCAGAATCCCTGAGCCAGCCATGCTGAGGGGAAAGGGAGAGGTTTCCAAGTTGAGCCATGCTGGCTCAGGAATTCTGGGAGTTGAAGTCCACAAGTCATAAAAGAGCCAAGGTTGACTACCTCTGGTATAGTGTTTCCTGCTTGAGCAGGAGTTGGACTAGAAGATCTCCAAAGTCTCTTCCTGCTCAATTAATTCCCTAGGACAGGGGTAGGCCACCTTGGCTCTTTTATGACTTGTGGACTTCAACTCCCAGAATTCCTGAGCCAGCTGTGCTGAGGGGCAAGGGAGAGGTTTCCAAGCTGAGCCAGGCTGGCTCAGGAATTCTGGGAGTTGAAGTCCACCAGTCATAAAAGAGCCAAGGTTGCCTACCCCTGCTTTAAACCCTTGAAAAAGCAAAAGTCCTTCAAAAAACAGCCCTTCGAGAGACCAAAAGTGAATGTCCCTTCAGTACCTGTTTGGAGGAGGCCCGGCTTTTATCCTTCCGCCAACGAGCGCAACAAAATCAGTTTTAAAATCCATCTTGACGATGTTGTTCTCGGGTTCTTTCTCGGCATTGCCTGTTCTTCCTTGTTGAACCTTTAAAACAACAACAACGTTGCAGCGCTTGTCTATGGAGAGTCTCAGTCACCCAGGTCACAGTTATCCCAAAGATGCTTTTTCACAAAGGCAACTGGACTTTGTTTTTCCTTGAAGACGTTTCGCTTCTCATCCAAGAAGCTTCTTCAGCTCTGCCTGGATGGTGGGGAATGGAAGGATTTATACTCCTTGCAGATAGCTGGTCATTTGCATTCTTTTAGAGAGCCGCTAATGCCACCTGGAGGTTTGTCTATGTCAGTGGTTCTCAACCTTTTTAATGCCGCGACCCCCAACCAGTCGTATGTCGAGGACTACTCAACCGGTCGTCAGTCGAGGACTACTCAACTGGTGCAGCACCGTTTGCAGAATGGGACTTTTGGCGGGCTCAGCAGGGCAGAGACAGCCTGGACAATTCCTATTGGCTTTTGAAAGCCAATAGAATTAGACTCTATTCAAGAGAGTCTATGCTATTGGCTTTCAAAAAGCCAATAGAATAAAAGGGAGTAGCACAGCTAAGGAAAAGGGGGAAAAAATGGCGGACTGCGTTGTTTGGCGACCCCCGTGAAATGGTCATTTGACCCCAAATGGGGTCCCGACCCACAGGTTGAGAACCGCTGGTCTATGTCATCAGGGTCACCTGAGTGGTGCAAATGGGTGTGGAGCCTTCCTGGAACTGCTGAAAGGATTGTGTTATAGACTGGAGATAGATGATGTTGTGTCCTCCCCCTCTGTTGAGAGAGCTGTGTCAAAACTGTCCTTTCAACAGTTCCAAGAAGGGTCCACACCTCTTTGTACTACTCAGGTAAACCTCCAACTGGCCTCAAGGACTCTCTAAAAGAAGGCAAATGACAAGCAGTCTGCAAGGAGTATAAATCTTTCCATTCCCCACCATCCAGTCAGAGCTGAAGAAGCTTCTTGGATGAGAAGTGAAATGCCTTCAACGAAAGAACAAGTAAGTCCAGTTGCCTCATGAAAACCATCTTTGGGACACTGCAGTGCTTCAGGGACCTTTTAAATCCTATTTTTCCTTACCCTCCAATTGAAATCATCAATTTTTCACTTACGACTTTACAGGGACACAGCAACCATTCTACCCCTGCTGCTTTTCAGGAGATGGAAGTCTCCTCTGCAGCCACCATGACAGGCGGTCCTTGGTTGACGACCCTTCATTTCGCGACTGTTCGAAATTACAACGGAACTGGAAAAAGCGACCTACAACGATCTGGAAGTGGGTTCACGGTGACTGGACTTCTTTTCTTTTTGGGTTTGAAACATTTCGCTGCTTAACCAAGAGGCTTCTTCAGTTGAAGCTGAGCCGAAAAAGCTACTTGGATAAGAAACGTCGTGAAATGGGGCAAAGTTCACCCAACAACTGTCTCGCATATAAATGTTGTGGTCGTAAGTCGAGGACTGCCCGTATCCTGTCAGGAGGGGCAGGACTAAACCAGGGAAGGGGACGGTCCCCGCTGTCCAATGAAACAGGCGACATCTTGGCCCCCCTGAGGAGAGGCTGCTGCCTTCACGGCTGTTGCCAGAGGCGCCACCCGAACCGCCTCCTCCGTCCACCCAAGGGGCCGCTGAGAAGGGAGCAGCTCGTTGGTGTGTCTGGTTTAGGCAGGCAGTCCTCGACTTACAACAGCTTGTTTAGTGACCGTTCGAACTTACCACGGCACTGAAAAAAGTGACTCATGACCATTTTTCGCAGTTACGACCTTTCCAGCATCCCCATGGTCACGTGATCTACATTTGGACGCTTGGCAGCTGACTCACATTTATGACGGTCGCAGTGGCATATGTTTATTGGATACAAACCTGAATGAGGGACCCTTGGGGCTCTCTGAGCTTGATTGTCCTAAAGTTGCTTTTTCAAAAGGCAACTGGCATGGCTGCAGCCATCTTTGTTTTTCCTTGGGGACGTTTCGTTTCTCATCCAAGAAGCTTCTTCAGTTCTGAATGAAGAAGCTTGAAGTCAGAAGTCTGAAGAAGTTTCCTGGATGAGAAGTGAATCTCTAAGAAAAAGGATTGATCCTAGGCCAGGGGTAGGCACCCTTGGCTCTTTTATGACTCGTGGACTTCAACTCCCAGAATTCCTGAGCCAGCATGGGGGAACTATGGCCCCTTGATGACTTATGGACTTCAACTCCCAGAATTCCTGAGCCAGCCATACTGAGGGGAAAGGGAGAGGTTTCCAAGCTGAGCCATGCTGGCTGAGGAATTCTGGGAGTTGAAGTCCACAAGTCATAAAAGAGCCAAGGTTGCCTACCCCTGGCCTAGGCCTAGGCTGCTTTATGATTCGTGGACTTCAACTCCCAGAATTCCTGAGCCAGCCACGCTGAGGGGAAAGGGAGAGGTTTCCAAGCTGAGCCATGCTGGCTGAGGAATTCTGGGAGTTGAAGTCCACGAGTCATAAAGGAGCCAAGGTTGCCTACCTCTGGCCTAGGCCAATTAAACTAAAAGGATTCTGTGAAGAAACTGCTACAGTGAACCTGACAGAAAGCAATTTATATTCCTTCACCCTAAATCTGGGCCTGCTGTCAAGTGATATTCATGGCTAACGAACAACGCTTTGCTCTCCCATTCAAATGCAGGTGGTCCTCGACTTACAATAGTTCATTTAGTTACAACAGCACTGAAAAAAAGTGACTCATAACCATTTTTCACCCCTACAACTGTTGCAGCATCCCCGTGGTCATGTGAATCGAAATTCAGATGCTTGGCAATTGACTCATATTTATGACGGTCGCAGTGTCCCGGGGAATCATGTGATCACCTTTTGTGACCTTCTGACAAGCAAAGTCAATGGGGAAACCAGATTCAGTTCATAACAACCATGTTACTAATTTAATAAATGCAGTGATTCACTTAATAAATATGGCAAGAAAGGTCATACGTTGGGGCAAAACTCACGTCACAAATATTTCACTGAACAACAGAAATTTGGGGCTTGGTTGTGGTCGTAAATTGAGGACCACCGGTATGCCTCTCCAGCCCTTTCAAAACCCTGCCTATTGATAAATTCACTCTGAAATGGAACAATCAAAACCAACAGATCCTGTTGATCCCTGTGTGTGTGTGTTTGTGTGTGTCCAAGCTCTGCATTTTTACCGTGATCTTATTTTCCGTGCAGACAGGGACCGAAGGCTCCAGGCCCAGCTGAAGCCGGCGCTGTTTTTCACAATAGGCTTTCCATGTTTCCTCGTTGAATCCGTAGTTGAAATAATCGGAAAGGTCGGCACCTGGAAAGAAATGAAGCACATTGAGGAAAAGGGGGTCTTCCAGGGCAAGTCAACTCTTCCAGCAAGAAAGAAATGGGGGCCCCTGAACTGGAGAAGTGGCTTCTACCAACTTCCGTTTGCAGCAGAGAAATCTTCTTTCGGGATTCTTCCACTAAAAATAAATAACAGTTACCGGAAAGAAGAAAAGGAGAACAGCAAGGAGATGCTGACATATTATACCTGTTGTTCAGTGCTCTCCAAACGTGGCCACTTTAAGACTTGTGGACTTCAACTCCATTCTGGGAGTTGAAGTCCACAGGTCTTAAATTGGCCAGGTTTGGAGAGCCCTGCCCTAGTTAAACTGAATGATAAAAGATGATCTGCTATAACTTCCACTGCACAGCTACAACAACAATCTAAACATGCACCACCGGCTCAGCCACCACCCTCCCCTCCTTTACCTGGACTTTCAGTGCAAGAGGTTAGAGGTATAATGGGAGAGATTGTAGTTCAAATGAGAGAGGAAATGACTCAATTTGTTTCACAGATTAAATCAGAAATTAAATCTGATCTCAAAGAAGAGATAACGGGGATAAAGTCTAAATTGCAAGAAAATAATAATGAATTACGACAAGATATACTGGCAGCTGTTTCAGGTTTGGCTACTGTGGTGGTTAAGCTCGATGCAAGGCTTGAGGAAGTGGAAGACAAAGTTGACTCTTTAGATGACAAAATTCAAGACGTGGAAAGGAAGGTGGACTCCTCACAAGAAGATATTTTGATGTTTCAGTACAGACAGATGGAGTATGCTCTGAGGATTAGAGGCCTCAAGGAAGATATGAATCAAGATTTGATGGAGGTGGTTCTTAGTGATCTGGCGCTGGCTTTGGATATGGATAAAGGAGAATTACAGAGAGAAGTAGAAAAAATTTATAGACTCAACTCCTGGATTGCTAAGCAGAAGAATTTGCCCAGAGATGTGGTGATTTACTTTACAAAGAAGTCCCTGCGGAATGAGATTATACAAGCTTTTTACAACAAAAGATTTCAGATTGCCGCCCAAGATGTCATCATTCTAAAGGAAATCCCATCTAAAATCTTAAGAAGTAGGAAAGATTTTGCTTTTTTAACCAATGAGCTTAAAGCTAGATCGATGCCATTCAGATGGGAAATTCCGATGGGTATCGTTTTGAGCCATGCTGGGACACGTTACAGATTGAACACAGTTGACAAAGCTAGAGATTTCTATACTTCGGTCCTGAGTGCAGGCTCAACTTTATCTGGTCGGAAATCTTTGAGTGCTAAGGAACCTGAGCAGCAATCTGAGGCACTAGATTTGGTTTCCGCAGGGATGATAGAAGTGGCAAAGCAACGCCAAACGGAGGCTAAAGAGCAGAGGATGACTCGTGCAGCTTATAAGCGTAAAGAGAAAGAGCAACGTAAAAAAGAGCCCAAAGAGAATTCTCCTGGAAGTGCATCACCGCCGGTGGGAGGAGCAAGACCCAAGAGTTATGCAACACATGCAGCTCTGTCAGAGTTTGATGGTGTCTTCTCCAGGCTGCGTGCCAAGGGAGATGGCAAAGTTTTTGACCTGGAATGTTAATGGATTGAATTCTCCTCAGAAACGGAAAAAAATCTTTTATTATTTGAAGCAACATACCAATGATGTTATTTGTTTACAGGAAACTCATATTCTACTTAAAGATCAGAAATATTTAGTTAATGCTCGTTTGGGATCTCATTTTATATCTCCTGCACCTGGGAAGAAAGGGGGAGTTGTTATATATGTCAAACAAAACCTGCCAGCTTGTCTGGTAGAATCAGATCCCCAGGGGAGATATGTGATGATTGAACTTGGTATTTATGGTAAGAAAGTACTTATAGTTGGACTTTATGCTCCAAATCAACAACAGGAACAATTTTATAAACAGTTACACCAAAAAATAACTTTGCTTGACTATAGATCAGTGGTACTAATGGGTGATTGGAATGGTGTCTTAGACACACAAAGGGATAAGAAAGGTTCCTCTCCTTTTCTTAAACAAGCAAGGCTACCTAAAGCCTTTTTTGATATGAAAGAAGACTGGGAATTAAGGGACTATTGGCGGGAACGTAATCAAGAGGAGAGAGACTTTACTTTTTTTTCTGACAGACACCAATCTTTTTCAAGAATTGACTTTTTCTTGATTACCACGGATTTGTATAATAAAGTAAAGAATGTAAAGATTTTTCCTAGATCACTGACGGATCATAGTCCAGTTTGGATGGAGTTGATTCAAGAGAAAGAGGAAAGAAGATCCTGGAGAGTTAATGAAAATTTGTTTAGACAAGAGAAGAATGTTCAAAAACTAAAGGAGTGTTTAAAGGACTATTTTGCTTTGAATATGTACAAGGGGACTTCAATGTCAATGGTATGGGATGCAGGTAAAGCATTTATGCGCGGTGTTTTGATAAAAATGAATAATTTTTATAAGCGAAATCAGATTCAGAAACGTAGAGAACTTGAAGATGAAATTAAACTAAAAGAAAGGGCTTTGATTCTAAATCCTTCTGATGAAAGTACTAAAGAATCTGTAAAGTTATTAAGGTCACAATTTAATATGTTGATAGCAGATCAAGCTGCAACCAATTTATTATTTATGAAACAAAATACATTTTGTAATGCTAATAAGCCGGGGAGATGGTTGGCTTATCAATTAAGAAAGAAACAGAGACAGAGAATAATAGAGAAAATAAATTATAAGGGTAAACTAGTTTCTCAGAAGGAATTAATTAAAAAATCTTTTTTGGATTATTATCAAAACCTATACAAATCTACTAATGTACAACTGTTAGATATAAATAAATATTTAGCTGAGGCAAGTTTTCCTAAACTGACTGAGGATCAGAAATATGAAATTAATGGTTTAATCACTAAGGAGGAAATCGCCTCAGCAATTCAACAATTGAAATTAGGGAAAGCACCGGGTACGGATGGGTTAACAGCTGTTTATTATAAAGCCTTAATGGAGGAGATGATTCAACCATTAAATGATCTTTTTAATGGTATCCTACAGGGTTTAGAGATTCCTCCTTCATGGCGTAGTGCTTTTATATCATTGATTCCAAAGGAGGATCAAGATTTTACTTTACCAAAAAACTATAGGCCTATATCTCTTTTAAACGTGGATTATAAGATATTTGTAAAAATTTTGGTAAATAGGCTTATGAGGGTGGTGCATCATCTTGTGCATAAAGATCAATCAGGGTTTATAACAGGAAGGTATATGAAAAACAATGTTAGACAAATTATTAATTTACTAGAATACTTAGATAAGAACAACCAAGTTTCTGCAGGGCTCATATTTTTAGATGCTGAAAAAGCATTTGACCAACTGAATTGGCATTTTATGCTAAGAGTAATGGAAGAAATGAATTTTGGTGAAAACATATTACAAGCCCTTAAGGTAATATATCAAAAACAAACAGCACAACTTATTGTTAATGGAGGTTTGTCGGAGGTTTTCACAATAGAGAAAGGTACTAGACAGGGGTGTCCTTTATCGCCATTGTTGTTTGTTTTAACATTGGAAATATTATTGATTAAAATTCGAGAGTCTCAGGAAATTAAAGGAATATATGTTAATAAAAAAGAATATAAGTTGAGAGCTTTTGCGGATGACTTGGTTGTTACTTTGTCGCAACCTGACTATTCTGTAGTAAACTTATTACAGTTGATTCACCATTATGGTTTGGTCTCGGGTTTTAAGATTAATGTAAATAAGACTAAAATTTTACCTAAAAATATGTCGAGTCAGGAGAAGCAGATTTTGGTTAACTCGACGGGTTTTGAGATTGTTAATAAGGTAAAATATTTGGGGGTGATGCTGTCTGTTTCTAATGCAAAATTATTTAAAAACAATTATGAAAGGTTGTGGGTCGGGGTACAGAAAGACTTGAAGAACTGGGAAAAGCTGCAATTATCCCTCATGGGAAGAATTGCAGTGATAAAAATGAATATTCTACCCAAGTTTCTTTTTTTGTTTCAAATGTTACCAATTTTGAAAAATGAGATTAATTTAAATGAGTGGCAGAAGGGTCTCAATAAATTTATTTGGGCAGGGAAAAAACCAAGGGTTAAGTTCAAAATTATGCAAGACTTCCGTGAGAGGGGTGGACTCAAGGTACCAAATTTGAAATTATATTATGATGCGGTGGTTTTAACATTAATTAGTGACTGGGTAAATTTGACAAATTCTGAGATACTTTATCTAGAGGGATGGGATTTACTTTATGGGTGGCATGCCTATTTAATATTTAATAAAAAAATAGATTGGGCTTTTAAATCTCATATTTTAAGAATTTCTTTACTTAGGATTTGGAGAAAATATTATAAAAGTGATTTTAAAGTACCATTATGGGCTATACCTTGGCATGCGATAGAAGGAATAAAAAGAGGGGTTAAAATGGATATGGTGTCTTATAGACAGTTACTTAAATGGGATGGACAAAACTGGCAATTAAAATCACGGGAAGAATTAGCACAAGAAAATTTTACTTATTCTTGGTTCCAATATAGGCAACTACTAGATAGATGGAAGATGGATTGTAAGGTGGGTTTTCTTAGAGAAGATGAAAATCTTATTAAGCAACTGAAGGATCAAAGACAAACCCACATTAAGAGAATTTATGGGGTTTTAGTTGAATTGGACTCAGAAACGGAACTAATTAAAGATTGTATGATTAGATGGGCGCAGAACTTTGGTGAGCCAGTTTCATTGGACACCTGGGAAACTATTTGGGTGAGAAATGTCAAATTTACTCAAGCACAGAATTTAAGGGAGAATTTTTATAAAATGTTTTATAGATGGCACCTTGATCCACAAAAAATGTCTTATATGTACCCTGACGTGCAACCTAAATGCTGGAGATGTGGTTACAAGGAGGCTTCTTATTATCATATTTGGTGGTCATGCAGAGAGATAAAAGCATTTTGGATCAAAATATGGTGGAATATCCAGAGAATTTTTAGAAGGAGGGTAAAATTTACTCCGCAATTATTTTTGTTAGGTATTGTTACAGATTGTGATATAAAGGAGGTTGTATTGATGTTAAACTTGATCACAGCCGCGAGGCTGTTAGTTGGACAATATTGGAAGAAGGAATCTTTGCCTACATTGCAGGAATGGTTTTTTAAAGTAGCTTATCTGGCGGAAATGGCAAAGATTTCGGCTTTCTTAAAGCAACAAACGCAAGAGAAGTTTTTTGCTATCTGGGACAAATGGATAAAATTTATACAATTTAGATTGGGTATACAAAAATATTATATAGCCTTTTCATAAGTTTTATTTTTATATATATTATAGATATCTTTTTTATATATATAAATATAGAGTTTTTAATTTAATTTTTATTTTTTTTTTTATTATTTCTTAAGCCTATATTCTGCTCTGGGAAGCTCAGGGGGGGGGAAGGGAGGGTTTTTGGGAGGGGTGTGGGGTGGGGTTTTTTTTTTATATGTATTGTTTAATTTTTTTTTCTCTTTTGTATATGTTGTTTTTTGTTCTGTATTGTTCTTGTTTTTTTTGTAAAATTTATAAAACTTTTAATAAAAAAAAAAAATAAAAAAAAAAGTAAGAAAAAAAAAATAATAAGTAAAAAAAAATCAAAAAAAAAAAAAGAAAGAAACGAAAAAAAAAAAAAAGAAAAAAAGAAAAATAAAAAAAAAAAAAAAAGATGATCTGGAGAATAATCAAGAACCGTATCCTTCAAAGCTCCACCACATTCTCCCACCTAGGAAGACTCACAGGGAATTTTAATGACCTTTTTCATCATTTAATGACCTTTTTCATCATCTCTGCTGTCATATTTCACCAAAGTGGGTGCTACAGTTAAGCATAATTGCAAGATATTTTTTGTTTCCAGGAGTGGGAATTTTTAACACTCCAAATCTTACTGAAGGATAACTTCCATATATGTTACGACCAGACACATTCATTAGGTCCTGTGCAGGCTGGCAGTCACCTGGTTAACCTTCACGAATCGTCTACAGGCCACCTGCAAGCCCAACACAATTTTGTGGCCCACAAACCAGAGGACCCCCACGAGTTGGTGAGACCATTATTTTGGCACCATTGTTTTGTTGGTGATTGTGAGATGAAAAGTGTTTCATCTTTTAAACATTCTCATGGTCCTGAAATCTAGCAACATTTGTGGTGAAATATATTTAGAGCAGGGCTTTTCAACCTTTCCACCCACTTTTAGGATATGGCAACATCTGAGTACCACCAGTCGCCTAGCAAGGGGTCAAAAACTTGATGACCAAAAAAAAAAAAAAAAAGGAAAAAAGTGATAAAGTACAGGTAGTCCTCGACTTACAACAGTTTGCTTAGTGACTATTTGAAGTTACAATGGCACTAAAAAAAGTGCCCCCCCAAGCCACAGCCGAGCAAGACACCTGCCTGCCCGCCTGGCCACGCTCTTCCTCCTGTCCGAGGTTTTCATTGTTGTGAGCATTTCTGTTGAGGATTGGCAGCGGGGGTGGGGGGATATTTGGTTTTTATTCCCACCCCCCGTCTGCTGGATGGTTGCAGCAGGTTTTGGTCACTTCACATGACCCTGGGACACTGTGACCGTCATAAATATGAATCAGTTGTCAAGCATCTGAATGTAAATCACAAGACCCTGGAGATACTGCAACATTGCAGCTGATTGGTGCTTCTTCTGGGCTCAGCAGAAGTGCTAGGATCAGTGCTGCTTTCCAGCTGATTGGTGCTTTTTCAGGGCTCAGCAGAAGCATCAGGATCAGCGCCGAGCTCCAGCTGGAGCCTGGTGCTGATCCTGGCGCTTCCGCTGAGTCCTGACATCCCTGCAGCTCCAGCCATCTCTTGCTCAGGCTTGTGCGGTGCTGCCACCGGTTCAGCTCATTCCCCTCCCCCACTACCACTTTTCTGGGATTGTTGCGTACCACCTGTCAGGTGCCAATGTACCAAAGATGGTACCCGTACCACTGGTTGAAAAGTCCTGATTTAGAGTACAAAGACCTGCGTGCGCACACACACATGCTAATGGTAATAATCCCAAAGATAACTGGTGAATGTCTGAATGGCATCCCTCTTCAATGCAACAATGCAATTCGTAGCCATGGTTTCCGAAACTAGGATTCAAAGCAGGTTCACAAATCGGGGTTACAAATTCACCAGAATTTGTACAGGTGGCCCTCGACTTAGAAACATTTGTTTAAATGACTGCTTGAAGCCACAACAGAGCTGAAAAAAGTAACTGACTGGGGCAATTCATGCTGGCTGGGGAATTCTGGGAGTTGAAGTCCACAAGTCGTAAAGTTGCCAAGTTTGGAGACCCCTGGGAGGAGAGGAATCTAAAGAGGCTGCAGACTCCAGAGAAAGGATTGTGCAACAGGAGACAAGCCATTCTCATCTATGTTTGTGGTTCTTTGGACTAGATAAGGTGCAAAAACACCACACTCTAAACAAGATGTTTTCTCTTCCCTTTTGAAAAAAAGAAATTCGCCAACCAGGTCTGTTTCTGTAAATCAGTGGTTCTCAACCTGTGGGTCGGGACCCCATTTGGGGTCGAACGACCATTTCAAGGGGTCGCCAAACAACGCAGTCCACCATTTTCCCCCCCTTTTCCTTAGCTGTGCTACTCCCTTTTATTCTGTTGGCTTTTGAAAGCCAATAGAATAGACTCTCTTGAATAGAGTCTAATTCTGTTGGCTTTCAAACGCCAATAGGAATTGTCCAGGCTGACTCTGCCCTGCTGAGCCCGCCAAAAGTCCCATTCTGCAAACGGTGCTGCACCAGTTGAGTAGTCCTCGACTTACGACCGGTTGGGGGTCGCGGCATTAAAAAGGTTGAGAACCACTGCTGTAAATGCTGTGAGAATAACCTTCCAAAAGGAAAGCCATGCAAGTTAGATAAGAGAAATCTCAGCCCAAACCAAGAATGTAACTTGAGAAAGCGTCTCAGGCTGGACCCTCCCTAGTTCTGTTTAGGAGAAAGGAGGGAGGGGGAGCTGCATTGAGAGTGGTCAGATTCTGTTACTACAACCCCACAATAAAAGTAGACTTAGTGTTCATCTCTTTGGTGTTCAAGTCTGAACTTGTGATGGCATGTGGTGAGGAGGGGGATTCCCAGGAGGGAGGGGGTCAATTCCAGAGGAGGAAGAGGCAACTCAGCCCAGAGATTATATGTGACAGAAAAAGGGTGAAGACAGCTCTTCCCTAATGGAGCTCAGAGTATATTGTAGATGCAGAAATAGTCCTCAGTCTGCCAAGAATTTGGTCTATAGGTGTGAAAACAATAGAGATCTCAGCTTGGAAAGATGGTTCCTGGTTTCAGCCTGACACAGGCTGACTGTGGAATTCTGGGAGCTGAAGTCCACACACATGATGGCTGAGGGATTCTGGGAGCTGAAGCCCACAAATGTGGGAGAATGTAGTGAGGAGGTGGATCCCTAGGAGGAAAGGAATGTATTTGAGAAGAGGAAGAGGCAACTCAGCCTAGAGATCATGCATCTACTTTAATCTGCATCCACAATATCCTCTGTGAGCTATGAGGGAGGGGCTGTCTTCACCATCTTTTTCTCATGCATGATATCTAGGCTGAGTCTGCCAAGATTTGGTCCATAGGTGTGAAAACAATAAAGAACTCAGCTTGGAAGAATGTGTCACACTTGCTTTGAAGCCTGACAGCTCTACCTCAAAAGTACATCAATCTTGCAACTTTAAATGTGCCTTCCCCCCCCCAATACATTCATGTTCAAGAGAACTAGGGAGGTCCCATCTAAGACTCTCTCCAATGACATTTTTGGTTTGGACTCAGATTTCTCTTTTCTGAGGCTCTTCCTTATCCTCATTATGAGGAGCAACAAGAAAAAAAAGGCGGGAGAAATTCTCTGTATGACACTATCTGAAAATAGGTAGGCCGCAGCCGCCGAAAGCTCAGTAGCTGAGCCATAAGGACTAAAATGCCCATTCCTGATGGATCTGAGGGGTCCAACATCAAGGAGCAGTGTGGTGGCTCAGCGGTTAAGATGCCGGGTTTGTTGGCTGGAAAGCTGGCAACCAGGTTCAAGACCCAGGCATCAGGCGATGGGGTGAGCTTCCATTCCTCACCTCAGCTCCTGCCAACCTAGCAGTTCAAAAGCATGCAAATGCGAGTAGATCAATAGGTACCACTTCAGTGGGAAGGTGACAGCACTCCGTGCCGTCATGCTGGTCACATGACTGTGGGAATGTCTTCAAACAGCTCTGAAATGGAGATGAGCACCACCCCCTACCGTTGGCAATAAGTAGCGGAGTCAAATCCGCAAGGACTCCTTTTATCCAACCCCAGGTAAACAGATCAGGCGGTCCTACTGCACAGAAAAAGATCTCCCCGTTTCCAAAACGATAGTGTTGCTCTTAAATTTCACCGCACCACATTATGGAGAGCCAGGCCCATAAATTTGAGACTGTATCCACCTGTCCCACCAAGGCCCAGCGATGCCCGGCCAAACCAAACCAAATAAACGAGGGGGAAAAAAAAGAAAGCTGTTGATCATATTTACCACAAGAAACTTTGAGGCCCCACCTGGTTTCCTCCACGGTTTGTCTTCAAACGATTCTAAATCCACCTCGATTACCGGCAAGCCGTTAATATTCCCCGAAGCCTCTAAATCAATACCTTTAGGCTGTGACTTGGCTTTGGAGAAAGGAAAACAGATGGTTAGTGCTTAAGGCTGGCTGGGGAGCTGTTCCCAGGGTGAGGAAACAGTGCAGCTCAAAAAAAAGATAAATCTCTTCCTGGATAAATTTAGCTTCGGCTCCTGCCCGTTTTCAAATAAAATAGCTTTGCATATGTGTGTGTGTGTGTGTGTGTGTGTGTGTGTGTTTCTCAACACAATGCATTGTTTTGCTCCATGGGGGAAAAATGGCGAGTAGAGGCGAGGAAGGAAGGAGAGAAAGAAAGAAAGAAAGAAAGAAAGAAAGAAAGAAAGACAAAAAGAAATAAAGGAAAAGAAAAAAGAAAGAAAGAGAAAAAAGAAAGAAAGGGAGGGAGGGAGGGAGGAAGGACAGAGGGAGGGAAGGAGGGAGGGAAGAAAGGGAGAGACAGAGCGACAGAAAGAGATGAAGGAAGAATGAAGAAAGGAAATAAGAAAGGGAAGGGACACGAAGGAAGGAGTGAAGGAAAGAACAGACTCAGCATGCTAATTAAATAAGCCTAATTAATTAATAGCACACCTTAGAAGGACTGATGTGCTCTGAGATAAGCCATTTTGATTGTATTGAAAAATAATTCAGCATAAAAGATTCATTTGCCCAAAGGAAAAAAAGATAACCGAAAATAATTCTCCATTCATACCTGATGCTGGTGCTCCGTAGCCTCGACCCGTTTTTAGATTCAGATTCATTGGAGTCCCCCTAAAAAAAGAATAAAAACAGAACTGCAGCTTCTGGGCAATCTATGCAGGGTTTAGTTCCAATGACCATCATTAGGGTCTTAGACCAGTTCAAATCAAACCATAACGCCCACTAAAAAAAATTACTGGATAGTTCCAATCATCTGCTGAACGGACAGGCTGACCCAGGAGAGGGGGCGAGTGGAGACAACACTGCTGGGCTGGTAGCCCCCTCCCCCCATTCTAACTGGCTTTGGGGGAATGATGGGAGTGGAAGGCCTGCCCAGCTGGATGGTGTCAGGTTGAGTCACTTTGGTTCAACTGAAAGCGGCTTCGGTGACTTTGTACATCCAGCAGAAATTTGATCTAGTGGTCAAGGCACCAGCTGGAAAACAGAAGATGGTGAGTTCCAGTCTTGCCTTAGACATGAAAAACTGGGTGACGTTGGGCCAATGGTGAGTTCTAGTCCCACCTTAGGCTTGAAAGCCAGGTGGGTGACTTTGGGCCAATCACCAGGAGATAGTGAGTTCTAGTCCTGCTTTAAGCATGAAAACCAACTGGGTGACTTTGGCCAATCCTCAAGAGACAATGAGTTCTGGTCCTGTCTTAAGCATAAAAGCTACCTGGGTGACTTTGGGCCAATCACCAGGCGATGATGAATTCTAGTCCTGCCTTAATAGAATGTAAAGATTTTTCCTAGATTACTGACGGATCATAGTCCAGTTTGGATGGAGTTGATTCAAGAGAAAGAGGAAAGAAGATCCTGGAGAGTTAATGAAAATTTGTTTAGACAAGAGAAGAATGTTCAAAAACTAAAGGAGTGTTTAAAGGACTATTTTGCTTTGAATATGTATAAGGGGACTTCAATGTCAATGGTATGGGATGCAGGTAAAGCATTTATGCGCGGTGTTTTGATAAAAATGAATAATTTTTATAAGCGAAATCAGACTCAGAAACGTAGAGAACTTGAAGATGAAATTAAACTAAAAGAAAGGGCTTTGATTCTAAATCCTTCTGATGAAAGTACTAAAGAATCTGTAAAGTTATTAAGGTCACAATTTAATATGTTGATAGCAGATCAAGCTGCAACCAATTTATTATTTATGAAACAAAATACATTTTGTAATGCTAATAAGCCGGGGAGATGGTTGGCTTATCAATTAAGAAAGAAACAGAGACTGAGAATAATAGAGAAAATAAATTATAAGGGTAAACTAGTTTCTCAGAAGGAATTAATTAAAAAATCTTTTTTGGATTATTATCAAAACCTATACAAATCTACTAATGTACAACTGTTAGATATAAATAAATATTTAGCTGAGGCAAGTTTTCCTAAACTGACTGAGGATCAGAAATATGAAATTAATGGTTTAATTACTAAGGAGGAAATTGCCTCAGCAATTCAACAATTGAAATTAGGGAAAGCACCGGGTACGGATGGGTTAACAGCTGTTTATTATAAAGCTTTAATGGAGGAGATGATTCAACCATTAAATGATCTTTTTAATGGTATCTTACAGGGTTTAGAGATTCCTCCTTCATGGCGTAGTGCTTTTATATCATTGATTCCAAAGGAGGATCAAGATCTTACTTTACCAAAAAACTATAGGCCTATATCTCTTTTAAACGTGGATTATAAGATATTTGTAAAAATTTTGGTAAATAGGCTTATGAGGGTGGTGCATCATCTTGTGCATAAAGATCAATCAGGGTTTATAACAGGAAGGTATATGAAAAACAATGTTAGACAAATTATTAACTTATTAGAATACTTAGATAAGAACAACCAAGTTCCTGCAGGGCTCATATTTTTAGATGCTGAAAAAGCATTTGATCAACTGAATTGGCATTTTATGCTAAGAGTAATGGAAGAAATGAATTTTGGTGAAAACATATTACAAGCCCTTAAGGTAATATATCAAAAACAAACAGCACAACTTATTGTTAATGGAGGTTTGTCGGAGGTTTTCACAATAGAGAAAGGTACTAGACAGGGGTGTCCTTTATCGCCATTGTTGTTTGTTTTAACATTGGAAATATTATTGATTAAAATTCGAGAGTCTCAGGAAATTAAAGGAATATATGTTAATAAAAAAGAATATAAGTTGAGAGCTTTTGCGGATGACTTGGTTGTTACTTTGTCGCAACCTGATTATTCTGTAGTAAACTTATTACAGTTGATTCACCATTATGGTTTGGTCTCGGGTTTTAAGATTAATGTAAATAAGACTAAAATTTTACCTAAAAATTTGTCGAGTCAGGAGAAGCAGATTTTGGTTAACTCGACGGGTTTTGAGATTGTTAATAAGGTAAAATATTTGGGGGTGATGCTGTCTGTTTCTAATGCAAAACTATTTAAAAATAATTATGAAAGGTTGTGGGTCGGGGTACAGAAAGACTTGAAGAATTGGGAAAAGCTGCAATTATCCCTCATGGGAAGAATTGCAGTGATAAAAATGAATATTCTACCCAAGTTTCTTTTTTTGTTTCAAATGTTACCAATTTTGAAAAATGAGATTAATTTAAATGAGTGGCAGAAGGGTCTCAATAAATTTATTTGGGCAGGGAAAAAACCAAGGGTTAAGTTCAAAATTATGCAAGACTTCCGTGAGAGGGGCGGACTCAAGGTACCAAATTTGAAATTATATTATGATGCGGTGGTTTTAACATTAATTAGTGACTGGGTAAATTTGACAAATTCTGAGATACTTTATCTAGAGGGATGGGATTTACTTTATGGGTGGCATGCCTATTTAATATTTAATAAAAAAATAGATTGGGCTTTTAAATCTCATATTTTAAGAATTTCTTTACTTAGGATTTGGAGAAAATATTATAAAAGTGATTTTAAAGTACCATTATGGGCTATACCTTGGCATGCGATAGAAGGAATAAAAAGAGGGGTTAAAATGGATATGGTGTCTTACAGACAGTTACTTAAATGGGATGGACAAAACTGGCAATTAAAATCACGGGAAGAATTAGCACAAGAAAATTTTACTTATTCTTGGTTTCAATATAGGCAACTACTAGATAGATGGAAGATGGATTGTAAGGTGGGTTTCCTTAGAGAAGATGAAAATCTTATTAAGCAACTGAAGGATCAAAGACAAACCCACATTAAGAGAATTTATGGGGTTTTAGTTGAATTGGACTCAGAAACGGAACTAATTAAAGATTGTATGATTAGATGGGCGCAGAACTTTGGTGAGCCAGTTTCATTGGACACCTGGGAAACTATTTGGGTGAGAAATGTCAAATTTACTCAAGCACAGAACTTAAGGGAGAATTTTTATAAAATGTTTTATAGATGGCACCTTGATCCACAAAAAATGTCTTATATGTACCCTGACGTGCAACCCAAATGTTGGAGATGTGGTTATAAGGAGGCTTCCTATTATCATATTTGGTGGTCATGCAGAGAGATAAAAGCATTTTGGATCAAAATATGGTGGAATATCCAGAGAATTTTTAGAAGGAGGGTAAAATTTACTCCGCAATTATTTTTGTTAGGTATTGTTACAGATTGTGATACAAAGGAGGTTGTATTGATGTTAAATTTGATCACAGCCGCGAGGCTGTTAGTTGGACAATATTGGAAGAAGGAATCTTTGCCTACATTGCAGGAATGGTTTTTTAAAGTAGCTTATCTGGCGGAAATGGCAAAGATTTCGGCTTTCTTAAAGCAACAAACGCAAGAGAAGTTTTTTGCTATCTGGGACAAATGGATAAAATTTATACAATTTAGATTGGGTATACAAAAATATCATATAGCTTTTTCATAAGTTTTATTTTTATATATATTATAGATATCTTTTTTGTATATATAAATATAAAGTTTTTAATTTAATTTTTATTTTTTTTTATTGCTTAAGCCTATATTCTGCTCTGGGAAGCTCAGGGGGGGGGAAGGGAGGGTTTTTGGGAGGGGTGTGGGGTGGGGTTTTTTTTTTATATGTATTGTTTAATTTTTTTTTCTTCTGTATATGTTGTTTTTTGTTTTGTATTGTTCTTGTTTTTCTTGTAAAATTTATAAAACTTTTAATAAAAAAAAAAAAAAAAAAAAATAGAGGCAGGATAAAAATGAAATAAACAAAGCATTGCAGATCTCAGGAAGCTTGCACAACAATGGCACAAAGAAAAGAGCAGGATTTGGGAGAGGGTGTAAACACATACAAATAAGATGGGGCTCCAGTCTTGATGTTGCCAATCGTGACGCGAATGTCATCGTCACTGTCGCTCTCCTCCTCATCTTCCCCACTTGGGATGGTCTACAGTACAAAAACATGTCAAGCATGAGAAACTAGGCTAGAAACTAGAAGTCAGGCTAGACGAGTTGTCAAAAAAAGAACACGGGGGAAAAAAGAGAGTAGAGGTAGCTCCATCTAATTTGGATTTGGGGCCCACCTGATTATGTATTATCAGATTGGTGTTGACTGTTACCAACCAGAGTGGTGTTTTCCCCAGGGCAATTTGTCCCTAAGCTGGTCTTTCAGGCCTTCTAACAGTGCCCCAAACACCACTGTGATTGGACCTATGAACCTACTTGATGGTCATCTTCCTCTTCTCCTTCCTTCCACCCTTCCCAGCATCACAGCCTTCTCCAGAGAGCTAGGTCTTCTCATAATCCTTCCAAAGTGGGATAATTTGAACTTGGTCCCTTTGTGAATCAGGTGAGAACTCTGCGTTTGTTTGTTTATTTTCTTGGTTATCCCATGGATTTCTTGGGAGTCTTCTCCAACTCCGAATGTCAGAAGTATCAATACTCTTTCTGTCCTGTCCCTTCAAAATCCAACTTTCACGTCCACAGAATGTCACGGAGAAAAAATGTCTTGTGTAATTCTGATTTTTCTGGGTACAGACACATCTGGGCATCTGAATGCCTTTTCTAAGGCTTTCACAGATACCCTAGCAAATGCTAGTCTTTGGAATACTTGACTGGTGGTCCCTGTACTCTTGATAGTTGGTCCTACAAGGCAAAAGCCATCCACCACTTCAATATTTTCATCGTCAACTCTAGCGCTGGCTGCTGGAACAGTTACCACTCCTTTTGTTTATATTTAATCTTAGCCCTATTTTTTTCACTGTGCTCCTTGTTTTCATTAATGAAGCTTCCAGATAATTTGCATTTTTAATGATCAGAGTAATATCATCAACATTGTGCAAATTATGTTTCTTCCTTCCACATTCATCCTCTTCCAATCCAACTTCTCTCAGTAAAAATTCCATGTGGGTTGACTAATTAAGAACATATAATCTTATATATGCATAGTAATAATTTATAAAGAGAACGATTAATTAGGGGAACAGCTTGCCTCATGAAGTTCTGGATGCTCCATTGCTGGAGGTTTTTAAGAAAAGATTGGACAGCTGTTTGTTGGAAATGGGATAGTATCTCCTGCTTGAGCAGGGGGTTGGACTAGAAGACCTCCAAGATCCCTTCCAACTCTGTTATTCTCTAGTCTCGTCTCACTTATTTGCAATTTCAAGCCAATTTTGCCATGTTCTGTCTGGACTGTGGCTTTCTGACTGCATATACATACATGGAGGACAATGAGATGATCTGGATTTCCCATTTTTCTAGCGACATTCCATAGCCTGACATTGTCAACACAATCATTTTGTCATTTTGGTATTCTTTGGCTTTTTCAATTATCCAGTATGTATCGATTTCTTATTCCTTGAACGTTTCTAAAATCAGCTTTGTAAGTTCTTCCACGTGGCACTCTAATTTGTGTCAGATGGTCCTAGCCGTTGCTAGCATGAGAAAATAAGATTATACAATAGCATCTGCACTCCATTAAAGTCTCATTTTTTGGTATTGACATGTAGACCAACATCTCTGTTGGCCACTATGTTATTCTCCAGAGCTGCTGCTACAGAATGGTTGGAATCTTTACTATTACTTCTTTTGTTGCTTGTCATATTTGTGTAGTTCTTCTATCAATTGTTGTAGCCTTCTAACTTGGTAACAATGGAAGCACTGATGTAACTTCATCTATACTAAAACTACTCTAAAGAATCTGGATGTTGACATCTGCACTGTACAGAATTTCAATCTACTTGAAATTTGATCTTCACTGAACTGGTTACCGTTTGTTCATTGGTGTCTCTTAGCAAACCAATATGAAATTTCCTGGCGAGGAAAGCTATAGCAAATCTAGACAACATACTAAAAAGCAGAGACATCACCCTGCCAACAAAAGTGTGTATAGTCAAGGCCCTGGTTTTCCCAGTTGCAACATATGGCTGTGAAAGTTGGACCATAAGAAAGGCTGAGTGCCAAAGAATTGAGGCCTTTGAACTATGGTGCTGGAGAAGACTCCTGTGAGTCCCTTGGACTGCAAGGCACTCAAACCGGTCAGTCCTAGAGGAGATCAACCCTGACTGCTCTTTAGAAGGCCAGATCCTAGGTACTTTGGCCACCTAATGAGAAGGAAGGACTCACTGGAGAAGAGCCTGATGCTGGGAAAGATTGAGGGCAGTAGAAGAAGGGGACGACAGAAAATGAGGTGGCTGGATGGAATCACTGAAGCAGTAGGTGTGAACTTAAATGGACTCCAGAAGATGGTAGAGGACAGGAAGACCTGGAGGAACATTGTCCATGGGGTCGCAATGGGTCAGACACGACTTCACAACTAACAACAACAACAACAACATGAGGTAGGAATGTCTGTGTTCCAACCAAGGTCTTCGGTCTTTTAGAAAATGTTTCTTGTTTTTAAACGTTTTTCTATCTTCAGTGATTTTACAGCAGTTGTTGTAATACTGCTTCTTGTGTCTAGAACTCTTAATTGTCTTTCAGAAGGGTTTTTTTTTTTTGTCTTTCTCAGCATTGGCTTCTTTTCTCTTCCCTTCTTGGCAGTTTCCATGGTTTGTTCTGACATCCAGTTTGCTTTCTTCTCTTTTTTTCCTCTTCAGCGGTATCTTTTCCCATTTGTCCTTAATTGCTTCTTTAAATCCAATCTGTAGTTCCTCTGGTTGTCTATCAATCACCAATCAATCCAATATTTATTATAGTCATAGACTTGCATGGTATCTATCCATGATGTTCATGATTTCCAAATAGCTCTTGATGTTCTGCTTGAAAATGATGCTATGTGTTCAAGACCATCTAATGGAAACTGGTTGACTTTCTTCCTCTACTTTAGCTTGACACTCCCAGTTCTGGTCATCTCTCCCAGGAACACCCCACCCCTGCTAGAATGAGGCAACAAAGTAGGACATGAAGAGGTAGGTCCCAACTATTGTTAGTGTGAGCTCTGCCCATCATTGCCCATCCATCTCTTCATGGATTTCTCCTGGGAGAGCAGCCAGCCCTTGACAGAAAAATACCCAATGATTGTCTGTGTTGGACAGGACTGGGAATGAAGTCCAACACATTTGCCAGACACATGATTGGGAAAGGCTGTGCTGGACTTTCTACTTGAGGATCGTCCCTTACCTGCTGCAACAGTTCTTGGTCTTCACTGATAACCATCCTGGTCTCCTTAGGAATGTCTTGCAATGGATGAGATTCGGTGTGTCTGATAAAAAATAAACACAACAATAAGGGCAACTCATATTTCCTTGGGCTGTGTCCCAAGGTTCCCCATTTGCAGCAGTTTCCACCCAATAGGATACAGATTACATTGGCCAATCAATCAGTAGGACAACTGACCCTCCAGCATACAAAGTATTCCTTTCTAGGCAGGTGTCAATATATAGGGTTATCTTTGGCACGCTCAACTGCAGCCAGAACTAAGTTTCTGTGGGACCCTGGACTTGCGGTTCAAGATGTCCATGGAACCGTTCATGGGCATGGCTTGACCAGGAGCAGGTTTGTTTTCCAACTACCTGGCCAACTTTTTCATTGATTTCAAGAATTCCTATCCCGTCTTCTTTTTAAGAAAAGTCCAAGACAGTTAACCAGGAAGTTGGAAAGCCAGCCTGCTCCTGTTCAATACATACATACATACATACATACATAACCATACATACACACATGCACACACACACACACACACACACACACAAAAGAAATGTGGCTAAAGCAGAGTTTAGAACTCCAAATGATAAAATAAAATGCAAATAAAACAGATATATGATAAGCATTTTAGGTTTTTTTTTTTTTTAAGTAATGAGGTTTTGATACTGGGGATAAGCACAAGTGACAAAGCTACCCTTAAGCTTTAACAATTAATGCAACTTAACATTAATCTAATCTAAGGCAATATAAATTTAATGTAATTAACTTAATTTAATGTAACATAAAGTACTTCCATAACCTGATGTGCTCCAGAAACGTCATATAATGTTATAAGAAATATAACATTTATATATAAATCTTATATGCTGTGATGTTCAATTAGCATGGCAAAAGCTTGCCGGGTGTTATGGAGATTGAAGTCCAACAGACCCAAAGAGTTGGTCGTGTTACAGAAAGTTCCCACTTGATCTAAATATGTTTGGTTCTAAATGAAAAACTTGAAGATTTACCCAGATATTGGTCCATCTTCTGGCTTACCATTGTCATCTGAAAATAGGGAGAAAGACAAATACTAATTAAAGGCAAAGATAAATCCTTCAACATTTGTAAAAAAAAAAAAAAAAGAACTCAGCCTGGTCTTATGAGATGTTCCTATTGAGCAATTTCTATGAAGTATGAAAGGGTGGTGGGGATGTGGAGAAACGAGTGAGTGAGAAGGAACAATTGCTCTCCTTGGCCTGTCCCTGTCCTCAGCCCCTTCCTAGCTTATGTCTCACTTCTTTTAACCACAGCGACACCCAAGCACCAATCCTTCTTAAAGTCTTTAGGGATCTTTCCACTGAGTTTTCTTGGCAGCCAAATGGAGGTGCTTTGCTGCTACTCTCTTCAAGATATTGTGTTGTATTTACAACCTCTAGAAAGAATACAGAGAAGAGCAACAAAGATGATTAGGGAACTGGAGGCTAAGCATATAAGGAAAGGCTGCTGGAATTGGGTATGTCTAGTTTAATGAAGAGAAGGACAAGGGGGGACATGATAGCAGGGTTCCAATATCTCAGGGGCTGCCCCAAAGAAGAGAGAGTGAAGCTATTTTCCAAGGCACCCTGACAAGAAGGATAAGAAGCAACGGATGGAAACTGATCAAGGAGAGAAGCAACCTAGAACTAAGGAGAAACTTCCTGACAGTGAGAACAATTAACCAGTGGAACAACCTGCCTCCAGAAGCGGTGAATGCTCCAACACTGGAAGTTTTTAAGAAGAGACTGGACAGCCATTTGTCTGAAAATCCTACATTCCCTTGCACTGATATTACCTAGCTGGGTAACAAAATGTCTGCAGGAAGCAACCAAGCTCAGAGAGCACCATAAAATTCGCATTACTATAGCGGGATAATAGTAGCAGTTCCAGTCAAGCAGATGCCAAAGAAGTGGTGTTTTCTTTGGTACTGATCTGACAAACAGCTTACAAAATCAAATTGGATTGTGATGGCATGTATGATAGTTCATTTCCTGTATACAACATGCTTCTTCCTCCTTAGGTGCTCTGTCTGTTTAAACAGTTCACTGGAAAGATTTGTTCTTATTGTGCCGTTAATTCATTCTGGGTGCAATTACCTATCTTTGTTTATTTAAAGCACTTCTGCTTCAAATAAGAACGGATGGAAACTCTCCACCGATGGCATATATGCAAAACCAAAGGCTCAGTTGCAGCTTCTCAAGAGTAACACATGGCCTGATGACTCAGTTCTTAAAATTCTTTTAATAGAGACCTGGAACCAATCTGCTTCAACAACTATGCCACTATAATAACCTAAACACATTAGAAAAGGAAACAAAACCCTATTTATCCAGGTAAGATGCTAAAAGTCCCCATAATGTTATTTTTGATACCATCCAAGAAATGTATTATGGTTTACATTACCTAAGGAAACAAAACTGGATAGCTTTTTGTTGATCTATGTCTAGAAATACCTGGTGGCTAGCTATTCTAACTAGAGAGTATCATCACATCAACAATGCTAAGAAGTAGAGCATAAAAGTCACCCTTGATGACTACCAGGAAACCCAAAATATAGACTGATGATAGATAAAGCGTTAGCAGTTTGCAATGTAATGAAGACATTTTTTTTTTCTGAAAGGGACAGAGCAGCCTTACTTCATTCTTGTTTTCCTGGCTCAATACCAGTAACTGCAAGAGGGAACTTGGAGTCCCAGTAGACGATCGCTTGACCATGAGCCAGCAGTATGCAGCAGCAGCCAAAAACGCTAATACAATCCCGGGTTGTATAAACAGAGGCACAGAATCAAGATCACGCGAAATTATTAGTACCGCTTTATAAAACCCTAGTAAGACCACACCTGGAATACTGGAGCCAATTTTGGTCAGCATATAACAAAAAAGATGTTGAGACTTTGGAAAAAGTTCAGAGAAGAGCAACTAAGATGATCAAAGGCTTGGAGACTAAAACATACGAAGAATGGCTGCAGGACTTGGGTTTGGCTAGTCTAAAGAAAAGAAGAAACAGGGGTGACATGATAGCAGTGTTCCAGTATCTGAGAGGCTGCCACAAAGAAGAGGGGGTCATGTTATTCACCAAAGCACCAGAGGGCAGGACAAGAAACAATGGTTGGAAACTGACGAAAAAGAGAAGTAACCTGGAATTAAGGAGAAACTTCCTAACGGTGAGGACAATTAACTAATGGAACAGCTTACCTCCAGAAATTGTGGGCACTCCATCACTGGAGGTCTTTAAGAAGAGACTGGACAATCACTTGTCTGAGATGATATAGGATAGTTCTCCTGCTTGAGCAGGAGGCTGGACTAGAAGACCTCCAAGGTCCCTTCCAGCTCTATTCTATTCTATTCTATTCTATTCTATTCTATTCTATTCTATTCTATTCTATTCTATTCTATTCCTCTGGAAAACGTGCAGAGAAGAGCAACAAAAATGATTAGGAGGCTAAAACATACAATTAATGGTTTGCAGGAACCGGGTATCTCTAGTCTAAGGAAGAGAAGGACTAGGCGTGACATGATAGCTGTGTTCCAATATTTGAGGGGCTGCCACAAAGAAGAGGGGGGGTCCACCTTTTCTCCAAACCACCAGAAGGCAAGGCAAGAAGCAACGGATGGAAACTGATCAAGGAGAGAAGCAACCTGGAACTAAGGAGAAATTTCCTGACAGTGAGAACAATTCATCAGTGGAACAATTTGTTTTTAGAAGTTGTGGGCGCGCCAACACTGGGAGGTTTAAGAAGAGATTGGACAGCCTTTGTAAGGAATGGTGTAAGCCCTACTATGGGGCTTCCTGCTTGAGCAGGGGGTTGGACTACAAGACCTCCAAGGTCCCTTCCAACTTGGTAATTCTGTTATTCTTTATTACAGTAACATTGGGGAACTCAAGTAGCTTAAACATTAGACAAGCATGCTTGTTAACTCCCAAGCTTAAGACACTCAAATCTGACATTAATTTGTTCTCTGTGTTCTTAGATAATCTGCCTATTGCTTAAACATGGCCACTGCATATACCTTTTTGGAAACAAAAGGGAAAAAAAAGAAAAATTGAGAAATATCTGCAACATGTTCCTTAGACTACAATACCGCATAACTTGATCCCATGACCCAATTATATCCATGTTTGTTTAGCTCTGCAGCTATAACTCAGCTAGATCTGCAGAGACGGAACCACCAGGCTACTTCTGAACCATACATTCACACCCAAAGCACCAATGTGCTACTACTGGAATTTGCTGCACTAATTTTACAAAGCCGACAACTGCCCAGAAACGTTTGAATCCCTGTATGTTTCCACCAAGAATGTAAGTAAAGCTGTGTGTCCTTATTAATAATCTGATAAAGCCAAATAAACTGAACAGTCTAAGAATAAAAAAACACCTTGCAATCAAACAAGGATTGTCTTTTCGTTTTGCATTCTTAATATTCCAACCACTGAATTACAGATAGTCCTCCACTCATGACCAAATCTGAGCCCTCAATTTCCGTTCCTAAGCAACGTACTTGTCAGGTGAGTTTTGTCCCACAGTTTCTTGCCACAATTGTTAAGTGGTTCACGGCAGTTGTTAAGTTAGCAATAAGGTTGTTACGTGAACCTGGCTTCCCCATTGACTTTGCTCGTCAGAATGTCGCAAAAGAGGATCACGTGACCCCGGGACACTGCAACCGTCATAAATATGAGTCAGTTGTCAAGGGTCTGAATTTTGATCACATGACCCTGCAACAACTGTAAGTGTGAAAACCAGTTATAAGTCACTTTTTTCAGTGCCACTGTAACTTTGAATGGTGACTAAATGGATGGCTGTAAGTCGAGGACCACCTGTACTGTACCGAATGACTGAACTTTGAGGGGTAAATGTTCTCTCTGACTGTATTTCAGGCACGATGCTAAAGAGCAGTTCTAAAAGCGAAAAAAAAAGAAAATAAAATCATCTAGTAGCTCCGATGCCCAGAATGTTATTATATAAACCAGGAAATCTTGGCCTGATAGCAATGCCAGCTATTTTTTAAAGCAAGGTTAAACAATACAAGGTTTGCAAAGGGCTAGATTAACAATTAGCAAGTGTTACATTTTAAGACACAAAACGTGGTTTGTACTGAACCAAGAGCAAGCAACTAGGAGAAATAAAATGGGACAATTTCTTTGTTATCTGTAAGAAGAGAACTAAAACTTTGCTCAGTATGGGGTTGGGTTGTTGTTGTTTTTCCTTGTGCACTTAACTTTAAATCATGGTTTAATTCAGGGTTTCCCAACCTTGGCAACTTTAAGACCTGTAGACTTCAACTCCCAGAATTCCTCAGCCAGCTATAGCTGGCTGGGGATTTCTGGGATTTGAAGTCCACAATGGTTGGCTGGGGAATTCTGGGGGTTGAATTCCAATTCCAATTCCAATTATAACCCTGGTTTAACGTTAAACTACTGTACTGAAAAACCACCAACTCAACCCCAGCTGTTAATCCAGTGCTGGCTGTGGAATTCTGGGAGTTGAAGTCCACATGCCTTAAAATTGTCAAGGTTGAGAAATTGAGAAACACTGTGTTAATCCAATGAGGACATAAAAGAATACCCATTCTTGTCAGCTCTCCCTGAATTTCAGAAACCACAATGAAAACAAACATTCTTTTAACATAGTTATGAAAGCCCACAATCTGGTTTCATCTGGAGGTCCTGTCCAGACGGTTCCCATGGCTGTTCTTCTATCACCACAAGCATGAGTCTGTCTCCTCCCACCAATATCCTGAATCCCCTAGTAATGCTGCAAGTTCTGTTTGAATTACTTACTTGGAAAAGGACTCTTCCTTTTTTTCCCACCAGGCATTTCAATGTTTGAAAGCAGTTGGGCCTGAATGTCCCAACCAGGGTCTTGCAGGTGCCTCAACTGAAGTTCTGTTCCCTTTGAAGGGCCATCCACTAGGCTAGGGGTAGGCAACCTCGGCTCTTTTATGACTCATGGATTTCAACTCCCAGAATTCCTGAGCCAGCCATGCTGAGGGGAAAGGAAGAGATTTCCATGCTGAGCCATGCTGGCTCAGGAATTCTGGGAGTTGAAGTCCACGAGTCATAAAAGAGCCGAGGTTGCCTACCCCTGACTCTGGGCCATGCTTCCCCTTATTCCTACAACTGCCCCCTACGGCAAATCACGTCTCCCAATCCTTCCTTAAACTCTCCCCAAAACTTTTTGAAGTCTCCACTTAAGCATCGTTGTTTGTTGTGATTAACTCTAGGGAGGTGTCAGCCCCCCTGAATGTAGATTCTCCAACCACCTCTTAGAGCAGGGGTGTCAAACTGCTAGCCCACGGGCCATACCGAAGCCGCGCCCACCCCATTGCTGGCAATGCAAAAAGAATCGTGATACGTGACACGTCACGTGACGTGGCGAGTTTGACAGCCGTGCCTTAAGAGTTTAAGCTCACCTTCCATTCGTGGTCTTCTCCCTGCTGCTCACTTTCCTATCAAATTATACTGCAGTGTTTCCCAAACTTGACAATTTTAAGGCATGTGGACTTCAACTCCCAGAATTCCACAGCCAGCAACGCTAGCTGTGGAATTCTGGGAGTTGAAGTCCTCATGCCTTAAAATTGTCAAGTTTGGGAAACACTGTTATACTGTAACCCCCATGGGGCCGGGACCCGTTCTTCATTCATCTACAACTGTGCCTGTATTTGTTGAAATGCCCCATGGCGAGCTGGCCTTGGTGAGATGTTCCAATCTGTAGACAAACCAATTGTGGACTTCAACTCCCAGAATTCCCCAGCAAATCATACTAGCCTGAGAATTCTAGGAGTTGAAGTCCACAAGTCTTAAAGTTGTCAAGTTTGGAGACCCCTGCTTTAAAGTACTGACTCCTCCTAAGGTGAAACCTGGTTTCATTGATCCCATGTCTTGGTTCACATGCGAGAAGAGGCCAGGATCACACAACAGCCCGGATGAAAATGCGGCTGGCTACTTTTGAGGTCCAATCTGTTGTGTAAACCCAGCCCAAGAGTGAATCAGGCAAATGGTCCATTGTTTCTTCTGAAAGCGGTTGTCCAGTCTCTAAGAAAAGACTGGACAGCCCCTTTGTCTGGAAACATATCGTGGTCTCCTGTTTGAACAGGGGGTTGGACTAGAAGACCTCCAAGGTCCCTTCCGACTCTGTTCCTCTGATAAAGGCAAGATTTCAATATTTTCAAGCCAGCAGGTTTCCTGGTGCCCCTTCCCCTCTTCTTGGGGGAGGGGAGGGAGGGGACACCCTCAGCGGGCTGGAGCCCTCCCCGTTTGCTCGGGTTCCCAAAGGTTTTGACCTTGCGGCTGTGTTGTTGTGTTCCCAACCCTCCCCTGCCCTTTGGGGTCTCGCCGGGGCCGCAAGGCCTTCGTGCAGCTCGGCGGCGCTGGGGGGGGGGGGTCCGCTCCTCGCGCGGAGCATCCCCGAGCCGGAGGATCCCCGGTCCGCGCATTCCTGCGCCTGGGGGGCGCCCTGGCTCAGCGAAGCCCCCGGCCGGCTCTTCCTCCGGACTCCCATCCAGGGGGCGGCGGCCGAGAGAGCCCGCCAGCCCCCAGCCCTGCCTCCGAGGCGCCGGGCGGCCAATCCCATCATCCCCAGGCGGCCCGGGGATCATGGGCTTCCAAGCCCAGCCCGGCCCGGCGAGCAAGCACCGTCCGGCGAGCGAAGCGCACAGCGCTCCAATCTCCGGGCTGCATCCCGGTCGGCGGGCCTGGGTGGGGGGGAAGCAGCCCCGGGACTCGCCCGCTGCCCAGCCCGGGAGAGCCGTCGGCCTGCGGCCAGCCTCCCCGCCTCCCCCCGCCGCCGCCGCCCCCACCTCCGTAGAGCCACTGCTCCTCGTCCTCCTCCGCCTCCAGCTGCCCGGCCGCGGGCTCCAGGTCGGTGGCCATGGCGGGGCCGGGGGCCGCGCCTGCAGCGAAAGGGACGGAGCCGGACGGGCTCAGCGCCGCCGCCGCCGCCCCGGCTGCTGCATGCTGCACCGAGCGCTCGCTGCGGCAGCCCCGCCGGGCTAAAACGCCGCGGCAGCCGCCATCCCCGCCCGCCCACCCTGCTCGGCTGCTCCCCGGAGGCGCCGCCGCCGCCGCCGCCGCACGAGCGGCCGGGCGCGCGCTCGCTCGCTCGCTCGCCACAAAAAGAGCCCAGCTCCGGCGGGGGAGCCGCCAGAGAGCGGCCAGGTCCTAGCGCCCCGCGGACCCAGGCGAGCCGGAGCGCGCCGCCGAGCTGCCGTTTGCCCGGGACGGGGGAGAGCGATGGGAGCGGGGGGACGGTGTCAGTCTGCAGGCGTGGATGGTGTGTGTTTGTGTGTGTGCCTGTGTGTGTGTGTGTCGCTGGAAGGCTGTAATGGGAGCGGGGGACGGTGTCAGTCTGCAGGCGTGGAGTGTGTGTGTGTGTGTGTGTGTCGCTGGAAGGCTGCAATGGGAGCGGGGGACGGTGTCAAGTCTGCAGGCGTGGATGGTGTGTGTGTGTGTGTGTGTGTATGTGTGTCTCGCTGGAAGGCTGCAATGGGAGCGGGGGACGATGTCAGTCTGCAGGCGTGGAGGGTGTGTGTGTGTGTGTGTGTGTGTGTGTGTGTGTGTGTGTGTGTGTCGCTGGAAGGCTGCAATGGGAGCGGGGGACGGTGTCAAGTCTGCAGGCGTGGATGGTGTGTGTGTGTGTGTGTGTGTATGTGTGTCTCGCTGGAAGGCTGCAATGGGAGCGGGGGACGATGTCAGTCTGCAGGCGTGGAGGGTGTGTGTGTGTGTGTGTGTGTGTGTGTGTGTGTGTGTGTGTGTCGCTGGAAGGCTGCAATGGGAGCGGGGGACGGTGTCAGTCTGCAGGCGTGGAGGGTGTGTGTGTCTGTCTCGCTGGAAGGCTGCAACCTGGAACGAAGGAGAAACTTCCTAAGGGTGAGGATAACTAACCAGCGGGACGGCTTGCTTCCAGAAGTTGTGGGTGTTCCATCACTGGAGGTTTTTAAGAGGAGATTGGACAGCCATTGGTCTGAAATGGTATAGGGTCTCCTGCTTGAGCAGGGGGAGAATAGAATAGAATTGAATAGAATCTGGAAGGGACCTTGGAGGTCTTCTAGTCCAGCCCCCTGTTCGAGCAGGAGAACCTATACCATCTCAGACAAGTGGCTGTCTAGCTTCTTCTTAAAAACCTCCGGTGATGGAGCGCCCACATCTTCTGGTGGCAAGCTGTTCCACTGGTTAATTGCTCTCACTGTTAGGAAGTTTCTCCTTAATTCCAGGTTGCTTCTCTCCTTGACCAGTTTCCAACCATGGTTTCTTGTCCTGCCCTCTGGTGCACAACTGACCCCCTCTGCCTTGTGGCAGCCCCTCAGATACTGGAATACTGCTATGATGTCTCCCCTGTTTCTTCTTTTCTCTAGACTAGCCAAACCCAAGTCCCGCAGCCGTTCTTCGTACGTTTTGGTCTCCAGGCCTGGGATCATCTTAGTTGCTCTTCGCTGAACTTTTTCCAAGGTCTCAACATCTTTTTTGTAGTATGGTGGCCAAAATTGGCTGCAGGACTAGAAGACCTCCAAGGGCTCTTCCAACTCTGTTAACCCCGTGTTTGCGTTCCCGAGGGCAAACTCCTTTCTTGGACTGGGCTCGTAGTTTCAGAGTCACCGGGCAGCCCCTCCATTGGTCTCGCCTAACTGGCTTCGCTGGTTGCATCTTTGCCTGCCATATTTTACACTTATGACTATTGCAGCATCCCCAGGGTCACGTGATCAAAATTCAGATGCTTGCCCAACTGGCATGAGTTTATGGCAGTTGCCGTGTCCCGGGATCACACAATCACCTTTGGAGTCCTTTTGACAAGCAAAGTCAATGGGGAAGGCAACTGTGTTACTAACTTAACAATTACAATGATTCACTTAACAACTGTGGCAAGAACTCACTTAACAAACATCCTGGCTTAGCAGCAGAAATTTGGGGCCCAATTGTGATTGTCAGCAGAGGTCAGTCTGTTGACCAAACCTTATCAAACCAAAACAGGCTGCAGAATCTGCCAAACCTGGTCTGGCATCCAAAAGTACCTGGCTTGAAACTCGGGAGGGGAGCTGTACTAAGATTTGGGGGGCCTGGGGATGCCTGGCATTTAGCTTGGGGCACAAGGAACCCCAGAGTGGAGCCTCAGGCCTTCTGCTTCAGAATCGGCTGCGAAGCTGAGACGCGGCAGGAGATGCTACAAGTCCGTGTTTGCATTGGCTGTGTTCTAGTCAAGAAACCAGTGCCATCACAGGTACTATGCCAGGGGTAGGCAACCTTGGCTCTTGCTGGCTCAGGAATTCTGGGAGTTGAAGTCCACGAGTCATAAAAGAGCCGAGGTTGCCTACTCCTTTACTATGCCACGTCTAGATACTAATGCAACTTCATAATGGTCGAGCCCAGCTGGGACTAAACCTAGATGTTCTTCAACCAAGTTCCACCTCCTGGTTCATTGGCTTTCCTTGAATCTCTAGCTGGTTACTGCTCCCCTATTGGCTGTGCATCATGGGGATTTAATAGGAGGGCATGTTACTGGGGGAAGAGCTTGTGTGAATATCAGGCTAAAATGTGGGAGAACCCATGTTCAGCTCTGCCTCAAGCCTGAAACGGGTGTTAATCTTGTGCTGAGAGTGAAACAAGACACCTCGGCCAGTGTCATCTGCCAGATGTTGGGATTGCAGTCTTCCCTCAGGCTGGTTCCAGAGTTGAAGGGCTACAAGCCAGGTTTATCTCATGGTTGATTAGACTTGCACATCATGGAGTAATAAGGATGCCACGGATTCTTGAATGTTGATTATGGGAATAGAGGCTGCTGCCTGAATACCTTTCTTCAAGGACATTTTACTTTTAAGAAAGTAAGATGCACATACAAAATAGTTACGAAGGCTCAATTCTGCTTTCCCATAGAAGGGGGGGGGGAAGGATTTTTTTTTGCAACTGATGGGCAGGATTAAAACTGAACCAAACCCATCATTTCACACATATATGTGAAAAGCCAAATCATGAAATTACACACAACAGTTATTTGAGCATTTATTTTTTACAAAATCTTCAAGGCATGAGGTCCTATTAAAAAAAGTAGCTATTACTTCATAAAGTGTAAGGAAACATAATTAAAATGTATACAGTTTGACAACGAAGCTTCGTGGAATTACAAATTGTGGTTATAGCCATAAACAAAAATTCACAAAACTTGCCAAGTATGAATGTATTATACAACATTGTTTCCTAAACTGTTAAATATTTACACTGAATATGAACACTTAAGATCTTAGTGCTCAATGCTAATATTTTCAGGCTAATGCAATTAATTAGCATGATACTAAAATACAATATTCACAGTTAAGCATACAAAGTGTGTTTAATCAAAACAAGAAAATGGATGGCTAAATTTATTAGTGATAAATTTATTGAAAACTTTTCTTGAGATTTGGAATGAAACAGAATAAAGGATGCTTACTCCGTAATACATTATTAGCATGACGGATGTCCTATTCATTTTTGCAGAAGTGTGCAAGAATTACACTGCTGTCACACTTATCTTGGTTCCCAATTTTGCACAATAGGTAAAATTAATTTATCAATCTACTCATCACACAAAAACATGTGGAATGTTATACCATAAACATTCTCCTACATTAGAGATTTTTGTATATAGGACGGAATAAATTAGGAGAAAGCATTAATTAGTAACTACTTCTTGGCAAACTAGGTTTTTGGGGGGCGAGAGGGAGAGCATTTGTGCATACGATAAACCCTGTGACATTTTATAATAAACTCTACATTTCATAGGAATCAGTGGTATAAAGTCAGGGTTCGCTGCCTGGGGTTTTCAATTCTATCAAAGAAATACAATCTAAATAAAAATGAATTCAATTCAATTTGCTTGGTTGGAACAATTCCAGACACTTTTTCCTCCCCTATTTTGTAGAAGCCAACAAAATAAGAAGAAAAGTGATTTCAAATATTGTAACGGCCATCTTGAGGAGCATCGTGGAAGAAATAATTCAAAGCTGGACCACTGAACTTCAGAAGAGAAGAATCAGCACAGACCATGGGAGGAAATAAAGAGCCGTATCTCCCATTTGTCTACTAGCTCCCCAAATTCTGAATGCATTTCTCAAGACAGAAGGTCACTCTTAAAATGAATTTGCCTCTTCGAGAATTGGGCTCAGATGTTACTCACTTTTAAGGCAACCACTGCTCTATTTTACAGGCGTTTACATATTTATATAATCTATACACCATGATCAACACAGAACACTGTCAGAACCTCACAGTCCGGACCGTCTGATATGACATCTCCAGGGTTACAGCAGGGGGGTCACACTGCCGCCCCCCCGGGCCGGATGCATCATGGCAAAACCGCGCCCACCCCATTGCCGGCAATGGGGAAAAAGTCGCGATACGTCACGTGATGTCGTGAGTTTGACATCTCAAGAGCTACAGGAACAAACAGCAGCTTTTTGTCACTTCTTGCAGCTTCGGGCAAAGTGAAAGGACCATATTCCCATATTCCACTGCTGACGAATCCTGGGGCGGGAATGGGGAACTTATGCTTCCTAAAAAAAGTCCTTCCATTTGAAGCTAGGTTTGCCCGAAGCACACAGTTTGGGGAAAAGTAGAAGCGTCACAACACCTTAAGAATTTATTACCAATCAACTGCACTCAGCCACATTTGCTGCATTAGACACATCTTGTTTGGCACTTGCATACCTGAGAAAAGGTGCAAGTATGGCCCCCTTAACACAGAAAGACTGGGATTCTACAGAGTGTAAAAATGGGAAGTATTATTTTTACTACAATATTAATTCTACAAAGAAAAGAAAAGCTGAATCGGAAGTCAGTCCCATTCGTGCTAACGGAAGCTGCTTCCCCCTAGACTGGTGAGAAGGGGATGGTGAGAGGGGAGACAGATAATTCCTACATCTGGATTAGGAGGTATTAAGTGTTGCGTTCAGACACTGACAGGATCAGAAAAGCCATAATGTTTCTTGGCACAATGTTTAAAACAATATGGAAATAAAATCTCCAAGCCACCCTGGCTTGGAAGGTGCAAGGGGTTTCAGAAAGTGCTGAAGACCTATCAAAGTAGACTTTGCTAGGGGGAGGGGAAAGATGAGGTAACACTTAAATGAAGCTGCTCTTGCCCCAGCAACAACAGAACTGGAATATGTATATTATGCAACATAACTCAGTAACAACAACGTTAAGTAACACATGCTGGAGTAACTTTTTCAGCAAAGCAGGATTTTTAACACTATCTGTGAAAGAACAGGCTTAACTTCGCCATGCGCCGTATTGTCTTGGGTAGGTTTGTGTAGCTCTTCAGCTCTTGAATGCGTCTACAAGCCTCACAATCCAAGAAGCAGCTTGAAAAGTTCTATGGATGATTGTTTTTTTCCCCTTTAATTATTCTACAGTTCTCATACTAAACATTTCCTCTGGAGCTAGGAGAAGAAAACAGCAATTCAAAGCTCCAGTTTGCAAATCTGTTGAGTTTATAACCTGCCATCAAGTTTTTGAGGTGATATTTCCATGGGTATTTTGTGATGCATGCACACAGCACCCGAACAGAGGCTTCCGCATTTAGCTAATCACGATGGGCAACTCTGTGCATGCATGATGAACAAAATTACAGGTCCACAACAGCTAAATGAATGAGAAGGTGCTTATTTATACTGGAGCGCTGATGCACAGATCTTGCTATCCGTCAGCCGAAACTTGCTTTCCTTGTTAAGGATGTTATGGAATTTGCAAACGCAAACAATTGAAATCACAAATATTCTCAATTCTCCCACATTTTAGCTACATAATTGCTAAAAGCACAGACTGAAAGAACTACAGTAGCTAAACGAAGAACTTGAGTCAAACAGATGCACAGTGTATCAGATGAATGTTGTGGTTCTTGATTTCTGGAACTCTATCCTAACTAATTTATGTCCATGATCTCTTAATTATAACCAAACAACAGGAAAGGCACCCAAATGAGAAGCTCTTGGCACAGAGCCTTAGAAAGGGAGGATCTCAAAATACTGACCTTGAGCAGGTTCTCGCAACTGCCCTGCTATTTCAGAAATACTTTTATGCAGATTTTGGTGTAATACTTTATGCTTGTGAAACTGCAGGGTTGGATCCAATCTTACTAATGTTAAAAGGAACTGCAGGCCAACATTTCTAAAGAACTGCTTTGTAAAGAGCAGAGACATGGAAATGATCTAAACATCAGATAGGCCAGTCTTTCTCAATGTTGGCAACTGGAAGATGTATGGATTTCAACTTCCAGAATTCCCCAGCCAGCAGAGAATTCTGGGAGTTGAAGTCCACACATCTTCAAGGTACCAACGTTGAGAAGCACTGATAGACTAACAGAAAAATGTAGGCCACCAAACCAAATATTTTTTTTTAAATGTTGTCTTCCATCAATTTATAGGGCTCCTAATGCCAGATCCACAACTTCCTTTGAATTTCTGCCAGTTTTCTGGTAGAATTGTTTAGAGGCCTGTTGTGCTTAAACCAGGGGCTCTTATGGGCTTTGGGGGGTCTTTGGGCTACATATAAATTCAAGGAATTACATCTTTAAGTGTTTTACCAGCAATTTCAAGGAGCAAGAACTACACGGGATCTTTATGTTTGCTTAGCTTAGCAAACTGCACCTGAGTCCAACTTTCAGTAGCATCTACAAAGCCCTCATGGCTTCACCGCGTGGCACACAAGTGGCCAATACAATCAAAAAGATACGCACAACATCCATCGTAACAAAATCTATGCAAAGCCATTGGCATTATATCACAATCCATAAACCTTGGCGTTAATACACTTTATATATTATACAATGAGGTAATATTTACAAACCCAACCCTTCCCCTGTCCCTCCCCTCACCCCTCACCCTCCCAGCAGAGAGAAAGGAAAATGAACAATTTTGCAAATGAAAGAAGACGGCAGGGCTGTTCATTGTTAATCTCAGGCAAAGCAGATCATCGGTACAGATAATAAGATATTAATTGCTGTATGCTAACCTTGATCGTTCCTATCAAGAATTCAAAGTGCCTGAAGATGCAATTTTTCCTCCCTTCTTGGTGCCTTTCAGATGTGTCAGGACCACAACCTCCAGTGGTCCCAGTCGGCACACCTGGAGAACACTGGTTACACAGACTCTGGGAGCGTGTTTGCAAGACTGAGTTTTAGAAATGAATAAGGCAGCATGTCAGAACAAGACTACAAGCAGCGCTGATATAAGATTATCTCCATAGTGACCATGTTCATCAAGTAAGTTATGCCTTGGGAGTGCGCAAACAAGCCTTAGCATCGCCACCCTATTTAGAAAGTGCAAACAGTTTCTTCTTTTTTAAAAAAAGTAACACAGCAATGAAGAGACTCTACTGATGAACACTTTTTCAAAAACAATATCAGAGCAAAGTAGATAATTTTCTCTTCAATATCCCTTACAAGGCACTACAGGTAGGACGTGACAGGTAACACAAAAGGTAATACTGCTCCTCAGTCAGGTCGAAATATAGGGTATTTTGGCAGGAATTCTATGAGTATTACCTATGAAAAGGGGGAAACACAAAAGACACATTAACCCATACATCCAGCTTCTCCTTGACTGTCAGAATATTGTAGAAGTTAAGAGTGCTTGGCCAGAGAATAGAGAGCTGCTTTGGGCCATGGTGGGGCTAAACCTCACTCAGTCTGCTCTGCCCAGATGGATATTTCAGAAAAGGGGTTTCCCCCCCCCCTCCTACCAGCAATTGCACTTGGGATCTTGATAAATCAAGCCCTCTATAACCTTGGAACTTCTAATCACAATAAAATGCTCTCCCCCAAAAGTAAACATTGTCATTCAATGCATATTAATGTTAGAAAAAAGGGGCATGGCTTCTTTTAATAAGAGTTTGATGAGATAGCTTTTCAGTGGCAAGAAGAGGATGGCTTCCGGATAGTTGTTTGTCTTCCATGTGTTTACTTTCCCCTAGGTGGCACCAACAACTCAGGTTTAAATCTTGGGATAGCTGCCTCCTGGCTCAGCTCAGCGCCTTAACACTCTCTAATGAGGAAGAACGGAGCGGAGCCTATCTGTCATCAAAGGAGCAAACTTCCCCCCAAAAGGCAAGGTTAAACTTGTTCGACAATCTGCTGCTGAAGTTTTGCATGTGTCCACGTTGGACTTGCTACTGATGGGAGCCCAGTGAGTAAATATGTAGCTCAGGTTCAGTGGAACCAATTCCACTGGAGACATTTTCTGACGGGGAGAACCTTAATCAGTGGAACGGCTTGCCTCCAGGAGCTGTGGATGCTCCATCACTGGAGGTTTTTAAGAAAAGATTGAACAATAATTTGTATATCTAAAATTGTATTGATAAATGTATTGACTGATTGAGCTATAATTACAAATGTATTAACTTGAATGTGATATAATAATTAAGGGAAATAGAGAGGGGATTTTTAATGATGCCTTCTAAGATATGTACGAAAGACTTTGTTACTGAACCATTAATTACCCAATCACTACGCTGCTTTCTAAGCATTTGGATGTAAAATTTAAAAATTAATAAAACTTGTTTGAAAAAAGAAAAGAAAAGATTGAACAATCATTTGTCTGGGATGGAATAAGGATTCCTGCCTTGGGCAAGGGGATTGGGCTTCCAGCTCTACGTTCTAATTCAATTTGAAGTTACTTAGCATTTTCTTTTTTACATTAACCTTGTGAACTCTCAAGCTTCCTCCTTCCGTTATATATTCAAGATGGACAGTATTTAATATTTATTTGTTGCATATATGTAGGGGTGTGGGTCTATACATATGTTGTATAGAGTATGTTTAGGTTTGTGTCATGTATGCGTTTCACTTTGAGAGCGGGCAACTAAATTTCATTTTTCAATGTGTGCCGTTGTTCCCACAGTAAAAAAAAAAAATGACAATAAAGGCTATCTTATCTCTTATATTTATGAAAAGCAGCAAGTAATTTGATACAGAAAATATCTGAGCACATTTTCATAAAAGGAGAGTGAGGAAAAGTCTTGACTCATCCTTTCAGACTCCCAAGAGTGCTATAGTACTTTTTCAACATGTTTTGATTACAAGTCACTACTGGGATCCACAAATCTAAAAACAACTGATGGGTCGGTCCCTCAATATCCTTCAGGGCCATGGTGATATTTACTTCTCTATATTCCAGAATACTTAGGGAACAACGAACAAGCAAGAGGAAGCTAAGTCAGTTCAACCAAAAGATGTGTCTAGACATTTATGTTTTAAAAATAAAAAAAACAGACTATTGTGTTTATAAGCTCGAACACTGCACAAGATGCCATCTTAGACGAGGCTGTGATCTGCCTATAAAGGTTCAAATCTAAGCTAGGAGTAAGTTTTACAATAGTGCTTATTTTAACCGAAGTAAATAGTACTAGCTATTTTAAGGATATTTATGCTGAAAAACCATTTTGTATTTTAATAAACTAAGATAACAAAGAACAATGACAAACATAGAGCAGACAAATTCAAAAGAAAATCAGCTGGTACGTTTGACATTATTCAGAATGATACAGGTTTGCTTGCTATCTGTCAATCTTATAAAGCCTCCATGTAAACAAAGAACTGTGTGGCAGACAAAAGGCTGCATGTATAAAGGCACTTAAAATTTATGTTGGAAACATAAATGGCTCATTTTCTCATATTGGTCGGCATGTAAAAAAGCTACTTATTCAAAGGACTTTAATGCTAATCTTTAATTAGCATAACTGAGACAGAGCTCTTTCTTTTGGGACTGATGGGCAGAAGTTGGAAAAAAATCATGGAATTTTGTTTTTGTAATGATAATTGCAGTCAGATTATTGTATGCACAATAATACATATTGTGCACAATACACACACACACACACACACACACAAAATTAATATCTATGTTTATTGCTGACTGGAAACCGCTTATGGACTTTTTGTGTATAACAGAAAAAAGTGAATTTATTTTGGTTTCTATATTATAGAAAGAAGAGAGATATATGACCATAAGCAAGAGGTAAATTTAAAATTGTAGCTATAATTGCTACAAAGAGAAAAGTTATTTCTTGATATCTTTTTTTCTATTTTTGTTATTACTTTTGCCCCCTTACTTGCACTTTTAGCTTTCTCTTTGATTTCTTTCTTTTTCTTACTTTAAATTAGTTTGCATTAGTTTTTATCTTTCCTCTTTAAAATATTTAATAAGAATTATATATTTAAAAAAGGGGAAGGGGAACTGGAGAAGAAAGACATGTGTAGAACGAAATTAAAACCTGGAAAGATAATGCTAACTTTGCTAACAGCTAGCTTTGATTTTATAAGTCAGTGTAGCTGTTGATTTCACTTTCAGATGAATGACTGCACTATGCTAGGCATATCCTAATACATATATATAATTATGTGCATATTCCTAGAAAGTAGAATTATGTCTCCAGTCACTAAAGACAGGAATGAATTAATAAGAAAAGAGGAACGTGATACTGTGAAACTGATACAGGTCCTTGACTTACAACCACAATTCAGCCCCAATTTTTGTTGCTAAGTGAGCAATTTTACCCCATTTTGTGGCCTTTCTTGCCACAGTTGTGAAGTGAATCACTGCAGTTGTTAAATTAGTAACATGGTTACTAAGTGAATCTGGCTTCCGACATCGACTTTGCTTGCCAGAAGGTCGCAAAAGGGGATCACATGACCCCAGGACGCAGTAACCATCGTAAATGTGAGTCAGTTCCCCAGCGTCTTAATTTTGATCACATGACCATGTGGGGATGCTGTAACGGTTATGAGTCATTTTTTTCAGTGCTGCTGTAACTTCAAACGGTCTCTATATGAACTCTTGTAAACTGAGGACTACATGTACCGATAACTTCAAAAATACTTACATATTCCATCATATTGCTACTTTCGCATTTCCGTTTACTCAACTTCCAATGCAAGCCAAGCTTAAAAAAAGAAAAAGATACTGCATTATAATAACCAATAACACTCAGGGGTAGGCAACCTTGGCTCTTTTATGACTCGTGGACTTCAACTCCCAGAATTCCTGAGCCAGCTATGCTGGCTCAGGAATTCTGGGAGTTGAAATCCACGAGTCATAAAAGAGCCAAGGTTGCCTACCCCTGCTTTGGACTGACAAACAAGCCTCTATGTCCCTTTAACCCATTTATTAAAATTCCTATATATGCTGCCCAGCACAAGATTATTTCTGGGTTAGCTGTAACTGTAATACTTCAGCTTTCTAAATCAGTCTGCCCTTGAGATATGGAAGTGTGGCCTGCAATTCCTCTCAAGCAAAGCATGAGGCAATTCTAATGCCGCGTATCTGAAAGACATTGATTAGGGAAAAAAAAAAACACCCTCTAGGTATAGATTTTTCTCATTACTTCAATAAGAGCCACATCAGAAACTTCAGTCAGCTAGGACACCTTGCCTCCCTAACACAGCTAGATATGAGCGAGCCACTGGTTTCAATCCCTTAAAATCAAGACATCTGGCAAATAAATGAATTGAAACAGCAGTTAATGAGATGACCACTCACACACACCCAGAAATCGGAATTCTGGGATTATGAATTAGTCTCATCTGTGGTTTTGCAGTCCACACAGGATAATCTTTGATTAAGTGAAATATATTATTTCCTACGATAAATAAGGCAACTGCTCCTTATATTACCTTGTGATACAATCTGTTATTTTCCCATTCTAACAACTTCTGAATAGATCTTCTTGTCTAGGAAAAAAAACAAGCTCCTGTTAGTTTTTTTAGTATTGCCACTGACCAGAATTATACACAATTTTGTAAAAGGGGTTAGAGCAGTGGTTCTCAACCTTTCTAATGCCGCGACCCCATAATACAGTTCCCCATGCTGTGGTGACCCCCAACCACTTATACATCACCGGGTGCCAGGGGCGTGGCCAAAGAAAAGGGGGGAAAAATGGCGGACAGCCTTGTTTGGCGACCCCCGTGAAATGGTCGTGGGGTCCCGACCCACAGGTTGAGAACCACTGAGTTAGAGACTTTAGCTAAGAACTCAGAGTAAGCGGGGGGGGGGGAATAAAACGGAGCAAACTGAAGTGTATTATAAGTACAATTACCTAACTATGGAATACTAAAAACTTAAAATTAAGTCACAAGGTTGTAAAACTGAATACACTGTTGAGATGGGCATTATTATCTTCCCTCTGCTGTGGTCTATATCGGAGTCCACCAACTTTTCCAACTTTGTGGATCGGCAGGAGAGGAGGGAGAGTGGATGCACGAGTGGCAGGAAAGCCTGCACGCTCATCACTCATAATACGGCATGAACGCACACGCTCACCCACTGCTCACACAAGAGGGGATGCACGCATACATGTGCATGCTCGCCCTGCACTTCCACAGCCCTGTTCCGAACGGCTCAAGGCCTGGTTGTAGGCCACAACCCAGAGGTTGGGGATCCCTAGTCTATGGTGTTTGCTTTTATGGTACCTTATTAATATGGATTTTTAAGTTTTGTTTGTTGTTTGTTACCTGATTGTTGTTTGCCCCCCAGAGTTGCATCCAATGAAACGAGCAGCTCTACAGGTAGCCCTTGAATTATGACCTCAATTGAGCCCAAAATTTCTGTTGCTAAGTGAGGCATTTCTTAAGTGAATTTTGCCCCATTTTACCACCTTTCTTGCCCTAGTTGTTAAGTCTATCACTGCAGTTGTTAAGTTTAGTTAACACAATTGTTAACTGAGTCTGGTTCTCCCACTGACCAGAAGATCTCAAAAGATGATTGTATGACCTCAGAACACTGCAAGATTCCCAGTTTTGATGCTGCGACAGTGGTTACATGTGAAAAATGGTCATGACACTTTTTCCCGTGCCGTTGTATCTTCAAACGGTCACTAAGTGAACTGTTGTAACAACTTGGAAACTGGCTCATATTTGTGATGGTCGCAGTGTCCCAGAGTTGTGTGATCACTTTCTGTGACCTTCTGAGAAAGGAATTCATCTTGACCTCTAAGACCCCCTTCCCCATGGACACCCCCCCCCGAAAAGCCACCTTTGCCTGGGCAACTAATAAGCCACTTCGAAGAGAGGGAACCACTGCACTGGCTGGTTGGCATACTTACTCTTTTGTTAAGACAGACGGCCGGCCAGAGGCTGCATCCCAGTGTGCAGCAGCAGCATAAACAGCCACAGAGAAGCCATTTTACAGTGATGGGCAGATTCTTCCTTAAACACGAATTCACATGGCTGATACTGGTCTTGAATTCTTCAGGGGCAACCTGGAAAAAGAGGACAAGGGGTGACCCCACATTTGGAACTAAAACCCATTCTATATCTAATAAACAGATATATCTCTGACTTATTTTTTTTCCATTAAGACTAAGATTTGTGTTAATTTTAGTCAATCTAAAATTGATTTCCTTTTAAGTTCAGTTATTTTTTGCCTTTGTCCCCTGCCTACACAAATGGCCTAAATGTTTTGTTCATACTGAATATAACCTTTGGTGAACAAAAAGTCAACAATATTAGGGATGCATCTACATATGCTGAGAGCCTGTAACTGAAACAGAATCTCCATGAACTCTTACCTGAATGGGAATAATAGAATAAAAAGAACAAGAGAATACTTTTGGTGACCCTAAATTAATTCCTTTTTCAGTATTCAGTTCTATATTCAATTACAGATCCCTTCAACTGGAACCAAGGATCGTAAGAATATGGATATTAAAATTATATTGCAATCAGTCCATCAGTTTTTTTGCAAAACATAGGAGCATGCCATAACCTTTAGCAGACTATTGAAGTTTATGTCATAATAAACTGGTTAAGCTTTGAGGCACTTTTACACTGTTTCTGATGGAAAAGTTTAACTCTTCATGTATGTGCTGGGTTTCAGTTTTTCTAGGCTGCTCTAGATACACAGTACACACATTCAGCCATGCTTAACAATGGATATTTTTCACAAATCCCCTTCGGGACAGGAGGTAAAGACACAATACCTGGGCACTTCATGTATCTACAAAGGGAGCAAAAAAAGTAGAATGGGCTGAACTATCTAAAACTTTATCTCTATTTAAACTGTTTTCCAAGTGGAAAAAAAAAAAGCAGCAAATCGCTGAGGAAAGTTCTAACATGTTTTTATTTCAGAAAAGCTTTTCTTGCATCTGAAGCCTAGAACCACTGAGCCATTTTTTTGAACTTTGCTTCATTCTAGAGCACTTCAGCATACCAGGCGACCCGATGCTCTATCCCAGTGTTTCCCAAACTTGACAATTTTAAGGCATGAGGACTTCAAATCCCAGAATTCCACAGCCAGCATTGCTGGCTGTGGAATTCTGGGAGTTGAAGTCCACATGCCTTAAAATTGTCAAGGTTGAGAAACACTGGATTAACAGCTGGGGGTGAGTTGGTGGTTTTTCAATACAGTAGTTTAACGTTAAACCAGGGTTATAATTGGAATTGGAATTGGAATTCAACCCCCAGAATTCCCCAGCCAACCATTGTGGACTTCAAATCCCAGAAATCCCCAGCCAGCTATAGCTGGCTGTGGAATTCTGGGAGTTGAAGTCCACATGCCTTAAAATTGTCAAGTTTGGGAAACACTGCTCTATCCATTATCAACAGCCATTTTATATACCTGTTTTTTTGCTGAACAAATTTCAGAAATGACAAGGGTTGCATTCCAAATTAGCGAAGGGAACTGCAGCTATTCTGACATGCAAAAAAAAAAAAAAAAAGAAGCCATGGGTTTTTTGGTTGTTATTCGGGAGTCTTTTTAAGCATCCTGTGATGCTGTAAATAAAATGCTATTGTTCTTTAAAAACAAGTAAACCAGGTAAGGGCCTCCCCCCCCACCCCCAGTACAAGGAGAGCTGTAAGAAATCCATCTGCCTGAACAGAACAGCTGCATTCTAAAGAGGAGTTTCTTTTTGCCAACCAGCCATAAAAGGGGTGGAGGGTGGACGGAAGGGCCATAATGTTTTACAACAGTGGGCAAGAAAGGAAGTGATCGCCCGAAAGCCAGCAGGCCTGCTCTGCTTTCTTTGACCATGGTGATCACAGCCCTATCCATCACACCTTCTGCTGAATCATAATACCAAAGGGGGGGTTTTATGACTTGCACTTCCCTGCATTGCTCACTAAAGTCCGTATTGTTTCAAGATCTGAGCAGGAAGCTGTACTTTTTCCCCTTAAGGATGACCAATAGCACCAGGTGGCAGAACTATGGAAGCCCCATTTAAGACCATATTGCAAGCTTACATTTTTAATCAATAAGAAAAAAAAAAGGACAAAAGGTCCAATGAGTTGAGTTGTGTGAGCAGGCAACTCTAAGCTAGGCAGTCAATGCTGAAAGCTTACAGTGCTATTAAAATAATTAAATGAACAGAAATTTAGAATGTAAGTAGAATTCCCTAATTTCTGAAGATTGAAATGAGGTAATAACTAGGATTTTTTTCCTCTTCTTTTCAGTATTTTTATTTTCTAAAGACTGTGATATGCTCCAGTTGGAAAAAGCCATGTATTACTTTCCAAGAAAGAGTATTATCAGCACCTATAGTGATAGAAAAATAATAACCAGCATTCTGAAATATAGAGACAAAAACATGATTATACTGTAATTTGGGCTTCCACTTGAGAGCAATTGACTTAATTCAGTTGGATTCTCATTTGAAAGAAGAAAACATTTTAAGATACAAAGATCTTAAGCTATTTAATTCTAGAGTTGACTCTCTGAATTAGAGCCTGAAAATTAGTGAGTTCTTACTTGAAATGGGTTCTTTAAATAATGTTATAATATGCTCAGCTCGGCTGCCACCATTTAACTATTTTTAATTTTGCATCAAAATGCCTGGCATGGAAGAGCGGTTGCCAAGCAGAGCAGATGCTACTAAGAGAGTACACAAATGCATAAACTTTGCTATCTCTGACCTAGTTTTTACAGGATTAAAAATAGAAAGAAACCTCACTTTACCTTCAGTTTATGCCATGTTCCAATTTCTGGGTAGCTTTTGCCAGACTTTGAAGATGAAATGCTGTCTTCTGGGCACTGGAGATGTTTTAGAGAGTACAGGTAGTCCTCAATTTACAACAGTTCATTTAGTGACCATTTAAAGTTACAACGGCACTGAAAAAAGGGACTCGTGACCATTTTTCATACTGATGACCGTTGCAACCTCCTGATCACGTGACCAAAATTCAGACACTTGACAACTGGCTCACGTTTATGAATGTGATCACCTTTTGCAACGCATTGACAAGCAAAGTCAATGGAAAAGCCAAATTCATTTAACAATGTGGTTACCAATTTAACAACTGCAGTGATTCACTTAACAATTGGGGCAAGAAAGGTCTTAAGATGGGGCAAATTCACTTAACAAATGTCTCACTTAGCAATGTACATTTTGGGCTTAATTGTAGTCATAAGTCGAGGACCACCTGAATAATTTGGGGGAATCTTTTATACAGTCTTTAGGGGATGATTTCACTGCCCCCATATAGCACCGAGCAGGTTCACTCGGCATAAGGGAGCAGCACGCCCATCCAATTCATTCCAGCCAACCTTTCTAAAATACTCTTTCAAGATAAATTCAATCAGTCTGGCAGAAGTATCTTCCATCCTGGTTGCCAGGTCAAATGAACACAACCTAGCCACCTCTGATTAGAGATGCTGTCACAGACAATAGCTGTGAGTCTACACTGACAAATGGAGCCTAATCTTAACAGTACTGCAAAAAACGATTTACTCAAAAGGGGGGGAGAAAGGGGGGGATGAAGAAATGGAGGGTGGGTGTGAGAGAGTTACTAAAGTAAGCAAAGAGAATGCATATCCTAGACTGCCCAACCGTTTAATATTTGTAAAAAGACTCGAAGTATACAAAGCATTCTAAACTGTGGTAAGAGTAGACAACTCCTGTTCTTGCACATGTTCTACTCATGGGAAAACTCTCAAATGGAAGAAAGGAAAACTCACATGTTTGGGGTGAGGGGAGGGGAGAGCAACAAATTCTGAATCTAACAGAATGAATGGCAGATCTACACAAAAACTGCTCTTGAACCCATTTTTTGAACCCACATTCTACAGAAATCAATGGCCGTATCTTAGATTATATTGGTTTGTGGTCACGGTGGATCATCTCAAGAGCATTCCTTGACAAATCCGGCAAGGTGACAAGAAATTCAAGTTTAGGATCCAGGCAATTCCAACTTACCTTCCCTGTCAGAACAGAGGGAAATTCTGTGTCAAATCTGTTGCTCAAGCCAAACCTTGAAAAAACAAAGAACAAAAAGTATTTCCACTGAACCTATAAAGTGTTTACAACTTTTGTTGTACCTGTTTTGCATTTGAGATTACAATTTGTTGTGGCTTTATACCTCATTCAACTATACATCAAATAATTTTACATGTAGCAGGGGATAATCAAAGGAAGAAACATGTATGTCTCTTGTTATTAATAAGTAGTTACTAATATAAAGATGAATATAAATGGGTGTTCATCCTTCCTAATGTCTGTCTAAATAAATTCCATCAAATTAATCAGATCCTCGACAGATCCTTGTAGGAATTCAAATAAAGTTTGTAAATTATGACACACACAAGAACATTTCAACACACACTTCACCCTCTGACTTTTCTTCCACGAGTTAGTAAGAATGATGAAGGTTGTAGTGTTTTAACAGGGGAAACAAGAATCCTTCCAGGAGAGGATCCCAAAGTGGTATCGTCTTGACTTTGCAAGCTCTGCGCTAATGTTAAAGAACCATGTAGATGACACATATTATATACACACACTTTCACTTAAGAGAAAATACTGCTGTAGATAGTTTGAGGTGTACAGATTACACAAAACGTAATCTCCACAGCTCAATACTTTGCAAGGAATATAAAATAATATACAAACCTAAAGTCATAGAACAAATGTATCTTGGCTTCACAATGAAGAGATTAAGCAATACGGTAATTTGCAGCACTGTCTATTAACCCTGGGAGGACCTCAGAAGCAGGATGATGGGTGTCGTATAGCATTATAAAATACAAAATGTAGGAGGACATGCTTTATTGATTCAACCTCATGAAGCTGCAAAGACAAAGTCATATATAATACAGATTTTTTTTTCTGAATTTCCCAAACAGAAGCAAAGAGGTCAAAGCATTGGCCCTTGCCAACATGAAGGACCTTCTATAATTGGAAACTGATAAATAACCTGTTAGCTTCAGAAAGCAATGTGTTCCACTAATATTACAGAAACCTGGAACCGATGACATATTTAATTAGTAGTCCAAGCCTCTTATTTCTTAATATGGACTTTGGCACCAGACACTCCTAAAACTAACTAGGTAGTCCTCAACTTATGACCACAACTGAAGTCAACATTTGTGTTGCTGAGTAAGACAGTTCTTTTGCCCTATTTTACAACCTTTTTTGCCATAGTTGTTAAGTGAATCATGTGGCCATAAAGTGAATCTGGTTTCCCCCACTGACTTTGCTTGTCAGAAACCAGTTGGGAAGGTTACAAATGGTGATCACAGGGCCCTTAGGACAATACAACTATCATAAATAGATGCCAGTTGTGTCAAGTGCCTGAATTTTGGTCATGTGACTGTGGGGCTGCTGCAATGGTTGTAAGTGTGAAAAATGATCCACAAGTCATTTTTTAAAATGCCATTGTAACTTCGAACAGTCACTAAATAAATAGTTGTAAGTTGAGGACTACCTCTATAGAGAAATCCTTATTTCAGAGCCCAGTTCCAAAAGATACCTCCCAAACTGCTGATAGGAATTGTTCAGGATAAGGGCAGTTTAACCTAAGCATAGTAAAATTCAACGAGTCAATATTTAAGGACTATGATCCAGATCTTTGCCTCTATTTTACAAGTCCAGCCTCACAGTAACAATATTGAAAGTAAGTCCCTAGCTGAATACAGCTTTCAAGTTAAATCTACTTTAATTTTCTCCATAATAAATTATATTAGCCTTGGTCTTGTTTGTTGCACAGTATTAAATTCTTAAAGTTTTCTTTGGTGCTTCAGCAGAAACAAAGAAGCCAATTTAAAATGTTTCCAATTCAATTCTACACTGTTCTTTCTTTCAATTCACTTACTAATATGCTGAAAAACTATGAACCCATGTAGAAGAATAGCAGGGCTTCTTTGAGCTATTGACTACTTAAAAGTGGCAAATGCCGAAATTGTATATTAGTGCAAAGAAAAAGAAGAGGGAATATTTTTTAAATGATCAGGATGGTACCATTTCAGCCTTGCTATGCTGTTCTGCCATATCAGAGCCTCGTTTAACTTTGTCAAACTTGCCAAGATTATGACAAACATTGCATTACATTACATAGCATTATATTATTGTCAGCACACACATTTAACTAATAGCCATCCTTTTTGTAGTATCTTTTAAACAAATTTGGCAAACACTATAAAAATTAATTGTTGCTTCTTTAAAATATGTTAATATTTAGTGATAATTCAAGAAAATAACCCTAAAAGTGAATGGCTGGAAAGTGAATGTTTTAGCACTGAAGCATCACAATAGAAAAGATCTATTTGAGTAGCTTTTTTTCCATTTTACTCAACAAATGCAACTTAAAGAAATGGAAATTCTTACATAATCAATTCAGTAGGGAAATGATCTATTTTTGTACCACAGTCTCTGGAGACAGACTGAAAACCTGCTTCAATGTCAAGTCTTCTTGAGAAGTAAACCCCATTAATTCCAAAGGAGTGGAAATGCAAATGTAGTCTTGGAAACGTATCCTATAAATAAGCCTGTGAAAATGTTTGACCACCCTATAATGCAGTGTTTCTCAACCTTGACCATTTTAAGGCATGTGGATTTCAACTCCCAGAATTCCACAGCCAGCATTGCTGGCTGTGGAATTCTGGGAGTTGAAGTCCACATGCCTTAAAATGGTCAAGGTTGAGAAACACTGCTATAATGTCTGTTTAGGATCTCCATTAAACAAGGCATTTAGATACAGTACTTGCTGTTCAATATTCTCATTGCTTATCATGTGTGTGTCTTATAAACAAAATCGAAGTGCTACTTCAGCACTTAATAATGTACTATAATGTATTGTGTATACAATAGCAATCTATTTGGCAATAAAATTGTAACTGTTTTCTCATTCCAAAACCCACATTTTAAAAAGAAAAACTAGTACCGATTGTAAAATCTTAAATGACTCGAGGCATGTTGCCACTCAGTCTACCATCGCACGTTTTCTGATGTCACAAACTAACATTTATAGCAGTAGCAATCGCACTTAAGACTTAGATACCGCTTCACAGTCTCTCTAAGCCAGCGGTTCTCAACCTATGGGTCGCGACCCCATTTGGGGTCGATCGACCATTTCACGGGGGTCGCCAAACAAGGCTGTCTGCCATTTTTCCCCCCTTTTTCTTTGGCCACGCCCCTGGCACCCGGTGATGTATAAGTGGTTGGGGGTCACCACAACATGGGGAACTGTATTATGGGGTCGCGGCATTAGAAAGGTTGAGAACCACTGCTCTAAGCGGTTTAGAAATGTCAGCCTCTGGCTCCTCATTTTTACCGACCTCGGAAGCATGGAAGGCTGAGTGAACCTTGAGCCCCTAAGATTGAACTCCAGGCTGTGGACAGAGTCAGCCTGCAATGCTGCATTCTAACCACTGCCCCACCAGGTCTCTTTCCTAATTTTTTAAAATATATGCCGTAAATGAAAATCATCACTGACTCAACTTCCAAAAGAAGATCTCAATACATCTGGGGGGGGGGTTGTCTCCTCACTGAAGGTAAGAGTCCACGCAAAGCACATGCAATCCAAGAGCACAGAGAAGGGCCAGCTAAAGGGCCCACCTATTGGGAGGTAGGGCGGGCCCCACCCCAAAGCAGGCATTCTCCATGGGGGTGGCCCTCCTCTACAAAAGCTTCCTCTGAAGGCAGAGGCAGCTCCCATCTCCTGACCCTTGGGACTAGAGCAGACATGTCAAACACAAGGCCCGGGGGCCGGATGCGGCCCACGAAGTGGTTTCATGTGGCCCGCGAAGCCATCCTGGAAACAGGGAGGGAACGGCCCCCTCTGCCTTGGCCCTGGCCCAGGCCGGCCGGGAGCCAACGTACAATTTTGTGGTGAAACAGATTCAGTCTTAGCTCCATAAGCCCCCTCCCTGCATGGCCTGAGAGGAACAGAGAGGTTCCTCCAATGGACCATGCCTTGGCACTTGCCCTGGTCCCAACCCCTTTTGCCAGAGACCCTCAGATCTATCCCACTCCTCCCCAGGCCCCCACGGGCATCCTTGACGTGAACGATGTAGAACTGGTCACGCCCACCCAGTAGGCCACACCCACTCCATCCACACCCACCCAGTAGGCTGCACCCACCCTGGCCACACCCACCCGGCCCCCTGAGGGCAACCACAATGCTGATGTGGCCCTCAATGAAATTGAGTTTGACACCCCTGAACACCCCAGTGTTTTTGTACCCCAGCTTGTGTTACCTTAACTGAAGCAGGTTATAAGTTCATCAATAAATAAACAAACAGAGCTAATGGGTAGCCATGTTAGAATCTATTAAGGCAGCGGTTCTCAACCTATGGGTCGCGACCCCATTTGGGGTCGATCGCCCATTTTTCGGGGGTCGCCAAAGGCGGTGATCCGCCATTTTTCGCGGTGCCGTGCACGTGCGCATGGGGGTGGCACCGCGCACGCACGCCACGCATGGCGGCGGCACCGTGCACGTGCGCCGCGCATGGGGGGAAGCGCCTCGCACGGACGTCGCGCATGGGGCGGCGCCGTGCACGTGCGCTGCGCGTGGGGGGCGTCGTGCATGCGCATCGCGCATGGGGCCCCCGCCCCCATGCGCGCGGCCCGGCGCATGCGCAGAACGTTTGTGTGACGGGGGTCACCGTCACACAAACGTTGAGAAGCACTGTATTAAGGATTGAGCTGAAGATAGATTTTTGGAAGAAAAAATAATCATGCTCTTTATACCTGGAGAGATGGCCAATGTCAAAAAGTAAGAGCCAGAATTTGAAAACCAGGGTTAAATGATATTGATACTAACTGGAAATGGCTATCATTCTCAATCTGGATCACGTACAACTATAACGTACCAATCAATTAGACTAGGGGTCTCCAACCCCTGGTCCGTGGACTGAGGGGCCGTGGCATGCCAGCAACTGGTCTGCACAAACAAGCAAAGCGGGATGCAGGCAGCACACAAAATCACACACTCTCCAGTCCACAGAAAAACCTCTGTCCACAGAACTGGCCCCTGGTGCCCAAAAGGTTGCGGACCTCTGAACTAGACAAACAAACAAGTAGAAGATACCAAGGTTTCAAACAAAAGGAAAATTCAAATTCTATTTCAACATAATTTGGGGAAAGGTTACAGCTAAAGAAAGTGAGAGTCAGTTTGGTCTAGTGGCTAAAAACCAGGAAACCATGAGTTCTAATCCCACCATAGGCATAAAGCCAGCTGGGTGACCTTGGACCACTGTCTCTTTCTCAGCCCAACTCACCTCACAGAGTTGTTGTAGAGAAAATAGTAGGAGGAAGGAGTATTAGATATGGTTGCTGTTTTGAGTTGTTTATAATAATAAAGGCAGGATATAAATGAAGCATTTGTACAAGTATGCAGCCACCTTGATATCAACTTTTCGTATCCCATCAAACCCACCCGCCCAATTTGCTTCTTAAAAAGCTATACAAATCCTATTATTTTAATCCAATGCCTTAGCAGCACACCTTGAACAATTTACTTTACTCAACCTGCAATATCCTGATACAATGGACTAAAATCCCCACCACCTCCTGCCATCATGTATATAAAACATGCTGGCTAGAGATCAGTACATCTGGGGGCCATAACAGGAATTTAAAAGAGGGGAGAGGGTGCTCCCCAAAAGTTATACCTGAGATTCTTATCATAAGAAAGATAAGCATAAACTTCAAAATCATCTAAAAGGACCCAGATTGTTGGGGGCAATGTAAATATATATATACATTGCTTACTGGTGTACACCGCTTAGAGAGTGCTTGCACTTAAAGCGGTGTATAAGTCTCATAAATAAAATAAATAAATAAATTAAAGTCACTTTGCTTTGTTGCTTTGTTAACTGATGCCAGAATCAACAATATGTAAAATTCCAATGAGACTTACAGTACACAGATTAAAACAATGTGGGGTTGTCTTTCTTCCCATTCTATTTTGTTTAACAACAGAACCAAAGGAAAGTTGTACAAAACATTATTTTTAACAAAAGCTCTTCCTTTGGTGTCTCCTATCTAGTTGCACAATTCATTGTTTATCTATGTTATTTCCTGGTAAAGATGAAATTATATCGTCAACTGTATGCTAGAGTCTATTACACTACTAGAATCTGCTCATATGATGCTAAGGATTACATTAGCTCTAACCACTTGGTGAATTATTTGAAAAAAAGAGACAATAAAGCTATTAGAAATATAGATGAGCCACCAAATGATAAGGCTTTGACCTCTGGTTTAATTTATACCCTTCCAGAAGGAGTGTTATGAAAAACAAAACCTTCCTCAATATAACTTGGCACACAGTTTTATTAATACATAAGCTGTTTAAATAGGGTTCAAATATTCTACTCACATTGTCCTTATTATTAGTTTATCACAAAGTTGTTTTTTATACAATATGAAGAGATAAATAAAGTTACATGCTTTGTGATTAGGCTTTATATTACTCAAGCCATGATCCAGAACTGGGGTGTGGGGAGATGACTCTACAGACTCCAAAGGGTATGGTCAAACACCAAGGATTGGTGACCCCCAGAAATATGGGCAAAGATTCCACAGCAGTACAAATACAGTGCTTCAAGCAAGTGGGGGACACAGAGCAGTCTAGTCAGGGGGCTCAAGAACCAAAACTACAGTATAATATGAGAAAGTTACAGATAAAATGTAAAATATATTGTACCCCACAGAAGTGGAGATAAGAAATGGAAATCATAAATTCAGAGGCAAGGAATTCTGGGTAAGTTTTTTTTAAAAAATAGTATACAGAAAACTCACTCTATATAAATGGTTTTTTTTTTTTAAAAAGGGGGGGTGGTCAATGCTTCCTTTCATCTTTTAACGTAAATGCAATTTAAGAACAAAAATTAAAATACATAATGAAGATATATAAAGCAAATATATCTTCATAACAAGAGAAAGCAAATGTCCTCTTAAAAAGAATGGGTTCAGCAATAGAACAAAAAAAGAAAAATCAAGGTAAGCACAATTCAAAACATCCCATTTGATACATAAAATAAGTAAACAGAACAATAAGATACATTCCAATCACTGTATTCCCAATTATTTCCAAGACAATAATCTTTAAATGGATAATGAAATAAATATAAAGTGACAAATGATGCCTAGGGAGTTTAAAATTTAAATAAAGCCAGTAACATTTAATAAAGAGTTAAAAGAATATTTTTAAATTATGGGAAAAATATAAATGCATATAACAAAGACATTAAGCTATTTGCTTTATAGAAAGCAGGGCAAGATGTAAAAACAGACAGTGTGACGAACAATTGCATTTAATACACATTTCATGATTACAACTGAAAACAAAATGGGTTTCCTCTCATAATTAAAAACAAACATAAAGAAACAGAGAGCTAGCAATGTTTTTTCAAATGACCTCTTTAGGATCATTTTCTCTCATATCCCAGAGTCACAGTTTGGATAGCGTTCACAACTTTTGAACAGTAACTCTGCTAAGTATCACCCAAGCCTTTGCAATGTCACACCCTCCTTTATTCATTTGTTTATTTTTATTGCGCCTTTATTTTTTTACAAGTAATTCAAGGCAGGGAAAATTCCCAACGCATCTTCCTGCTCCTATGTTGCTCCAGCCCCTTTTACAGATAGCCACATTTGGTTCTGGTTTTATTTTATTTCAATACAGACAATATTAAACCATGCCTTTCTTGTCTGCAGTGCAGCATCAACTTCAAGCCCAAATGTAAAGCCAGGAAAGGGGAGCGGGGGAGGTACAGCCCTGCAAATCTGGAGAAGAGTTTGGGGCTGCCTGTCTGTTGGGCCCATGGACCCCCCAACCTTCTCCTCCAAAGGGAGGCAATGGCAGTGTCTCTCCCCATCCTATCACAGACACCCCAAAGTGAGAGAAGGGGCTACCCTAAGGAAGGCTCCGGGGCCCTTTCAGCACAGGGTTCCTGCTGGGCTTTTTCCCACAGGCACTCCAGAAAGCAACTACAGGCAGTCCTCGACTTACGACCACAATCGAGGCCAAAACTTCTGCTGCTAATTGAGATATTTGTCAAGTGAATTGTGCCCCATTTTACCACCTTTCTCGCCACATTTGTTGGGCATCTTAAGACTGTCCCATTTTATGACCTTTCCTGCCACAGTTGTTAAGTGAACCACTGCAGGCACATATTAACATGGTCGTTAAGTGAATCTGGCTTCCCCATTGATTTTGCTTGTCCGAAAGTTGCAAAAAGGGACCGTGTGACCCTGGGACAGTGCAACCATGGTAAATCTGAGTCAGCTGCCAAGCGTCTAAATTTTGATCATGTGACCATGAGGATGCTGCAGCAGTCGTAAGTGTGGGAAAAAAAGTCAGAACTTCCTTTAGTGATGTAACTTCGAACGGACACTAAACGAACTGTTGTGAGTCGAGGACTACCTGCATGTTATGGCAAGATGTGACTACGAATTTTATGATTTTATGCTTTTATCCATTGGCTTTTCCCTGTTGTTGTTTTTTTAAAATGCTTGTCTTGCTCTTCTTTGCTCTCTTTATATTTTAATGGTCTGAAAGAGTCCAGAAGAGTCAAGACATGGGGGCTGTATCCATTTGAAGAATTAATAAGTAAAATAAAATAAAAATAAAATAAAAAACTGCTCTTCTCCTGTCAGGCTGCCTCCCTCCCCAGGGACCCCTGAAGACCCCTCTGCCCCCCCCCCCAGGAACAGCCGCTCAGGGAAAGATGTGGGGGGGGGGCAAGAGGCGCTCTGCACACGCTCAGGAACCCGCAGCTCACTTCACTCCTAAATGAAAAAGGGGGCGGGGGTCACGGATCCCTCCCCACGAGGGTATTCTGCCCCTCCTCGGGAGACGCCTCAGAGGGTCCCGGCGCTCTGCACATGCCCAAGGGACCCTCCCCCTTCCTCCCAACAGCCGCCCCGCGCCCTCTGCACGCGCTCAGAGGCACGTCTCCCCCCCCCCGCTTGCAGGCCCCGCGGCCCCGCCCCGCCCGCCCACCGCCTTCGCCCCCTCCGCGGGTCCTTACACGGTGATCTGCCCGGCGCCCCTCACAGCCACGGGTTCGGGCGCGTCCCGGGGCCGCGGCAGCTCCTGACTCCTCACCACAGTCCGGGAGGCCTCCGTCCGCTCCTCTTCGTCCTCCGCCTCCTCCTCCTCCTCCTCCTCTTCCTCCTCCAGCTCGTAGATGGTGTCGAAGTCCGCCATGTTGGGGAGCAGGACGCTCATCGCCCCCCCCTCACGCCGCGCGCGCTATTGCGCAAGCGCGGCGGCGCGCGCGTGCGCGACCCAATGGCTGGACCATCGCGCGCGCGAGGCAGAGGGCGGGAGAGCGCGCTCTCCCTGGTGCGCAGGCGCCGTGTGGCTTGACCGCCCCCCCCTCTCCCTTTCATTGTAATAGTTTTACATAATATTAGTATAGTATAGTATTATGAATCTCGATACATGCTATTATTTCAATGCAGTCCTATTTATGGAATATATATGATTCTAAATTGTGCAGGTTGTATGATTTAGAAAGCGTAACATCAGTATTTAATATTTATTTGCTACGTATATGTAGGGATGTGGGTCTATACATATGTTGTTCATAGTATGTTTAACTGTGTGTCATGTATGTGTTTCACTTTAAGCACGGGCAACTAAGTTTCATTTTTGATGTGTGCCGTTGTGCCCACAGTAAAAAAATGACAATAAAGGTTATCTTATCTCCTTTATTGTAATAAGATAAGATGATAAGATAAGATAATAACCTTTATTGTCACTTTTTTCTGCGAACACACTAGCACACGATAAAAAATGAAATTCTAATGCCTGCATAATGAAGTATTGCATATTAGTATAGTATAATATTATGAATCTCGATACATGCAATTATTTCAATGCAGTCCTATTTATGGAATACATATGATTCTAAATTGTGAAGTTTCCATGATTTATAAAACATCACACTGTAAGCGAATGGAAGCCAATCTTGGTTTTTAAGCCATGGAAAAGACCTGTATGTCTCATATTATGCTCGGCACATTTGCACTATTATTCCACTGATAAAACTGGGTGAATTTATAAGTGAGGGGAGTAGATGTGTGTATCTCAGTGACCTACTCCCATTTCAACCCTTGAAATCTTCCCAAATTAGGCTGAAAATATTTCCTGCGACATCACTGTATCATGGAATGACACCCCCCCATGGCCTTCAGAAGTTCAGAACATTAGAATTTGCCCACTCCTGCTTTATGTCTCCATGCATCATGTGACCTATAGAAAAAGGAAATGGCATGATAGCATGTGCACCATGACATCACACAAATAACATGGCTTAAGCATGTATGCAATTATGTCACACTGTCCATGTCAATTTAAAGTCATTGTGGCTTGTTACAGCTGTAGGAGTTCACACCAAGCTGAATTTGGGCTTGCAAATGAATCAAGCTTAGGTTAGGGACAGGGTTGGGTGAGAGTCTATCATGAAATGAACAGTGTAGAAAATAACACTTCTGAATTGCCATTCAGATATGTTCAGGAAGTCATTAGAAGTCTGCCTCTATTCATGAGACATCATTTTTTAAATTGTGGCTTAATCAATAAACCATGGTCTAATGGCATCTATGGCCCTGCTCACTATTCTTTTCAAGTTTCATAAAGTTACTCTAGAATTTGTAGATGTTGGAGAAGATCTGCATTTGCCTGTGGTAGCACAAATCTGATAGCACCTTTCCCGACTAACAAATTTTATTCAAAGGCTTCTGCTTTTATAAACCATAGCTCACTTCATCACATGGATGGGGATTAATTCTTAGGCATGGCATTTCATTTGAGAGACATCAGAGTAGCCTGTCAGCTGCAGATCACAAAAAAAGGAAGCCTCTGAATAAGATCTGTTGCTCTAGAACAGCGGTTCTCAACCTATGGGTCACGACCCCATTTGGGGTCGATCGACCTCTTTTGTGGGGTCGCCAAACGTGGCGATCCGCCATTTTGTCGCCTCTGGGGGCGCGCCGCGCCTCCGGGGGGGCGGTGCCGCGCACGCGCGCTGCGCGTGGGGGCGGCGGCGCGCCTCCGGGGGGCGGCGCCACGCATGCGCGCCACGCGTGGGGCGGCAGCGCACCTCTGGGGGGCGGCGCCGCACATGCGCGCTGCGCGTGCAGGCGGCGCCGCGCGTGCGCGCCGTGTGCGGGGGCCCGCCCCCATGCGCGCCGCGCGTGGGGGGCACCGCGCATGCGCACTGCGCGCAGGGCCCCCACCCCCATGCGCGCCACGCCGCGCATGCGCATAACATTTGTGTGACGGGGGTCGCCGTCACACAAACGTTGAGAACCGCTGCTCTAGAACAGGGGCCTTCAAACTTGGCCCTTTTATGACTTGTGGACTTCAACTCCCAGAATTCCTCAGCTAGGCACGTGTGCCTGGCTGAGGAATTCTGGGAGTTGAAGTCCACAAGTGATAAAAGGGTCAAGCTTGAAGAGCCCTGCTCTAGAATTTGGAATGCTTTTTGCTTTCTTTTTGCTAGCGTTCGGTCATGATTATGACAGCAGTGCAAACCTACAACTACCCCTTGGCTTATGACCACAATTAGAACCAGAACTTCTGTCATTAAGCAAGGCGGTTAAGTGAGTTGGATGCAATTTTATGACCTTTTTTGCCGTGGTTTTTTAAGTTATCCTAGTGGACATCCACTTAACTATGAGCCAGTAGTATGTTGCGGCTGACAGTCCTAGGCTGCATTAACAGAGGATAGAATCAAGATCACATAAAATGTTAATAACACTTTATAATGCCTTGGTAAGACCCACACTTGGAATACTGCATCCAGGCTTGGTTGCCACAATATAAAAAGATGTTAAGGCTCTAGAGAAGAGCAATGATCAGAGGGTTGGAGGCTAAAACATATACAGAACAGTTGCAGGAATTGGATATGGCTTGTCTAGTGAAAAGAAGGACTAGAGGCGACATGATAGCAGTATTCCAATATTTGAAGGGCTGTTACAAAGAAGAGGGGGTCAACCAATTCTCCAAGGCATCTGAGGGCAGGACAAGAAGCATAACTAATCACGGAGACAATCAATCTAGAAATAAAGAGAAATTTCCTGACAGAACAATAAATTAGTGTAACTGCTTGCCTCATGAAGTTGTCGATGCTACATTCCTGGAGATTTTAAAGAAGAGATTGGACAGCCATCTGTCTGAAATTGGTGTAGGATCTCCTGCTTGAGTGAGAGGATTGGACTAGAAGACCTCCAAGGTCCCTTCCAATTCTGCTATCCTGTTAAATTCTTTTTCTATTTCTAGCCTCTGCTGATCAGTGTAAATTAACTGGTAAATTTACAACAGTGTAAATCAACCTTACACTCTGATTTTTGGATGAAAATTTCACCATATTTGGCTCTTGGTCCTTTTCTCTTGCAAAATCTAAACTAGACTTGATCCAGAAAGAAGGGTTTTTTTTTTTTTTTGTTCTCACTGAAACATTTACACAGAGTGCCAATGACCTTGGTGCAATAGTTATAAATAGAATGATGCATGGAGGAAATCTTGCTCTCAGTTTAAGAAGAAATAAAATACTGCTGTATTTTCTGAGAAAGCTTGCAAAATTGAAATAATAATTTAAAAGAACCTCTGATCAATTTCTAAACAAGTTAAACACCAATCTTTGATTGTTAGCCAGAGCAAGGGTCTCCAAACTTGGCAACTTTATGACTTGTGGACTTCAATTCCCAGCCAGCCATGAATTCCCAGGGAATCCTGGGAATTGAAATATCAACTACATCATAGTTTTGGTCCATGATATAATATAATATTATAATCATATCATACTATTTGATCCACATCTGGTTTTGGTCACCATGATATTAAAAAGTTGTTGAGACACTAGAAAGCAGAAGAGCAACAAAGATAATTAAGAAGCTGGAGCCTAAAATATATGAAGAAAGTTTGCTGGAATTGGGTATGTCTAGTCCAGTGGTTCTCAATCTTTTTAATGCCGCGCCCCCCCCAACCAGTCGTAAGTTGAGGACTACTCAACCGGTCGTAAGTCGAGGACTACTCAACTGGTGCAGCCCCTTTTGCAGAATGGGACTTTTGGCGGGCTCAGCAGGGCAGAGACAGCCTGGACAATTCCTATTGGCTTTTGAAAGCCAATAGAATTAGACTCTATTCAAGAGAGTCTATGCTATTGGCTTTCAAAAGCCAATAGAATAAAAGGGAGTAGCACAGCTAAGGAAAAGGGGGAAAAAATGGCGGACTGCGTTGTTTGGCGACCCCCGTGAAATGGTCGTTCGACCCCAAATGGGGTCCCGACCCACAGGTTGAGAACCACTGGTCTAGTCTAACAAAGAATTCGGTATCTCTAGTCTAGAAGTGACATGACAGCATCTTTCAGTACTTGAGGGGCTGCAACAGAGAAGAGGGGGGTCAATTTATTTTCAAAAGCACCTGAGGGCAGGACAAGAAAGGATGAATGGAAGGTTGTTAAAGAAAGAGATGCAATCTAGAATTAAGGAGAAATTTGCTGACAGTAAGAACAATTGATTAGTAGAATGGCTTGCTTCCAGAAGTTGTGGATGCTCCAAAACTGGAAGTTTTTAAGAGACTAGACAGCCACATGTCTGGTATAGGGTCCCTTGCCTGTGCAGGGGGTTGGTCTGGAAGACCTCCAAAGCTCCTTCCAAACTCTGTTATCCTGTTCTTCTGTTATAGCTTAATTGGATGGCCTCTAAAGTAACCAGGTTTCACATTAATTGGTCGTAAGAGATTCTGTCTGAATCGCCTGATCCCCAGGAATCTTTTCCTGGGGTGGAAATCCCACCTCCTTTCGGCCTCTCTAAACAGGATAATTTCACTTCTCTGGGCATCACTTTGATGGTGTGACCGAAAGCTGTTCCTCGGGAGAGACATGCCTTACATTGCAAGATGATCAATGATTAACCCTTCTTCGGACTTCAAGAGCGGTGCTCCTTGTCTAACGTCATTGTTGCTTTATCACTTCCCAGCCTTCCTTTGGGGTTTCAAATGAGCCTTCTGATCTTCCCAGGCTGTTTTTGATGTGAGGGCTTTGGACAAACTGCAAGACAAAGGCCCTTTTCAAGTGGCTCCCTAAACTCCAAGGAGGTGTTAAGAATGAAGCACTGGCCTCGCAAAGGGGCAGCAAGCCCGTCTTATCAAAGCTTCCTTTCACATTCAGATCCCTGAGCCAATTGGTTTGGAATTTACAAGCCCTAAACAAATGTCGGCCTGGCTTTCATCTCC